TCGGACAGCACTACTTTGTAACAGAAGTCAAGTACATATCCATGTCGGTGACGAAGGAGATGAGCACCGCTTTGTAACAGAAGTCAGGTACATATCCATGTCGGTGGGTGATGAAGGAGATGGGCTCGAACAGCACCGCTTTGTAACAGAAGTCAGGTACATATCCATGTCGGTGGGTGACGAAGGAGATAGGCTCGAACAGCACCACTTTGCAACAGACATCGAGTACATATCCAAGTCGTATCTTTTGCTTAAACTTCACGTCCATTTCACCTACATACCAACATTAACTACCTTATTCTGTGTAAGAGCTGAGTTCATAACTATGTGGTTTGGGACCTAGCGACATATGTGGCCAAAGGCCGAGCGCTAAGGTGTAGGCTTGATGCACACGTATAGCATACGTTCCGTCTGCTTAGCGATATGCAAGAATTAGTTTTAGTCTTAACCGGAGGTTAACGAAGTTGTATACATTACTCTATCCTTTTAGCCTTTATATTCTGTTACGAAGTGTTCTACTAGCATTATTACTATTACTCGAATGCCTAATGCTAAGCTCCTAGGTAATCGATCGCGAGGTAGAGTATAAAGGTCGTACCCGAGTAGGACCCGGGGAACCGTAATAGGTCGTAGGTAGAAGGAAGCGTAGAGATTTTTATAAGAGAGTTTATACGGTAGTTAAATAGAGATCGTTTATATACTATTAGAATAAGAGCTTCTATTATTAGAAAGTTTATTATCTAAACTTTAGCTTTTATAATAGTAGTTATTTAATCTAGATTTTCTTTTAGATTTATCTATTATTATTTAAGTAGTCTATAAGTAGTAATAGTTAGTTGCTATACCCGTCGAAAACATGTCTTATACTTTTATATATAATATAGTATATATAAATAATACCTCTAGGAAGTATATATATATATATATATTAGATATTAGATAGTATAAAGAAAATATAGAAATAGAAATAAAGGAGATAAATAGAATAAAGATTAAGTACTAAGGAAGATCTACTATATCTAGAATATACTTATAAGACTATATTTAATATATTTATAATAGTAAAAAAAAAATCTTTAATCTTAATATTTAACTTAGTAAGATCTATATACTATAAATGTATAATATAAGAACATCTAGAGAATACACTATTTCTACTACTTTAAAGGATTGTAATAGTATTAATAAGGCATACTAAAAGAACTATATAGTACTAGTTTAATACTTAAACTTATTATCTTTAATAGCGTTATTATATAGGAAGATTAATATTAGGAGGTAGAGAGTTAAAACTAATCTAATATTCGGATTATTAACTTTATACTGTAGTTAATATCTAAGTATATATATAGATTATTAATCTAATAGTTTATAAAATATATAGAATGTTACCTTTATATTAAAAGAAATAAATAGAATATTATCCTAATAGTTAACGAAATATATAGAATATTTGTTTAATACTTAAAAAATTTAATTGAATATTTGTCTAATACTTAACGATATCTATATAAAACTAATCTAAAACTTCGTAAGAAACATAGAATATAAATCTAATACTTAACAATAAATATAGAGTATTTATCTAATACTAAACGATAAAAACAAGATATGAATTTAATATTTAATAGCAAATATAGAATATGAATCCAATACTTAACAATAAACATAGAATATGAATCTAATACTTAACGAATAATATAGAATATGCATTCAATACTTAATAAAATAAATAGAATATTAATCTAATACTTAACGATAAACATAGAATATAAATCTAATACTTAACGATTAATATAGAATATTGATCTAATACTTCATAATAAACGTAAAATATGAATTTAATACTTAACGATTAATATAGAATATTAATCTAATACTTAACAATAACTATAAAATATAAATCTAATACTTAACGATTAATGTAGAATATTAATCTAATACTAAACGATAACTACAGAATATAAGTTAACTATTTAACGATAAACATAGAATATAAATGTAATACTTAAGAATAATTATAGAATATAAATCTAATATTTAACGATAAACGTAGAATATAGATTTAATATTTAACGATAAACGTAGAATATAGATTCAATATTTAACGATAAACATAGAACATAAATCGAATACTTAATAAGAAAAATAGAATAGAAATCTAATACTTAACGATAAATATAGAATATCGATCTAATACTTAACGATAAATATAGAATAAGAATTTAATACTTAATAACAAACATAGAATATTAATCTTTTACTTAATAATAAATATACACTATAAATTGATTACTTAAAGATATATATAGAATACTTATTTTTTAATAAAGTAATTATATTAATCGTAGCTTCTATACCTAAAAAGATTAATTATATACGAGTTAGATATTTAAGCACTTAAGGTAAATACTATATTTATATATAAGAAAATGTCTATAGTATAGAACACTTACTTTATAATACCTATATAATATAAGTTTAATTTAAAAAAGATAATTGAAAAGATAATATATATATAGTATAAACATCTAGTATTATTAATCTTATATATAAGACGACTTATATAATAAAGAGTTAATATATAATAGATTATATTAATACGTAATATTATATTAAAAGACTCTTATAATATAGATGTATTATATTAGATATATAAGATAAAACAAAGGCTAAATATTTAATATAAATTATAATAAAGACATCCTCTATGGGTATTTTAGTAGCTTAAGTAACCGCTAAAGAAGATTTCTCTCTAGACGTAGAATCTACTTAAATACTAATAGAACTATAACGCTTACTTATACTCTTCTACGTAATTATCTTTAAACTATATCGCTCTTTCTTTAGTTAATGTAATAGGATAGCTAAAGAGGAATTGTTTGTAATAATAAGACGGAAACCGGAAGACTAGCTATATTCGTATTCTCAGTCCTATAAGAACTACTCTTTAAGGGCGAGTTAAATTTGACTGGTTGTTCGAGCTCGAATTTGCTTTTCTAGAGGCATTTTAAAGCAGATGCCTAACTAGCTTAGGAGAACTATTCAGTCCCCCTAGGATCTTATTCGCTTCGTTCACATCCTTGTAGAATACTCCATAACGCCCGAGATCGTGCCCATCCCTTCCGGCTGGAAAGTTGTGTGTGATGTGTACCGTACCTTTTCGTCATCTTACGCAGCGTCTTGATGGAACATTACGGGCGGCATGTCTGCGGTGGACACTTGCTGCCAGCGATCATGCAATTCGCAGTCTCTCAGGATGCCAATAAACGATGCACCGTTGTCAAGAAGCAGATCGGGCTCTCTGCAAGCAGTGGTTCCGAGCATCTACCCAGGGCGACTTTATCTTGTTACGCCGCTTCTTCGCTAGTTCGTTCGTACGTATACGCTGAACTCCATCGCCACGGTGGTGTCTCTATCCAACTCGAGCGCAATTCCCACCCTGCTCATCAAACTCCCCCAGTCCATCAATAGTCCAATCCGCCACCTTCTTATCATGGGCGAAACTCTGCGTCACGTAGAAGAAAGGCTTGTCCGCTCCACCCCAGTCCATCAATAGTCCGATCCGCCACCTTCTTATCATGGGCGAAACTCTGCGTCACGTAGAAGAAAGGCTYGTCCGCTCCACCATGAGGATCGTGCAAAGCCGTCTTTCTAACCTGGCGACGTCTTGTTTTAGCCAGGCTCGGGAGGCCTTTCAACTAGTTGCGGATCGATGCAGAGAAGGGATGTTCGCACGCCGAACTTCTGCTCTTCGCCGAAGGGCTTGACATGGCGGTCAACTCTGCAACGCCGTTGGTAGTTATTGAGAGAATCTTCCAATTCGCCGATCTTGATCTTGTCACCCTCTTGCTCCTCACGAAGGAATGTGATATATTCCGATTACTACCAGGCCCAAGCTTGAGGGTATCGATGGTGGATTCGCTCCTGGTTTGATTGCCGGTGGCGAATCTGATCTCGACTTCCAGATGAGGGCGATCGAGGCGGAATTTACCTAGAGAGAGGGTAGGAGGAAGTAGGAGATCCCCCTTTACTAGTCGTACCCCGAAAGCGAAAGGCTACTACGAGGACAGGCTTCGATCTACTTACAACTAGCGGTATTAGATTATAGAGCTCGTAGAAAGGGCACTTAACATCGTCGCGAAGTATAACGCTATAGTTAAAACCGTTACGGGCAGGAGCGCTGTATGAGAGAGCATCACAGGAGAGATCGTCGAGAGTAAGAGGCATTTCGTAAACTGGACGCGAGATAATTGCTGCGACGAGTCTTTCCAGTGTTGCCGTCTCGTGGGTACTTCTCCATCCGTCCCCAACATCACCAGCCTCTACCCGCATGATAGTGTCGTCCGTAATGTTAGGCATTCTGTCAATCTCTACCACGATGTCCATGGCACCAAATGTCTTCTTCTTAATTCTCYGACCTTTCACGACTGGTGGGGCTGCTRGGAGTCTTCCGCCAACCCAGCTACATCTGAGTGAGCGAATRCCATCAGGGCYAGGGTCGCGGAAAGCGTGATGTGCGCGCATCATCTGCATGGCCTTTTCAATGACCTGCAACAAGATTTCGATGCGGTAGGTGGTCGTAAGGTGGCCATTWAAGCCGTTGAAAGTCTGGATTCGATCGCGCAATGGTGGATATGCAAATGCCCAGTCGAGCACTGGTTCGTAGTACCACCGGTTTTCCTTGCTAACCGGCACGCAATAGTATGGCGTGTTGCCAGCTACGCCGGCTTCGAACTCTAGGCGCTCCGCTTCGGCTGACTTGTCATTGTTCAAATCTCTAGAAGGTTCCGGCCATGTCCAGCGCTCCGCCGGCTGGAGCAGGGCCATGTAGAGCTTCGTCTTGAAATCGTGCCATTCGTTGCAGCTGACCCAAAACGCCCGCATGAATTCCTTCCTAGTCGTCATGTTATTCTTGACATTGGCTTGGGCTCTGCACCACTCCATAGTGGGTGGCGGCTGATAACCGCCGAGCACTTGCTTATCGTCAGCTGTCGCGTTTCTTGCTTGGTGCCCATTCTAACGATCGAAGCTCGCGGAAGTTGGCGTTGGCTGTCGAGATTTTAGCATAAAGCTATTCCGGGGAATGAGATTCATGTCACTTCACTTTTTACTTAACAGATTCGTTCCGCTAGGAAGGCCAGTGTTTGGTCGAATATGATTGTGCAGGAGTAAGCGTGCTTCTGTCTTCGCGGTGGTAATAATAGGGGTGGTGGTATTTTCGGGGATCGGGAAAGTGGATTTACACAAGTAAAATGTTCATTTAGCACCGGCTCCAATATGACCACACTCATCAGCCATATTAGAGATGCTTAGTATTCGATCTTGTTGGCACATGTTTGTGCATGTGAGGTCGAAACAAGAGATTCCCGCTAAGCGGATGAGGGCACACGGACCCCACCACGCACAGATCCGCTTTTGTTGTGACCGTCCGGTTCGGAAGTCATACGACAACAACAACAAGAACAACGTCAACTGGACCAACCGCCACCCACATCGCCAGGGCAGAGGCTCACCTCGCACCAACTTCATCGGACACGCGGCTGCTCACCACACACGGCGCTTCCGACGCATGCACCATCCCTGAAAAAAGCATACGAGGGCTATTCCWTATGGGAACATCATTTCCTCTCGCCCAAGTCTTTCGCAAACAGACATCATCGCCAGCCTGAGCTTCTTCGCCAGTCCGGTCAGCAGCGAGCTCGAGTCTAGGACATTTGGAAAAAGACACCAGCGCCGGTTCCATCTCTCCCCAGCAGCTGAGACGGTGGTCAGTCTAGATCTCGTCGTCTTTCGAACGCCTGCGGCGCAATTCTGTGGGTTGTTTGCTCCTCTACCCAACCGCGGTGTGGTCCACTAACAGCTCTCTAGATTTGCCCGGCCGATTCTCATCGAGCGTCGTGCTCGCATACTACCATTCACGGCGGTTGAACATTCAAACACAGCCCGTCATCCCGATGATCGCGATGCATGCGACCTCCAGCCCCATCGGCTCGTTAAAGCCTGTCCCGTCGTTCTCCTACACTCAACAGACGCTATTCGCCAATCTCACCTGTGCCAAGCGCGACCACCTGACCAAGGCCATGCCTCCATGTCGCACCCATCATTTCGCGGACAGTATCGAGAAATTCTTCTTCAGCGATCTTCCAGCTGAGCTCCAGGAAGTGCTCATCCCTGGTCTCCTAGGCCACAGCCATTGGAGGCCTGCCAACTACTTCTCTGTCGATGTTAACGATCCCTTGTCCCATTCCAATTCCCTTTGGGGATACAGCGGACTACATCAATTGAAGCTTGAGCAGACGCATCCAGATTATTTTATGGCTACTGGTCCATTCGAGGATCAGTGGGATCTCTCTACCGGTTGGAATGTTCGTGGACCTCTCGAGAAGAAGATATGCTTTACCTACATCCCCCGCGCATGCAAAGGAGAGACAGGGAAGAGTACTCTCAGAGTCACCCAGAAGAGCCCAAGTGGTATGRCTCGCCCACCGGTACCATACCAGATTCCGGTTGAGAGATTTCGCGGGGCTGAGCCATTCCAACTAAATGTCCATCTGCGAAATTTCGGCCGAGTTACATTCTCCTCCATGGTACGCATCGCCTCCCTCCGAGCGTACAACTATCTCTGCGCCGGGCGCCTCATCGACATACATTGGGTTTACTCAATGGAGGAAGGTTTACAGACAAATCCTGCCTTGTCCGATCTCACCGAGACCGTCCCAGAGTTGTGCTTGGCATTAGAGGGCATTGGTCGCGACTTTGTCGCCGAGAATAAGATCTTTTTTGAGTCACCCTCGACTGCACACAGACTGCACAGTGTCGTTGCCTTCTCTGAGTATGTCTGGGACCGCCTCGTCGTGCTCTCGCTATCTATGGAGGTGCTTGCCGACATCCGCGAGCTACAGCCCGGCAAATTCCAGTGGGATGACAATACCCGAAAGAAGATTGTACGGTCAGAGCAGGTAATACCACGATAAGTGGTTGACCGACGCGAATCTCGAGAGCCTCACAGGTAATGCCGAAGCTTGTATTAGAGGGGTTGGTAACTGCTTACAGCTCGCTCGGATCGTCTGGTCAGAGCTGTTAGCATGTAGTTGAAAAGATACCACTCAATGGAAGCTCACCCTCTGTTAACCGAGGCAGCTCTCGCTACATGTGTTTGACTCCATGCACTTATTACAGACAGAGCTCTCAAGAGCGAGACGAAATGGACAAGCCCAGCGGATTCCAACATTGATATATCTCATTAAGAGAGATAGCCAAAGAGAAGTATCGCGTAGAATGGTTAGATAGACACAGTACTATAGAAAGGGTAGCTGTCGTAAACAGACAGCGGAAATACACATCGATATGAATCAGCTAAAGCGCCAAGCCACCCCACGCCGCCGTGTTAGTTAAAGCCTAATTCCAACTTCACGTCTTGCTAGTCGTGTATAGCAGAGCATTGCATAACTGCCTTCGCTCGACTCGCTCATCACGGCCACGACAACGAAACCATAGTCTCCATTGACGAGAGAACTATAGATCGGACTGCATAGCCGAGACTCCATCATCTCCTTAGTATGGAGCATGTACGAGGCTTCAAAATAATATGATCGAATAAGCCAAACGACCTTCGACCGAGTTTTCGACGGTAGTGGGATTATATCAATCGCATAGCTAACCGTAGCTTGCGGGCAGTAGCAAAGATGCGAGAGGGGAGAACTTATGCCGTGCAACCTTTTCCATCCATCGGGCATGTGCGCCTGTTTAAAATGAAGACATCAAGTTGCGGCCACATTCATCCAATGGAGAAGCTCTTCTATTCCTCGTCTCTACGTCGATCTACTAGAAGAGACGTCACGTTTATTGAATCCTTCTCAAGTCGGCTGCTCTGTCATCCAGTCCACATGCGCATTACTCATCAAAACCCTCACTCTTGTGACAACATCACTACGACAGTGACCCGAACACCCGCACCAATCAACACGGATCACTAGACGAGCAACATCCAGCATCATGTCAAGTGAGTTGCTTCTGACGAGCGAATGCCATCGTCGCGTCACTAACGACAATTCTCAGTGAGAAGCAATTTCCAGGTGTTCGTTGCACTTCCCGACCCTATTATCTTGACTCGCGTTGAGTTGCAAGAGTACGAAGACGGTGTGCAGCCACTTAAGCTATTCGTCGGCACGATTTCGAGAGAGGCCCCCGGTTACGGACGAGGTATGACAATCGAGGTGGGGTTATTCTTCGCTGGGATATAACTGACGGCGTCAAGTCTGCGAGTACGGCCAAGTTATGGCAGATGTCTTCCTCGTGAAGTACAAAGGCATGCCTATCCAGTGGATTGAAAGCACCTCYAACAAAGACTCCATCCAGGACACGATGCACTTTCAGACATATCTCTCTGCCAACCTCGCCACCATTTGCCTGTTGTACTACCACGCCGGTGCCCGCAACGCCTACGACATCATCACGCTCAGCGAACCACGCATGGCGAAGATGCTCTACAAGACGCTCGAGGAGATGCGTAACGAGGCTCGGCCTGAGTAATGTCCGTCGCTACACTTTCAACGTCAAACCATGAACATCAACATACATGGAGGAGAGGGTGGATGTCCATGAGAAGTGATGGAGTGCTCGGAGCAGGCCGCAAATGGGTTGATATTGCGGCTCGCGATGTAGCAACAATCATATGAACTTAYAGAAGCTACTGTCGCTCACTTCCTCCACGGTGTTTCAACATCCAAATCCATACTTCGTTTTCGTAAGACTGCCAGACTGCCCAACGCCCATAGCCCAGACTTGATCACCGTCGCAAATCCCCGCCCATCGCACACCTTCAACGTAGCCTTACGAATGCAGCATCCTTCGACAACACCRGCTGGTATAGGCTTGTAGGTAGCATCCTATCAAGGCCATGAAACGCGTTTGCTGTCTGCTTTATGATGTGTGGTGCCGTTGATGTAGATGGCGACCATTGCAAACTGGCGAAGTTGCGCTGTTGCAGCTTGAACCTCTGGAATCCAATTGACATTTCCAGACTTCTCAACCTCCAACACGCTGTCGAACCGGAATGTAGTACCAAGCACTGTGAACTTGGGTTGGCCTGGTGATTCGCCATTAAAGAAGATCGACCTTGTTGCATTAGTTCTGTCGTTGTAGAAGTGGCCGACGTATAGCAGTCGCCGCGGTGGAGGCGGCGTGGATGGCCGAGCGGGGAGACAGGGGATTCGTGGGGTTCGGGGAGAGTCTTCGATAGCCATGTCGTCGACGTGGTCCTTATGGTAGGTATGCTGGGTAGAGAGGCTGGGTGCAATGTGATTGATACGATAGATGGTTTAGTGTGATTGACGTTGGAGCTCGAACTGGTTAATAGTGGTGTAGCGGCCACACGACCGAACGAGCCACGCGCTTGGGCGGTGTGTTGGTTCAAGTCACAGAGTGATATTGGAGAGTGGAAAGAGTCAGGCGATGTCCACGTAGCAGAATCCAGTGACGAGCATCAGGTCATTAATATATGCTGGCGAGACGGCTTGGGCTTGCTATGCAGGCGTTTGAGATCGGACGCTGGTCGAGATGAGACGAAATCATGCGTGCGAGCTTCGTATAGTTGATATCGGAAAGGGGGGAAGTCGTACGCCATTCTGCGAGTCTCCTCAACGTGCATTCAGATTCGATGTCCAATTAGAGGCTTTCTGCACTTATATGCGATATGTTTATACCATGGTGAATTGGTGTATTGCAGAAGTGGCAATGGTTGTTGTCGGGTGTGGTATGCAGAATCCGGCACCACATCCTCACGAAACGCTTCCACGGCACGATGCCCCCAAAACTGCCTGTGGGCACGCAATCCGAATGCATCGCTACAATTCACCGAGCTGTGATGTTCAGCGGCTTCGATGCAGCGAATCCGGATCTCACCGTCGCCCAGAAGAMGAGGCTCCTGCTGAGTCCTCCTCGCTTCCCACGAGGAATGCCAGTGTTCTCTGGTTATGCAAAGACAAGAGGTGGATACAGCACATGCATTGTCGGTGGAAGACGAAGACTGCTGCATAGAGTTGCTGTGATGGCAGTGGCAGGCCGGATGAATCAGAGGGTATGGGATGCTTGACCGAGACCACACATTCTCCGATGGGTGCAGAGGACTGACAGCCATATAGGACGATGTGAGCCACTTGATGTGGTGCTCGAAGCATACGACCGCTGCCAATTTCAATCCGTGGACAAATCGACTCGAGAGCCATCGTATCAACATCAGTCGGAAAGCGTGCCATTTGGCAATGGACAATAGCATGAGGAGGGATAGATGGMAGAATGGGAAGAGGCTGGTCAAGAGGATTCGCATAGAGAGCTGTAGTGTCAGACATCCGCTGGAACCAGCGTGCAGTCTCTCGGTCGAGAGCTGGAGGAGATACAATTGACATATCTTGCTGCAAGGCACCACCAGTGACGTATAGAGTTCAAGTTGACATGATGAATGTGGTGCGCTTCAGTCGTCGTTGTCGCTGTCGCTGTCGTCGTTGTGGTTGTCGTTATCGTTGTTGTCGTTATCGTGGTTGTGAATCGTCGGGATCAAGAGTATTCCATGGAATGGTCACACCCATTTGTGTTCCTAATACATCCAGAGGTGTACGCCAGTATGACCGGAGAACATGGATACGGGGATTCTTTTTTCCTTGCGATGAATCGCGCTTGACACGAGTCACCTAGCTTGGAGTGAGTTGTGGTTGTCTGACGAGGGCTGTATCTCACGGTTCTGTTAATCCGACCGATGCCAAGCAATAAGCCACGCTTACATATTTATCCGAGATTGACTGGCGTCCGCCACACAAGTTTTTCCGTTTGCAACAAGCTGACAGACCAACAACACCGCGCTCTGCTAACATGCATGGAAAGGTGTGCTAAATGTGATTCAGTCGTACTGCTATGACTGACGCGTATCGATACCATCTACGAAAGCATTAAACCGTATCCTATTATCACTGGCAGGATCGAGACAATGCGACGCCACAAAAAATAACGAGATGCAACGACGTCAAGATGAACCTTTGACTCTGCGAGACGAGTACAGTGCACGGCTTGGATACAAGCCGGGTATGGGTCGGCGAAGATGAGTACAATGTACGACTTGGAGGGAGATGGACTGCTGAAGATGCGTACGCTGTACGACTTTGCATGAGAATGGATTGCTGAAGATGCGTGCAGTAAACGGCTTGGAGCAGGAGATGGATTGCTGAAGATGCGTGCGGTATACGGCTCGAAGAAGGAGATGGACTGCTGAAGATGCGTGCTGTGCGCGGCTTGGAGAATGGCGGAGCGCTGAAGATGCGTGCTGTGCGCGGCTTGGAGAAGATGTGGATTGCTGAAGATGCGTGCAGTACACGGCTTGGAGAAGCGGCCGACACCGATGATAGAGTCTTTGTAAAATGAGGTGGCCTGTCGTCTGGAGTGGATGGTATGATGGATAGAGAGAACGATGTGAAGAGAAATATGCGTATAAGTATCGGCAAGCGCGGCTATCGTAACCACCGACATATGCGACTGCCTTCCAATACAGCATCCTCACAGCTATGCATGCCTCCTTCCGAGCGGAAACATGGAGCCATCATTGGTGTCACTTACACCATCCCTTGAGCACTACCGCGACCTTCGGTTCGACCACTCCCATTGAAAGCGACGCTGTCCGGCCTGATCACGGTAAGTTGCATCCTCGTGGCCCAGCTATTCGCACCTCTTCTCGTCGTCTGCTTACAATTAGCAGGCACATTTTCCCTACAATRTCCAACTCGGCCATTTCACGCATCAGGAGGCTTGTCAACGTCGCCAGAACTGAGGATGAAATCCGCAGGCTTGAAAGCAGCCTACATGCAACCGGTGCTACTATGCCATTCCCACGAGACGGTGCACGTTGGAGCAAGCACAAAAATCGGAAAGATGTACCCTCCTACGAGGAGGATCTTACCGATAGGATGGTTCTTATCGAAGGCCTTCTGAAGTCAGCACAGAAGTCGGCACAGGAGCATAGYCATRCTTCCACAAACACCCCATTCGATCCCCACTTACATGATAAGCCATTCTTCGCCTCACGTCAGACACGTACCGATGAACGCGGTCGCTCTCACTACCGCCCACGCTCTAGGGATTCTCGAGAGCGATMACCGCAGAGGCAGGATCTCCGTCCACCAGCACATGATTACGCTCGCGGTCCTGATTACCATGATCATGCTCGTGGTCCTGATTACCATCGTGATCACTCTCCAAGACGTGGATATCCCCAACACCGATCTACTCGAGACAGTTACAGGCCAGGAGTACAATCTCCGCCAAGGCGGCCGCCTTCGAGGAACCGCCGCGACGACGAGAGCGATGGACGTTACCGAGCCCGCTCCCTCAGCAGACGCCGTTCATCATACCATCGCAGAGGRGGTGATGGCGGCAGTGGAAGAGATCGAGATCGAGACCGATCCCCGAGCAGACGCCGTTCACCATACCGTCGCAGAGGAGGTGATGATAGTGGGAGAGATCGAGACCGGGAACGCTCTCCGAGCAGACGCCGGTCATCATACCATCGCAGAGGAGATGATGATGGTAGGAGAGATCGAGACCGGGAACGCTCTCCGAGAAGAGAACGCTCAGCCTACCGCCGCAGAGGAGATGATGGCGATAGAAGAGATGGCAGAGATCGCTCTCAGAGGAGAGAACGCTCAGCCTACCGCCGCAGAGGAGATGATGGCGATGGAAGAGATGGCAGAGATCGCTCTCTGAGAAGAGAACGCTCAGCCTACCACCGCAGAGGAGATGATGGCGATGGAAGAGATGACAGAGATCGCTCTCTGAGAAGAGAGCGTTCAGCCTACCGCCGCAGAGGAGATGATGGCGATAGAAGAGATGACAGAGATCGCTCTCCTCGGCACGGCAAGGATCACCAGCAGCCAGCTGCCACTCGGCACCAGCAGCCAGCTGCCACTCGGCAACATGTACCAGAGCAGTCGACTTCCAAGCAACCTCTATCGAAGGAACCTTCGCCTCCGCAGCAACCCATATCGAAGGAACCTGCGCTTCCACAGAAACCTGTGTCGAAGGGACCTTCACTGCCACAGCTCACATCAACAACTGCGGAGSCATCCGGGTCTTCGACCAGCAGYACAAGCGCAACGAGTGCGGAGGCACCAAATCAGCCCGTGACACCAAAGCAGCCGACCACTCGCCAYAATCCTATTATGACGGCATCTGGCTCTACCGTGGGTGAACTTGACGCTGCATCGCTAGTTGCGTCGCTGAAGGCGAGGCTGAATAACGCTTCGAACACGACTCCGGTAATTCCACCTGCTTCGTCGACAACTACGGCTCCAGTGACCAAGGCTCCATCCGCTTCGTCGACAGCTACAGCTCCAGTGACCAAGGCTCCATCCGCTTCGTCGACAGCTACGGCTCCAGTGACCAAGGCTCCATCCGCTTCGTCGACAGCTACAGCYCCGGTGAGCAAGGCTCCATCCGCTTCGTCGACAGCTATTGCCAGGGTGACCAAGGCTCCATCCGCCTCGTCGACAGCTACTGTCACGGTGACCATAGATTCTTCGGAGTATTCTTCAGATGAACTCTCATCAGATACATCAGCTCCACCAACCCCAGCGAAACACGTCGCAAGCAGACGTGGCCGTTCATGTATCGAATCCCTTCCGATTACTAAGTCTGCATGCAGGGATGCAATTACTTCTCATCCTGCATTCCATACCTGTACGAACCTCGCTATCTTTGACTGGTTAACGAGATGTGGCATGGAGCCTAAGTTCCCTGGTGCTGGGGAATTTAAGCAAAGCGATATCGATAACTACAATACGTTTACCGCACAATACGGTTGTACTCCTTTCGCTTTGCCAGCACAGCAGCGACTTCGTGGAAAACTTAAGCCAGCCAAACACTCGACGAATATAGCTCGGCGGGCTGAAACCCACCAGGTCGGTATTACTGCATGGCCAATCGGACTTGTTTGCCCTTCTTGTGGCGATCGTCATTTCCCGCATCTTATCGTGCTCAGAGCTCTTATGGGAGCTCTCGGTGGATATCGAGACAGACTAGAAGATGGACTCGAGCGATCTCATCTTTGTGGTAATCAGTGGTGCTTCACAGTATCACACATTGTTTACGAGACACATATCAAAAATGTGGACCGTAAGACATGTCATGCAAACCAGCAATGCACCTGCGGTTCAGTTCCGAAGTGTATTACGCGGCCGAGGAACCCACAGGAACACTGTGAAGCTACCGCGAAGAAAATACTGAAGAAGTGGGACAAACTTGCGGACGAAATCCTTCATTGCCAGGAAGAAGGATGCTCTACTAAGGTAAAGCGTGGAGGAATGGCCGATCATATCCTTCACTCCCACGGCGATCTCTTCCAACACTATCCTTTTATTTGTCCATACTGCAATGTCCTGGATCTCGGGTCGCTAAGCTACGCGACCTCAAGCTGGCACTTAGCCAAATGCACTCCGGATTACAACCAGAGCAAGAAGCTAGCTAAGAGCCGGTGGACATTCAAGGTACCAGTATAGTATACGCATGTCGGTGATGAAGGAGATGAGCTCGGACAGCACTACTTTGTAACAGAAGTCAAGTACATATCCATGTCGGTGACGAAGGAGATGAGCACCGCTTTGTAACAGAAGTCAGGTACATATCCATGTCGGTGGGTGATGAAGGAGATGGGCTCGAACAGCACCGCTTTGTAACAGAAGTCAGGTACATATCCATGTCGGTGGGTGACGAAGGAGATAGGCTCGAGCAGCACCACTTTGTAACAGACATCAAGTACATATCCAAGTCGTATCTTTTGCTTGAACTTCACGTCCATTTCATAAGATCGCCATTCTACTCGAGATGCTCTATGCTGCCAGCGTGCCGTGCATGTATGTATCAGCGGTATAATACAGCCTTTATTCTATTCATCCCGCTCTCATGTCTGTCGTAACCACCACCGCACGACACCCATTTTATATGTGAACACAGAGGAGAATTTTTGCAAAGACGAACCACTAAAATGCTACTATCAGTGAGCTTAATGGTTTGGATGGATTGGTTCGAGAGGGAAATCCAATCCAGACTAATGAGATATCCAAACAGTCTAAATAGTATCCAAGTAGCCGATGTCAACACATTAATGTTGGTGTTTTCCTTCGAAAAGTCAGAGCTGTCGATACATGAAGTCATCAATCGACAAGAGCAGCGTCCTGAACTACTCTCTCGATTGATCAACAGGCTACTCTGCTAATGGTAAGGATCCGGGTAGGCTTGGAATCGTCGAGCCTATCGAGAGCGAGGCTACATGTATGAGACATTGTGGGAATGAGCAAGGATGTCTTGTCCCGATGAACAATCCTCATATCGATAGCTCCCCGAAAGGTGCTGTTTAGTTGCGTTCTTTGACCTTGTGACATTTCGATAGCCCTATAATTGTTGGATCTGCCTCCTAACCAATCCATCCAATAAGCAGATCAAGTCGATCCAGTCCAGACCACCGCCAACTGGTATCTGAACCAGACCAACAACGGCCCAAACCAACAAGCTCACTGAGCGCTACAACTCGCCGTAAGATACCAGGCCATCCCTTGCACGTCGTAGAGATTGATCGAGCTCGCTACCGGCAGCCAATCTGAATTCCACAAGCTGACCGCATCTGCCCGCAGGGGATGCGTGCATGTACATGAACCAAGAAGCGACTTTCTCCGGCGAGCGATGAGACGTATCTAGGCTCTCAATACAGTGTAAGCGCTCGCAGTGTCCACAGGGACACCTGAGCACCACCAATGTGAAATCTGGATGTGAGCAATCGTCGGTTGCGCATAAGGTGGAGAGATGCGTGTTTGGAGCGACAGCGCAGGGTAACGATGTACGTTTATGAATGTATTCGGGAGATTTCGGTCCAGTCATCAGGGTGAAATTCTAGTAGACCACCTCTGGCAACCTTGAAGCGAGGGTTGGCTTGGAGGTGTGACCTTCAATTCTGTTCGCCTGCATGAAGGCAGCGGGTGACTCTGCTAGCATGCAGGATAGGTGAGCAGGGGGACCTTGTTGCGTATCCCAAGCCAGGAGAGATTCATCCAAGGTGGAAAGAAGGATTTCCCGCTGAAGACGTACGAAAGATTTGGCTCGCTCGCCGTATAGAAGTGGCATGTTGACGTTGAAGAGACCCAGAAGGCAGTAAGCTTGATCTTCAATCCTGGCGGTGCGACGGCGGATGAGATATGGATTGCGGAGAATGTCCTCGGGTATTCCTGTGATTCTCGTGATTCTGGAGTTCAGCGAAACGTGGAAGGAGAACTCGCGATAGAGAGACCCATCATGGCTGCTTTTCACTCCTACAATCTCCCAATTGCTTGCACAGAATATCACACGGGAAGGCGCGATTAACTCCTGAAGCGTCCAGCCGCGAGTGAACCAATCGCTTGCAAAGAAGTCGCTCTCCACAACATCGAAGTCGTGCTCGCTAGGCGGTCGAACATCAGCAAGATAAACGTAGCATTCCTGAGCTTCCTGATACCACTCGAACATGGAGTTGATTGCTTCGGAGAGCTCTGCGCTGCTCTTCTTGTCGATACATACTGTATCGATCCACAGCCAGTCTTGGAAATTATCCTTGGCAAAATCGCAAGCCTGAATAATCTTGTGGTATCCCGATCTCTCGCAGCTCCGTTGCATGTGGTAGTCCTGGTATGTCATTTCTTCATGAGTCCAGCGATGGGACAGTATGCCATACATCGGAGTACTGCCGTCGAAGACCTCCAACTTGTACGTGGTAGTGTTCAGCAGCCGCATCTTTTGGTCTTGACGAGCAGTCGAACAGCCTCAGAGGTCGCCAGAAATGGTATGTGAGAGAGAAAGTGCTCACGAGAGCGGCAAGGCCAGTGGTTCACAGGAGAAGCGCACAGTTCGCCTTGCCCAAAGTATAGCTGATCATGTTCCAATCTCAGGATTAGATGTGTACATATATGATGAACTTGACTAGCAGATGTATGTACACACACTCTCTCTAAGAGTCTGGCTTCCTCGAGAGGATCGCTGATGTATTTTGCTTACAAGTGATAGCAGTTATGAGTTGCATGGGCCGGCTTCCTGGTATTTAGGCGACGACCACGCTTACGGAAAGTTAGCTATGACCACCACAACAAGCAGTGTTGTGGGAAGCTAACAAGAGAAGTGATGATGAAGAGAAGTGATGTTGAAGACAAGTGATGTTGAAGACAAGTAATGCGGAAGAGAGGTGATGCTGAGGCTGAAGCGGGGCGTGCCAAGAATACTGCCTGACGGACACTCCCGCCGTCCCGCTCCCGCTCTGGAAATTCCATACTCATTTCGAGCTTCAGCACGAGGAATCCGCTCAACATCACCAACTACCCAAAGTCCTTAAATACTATATCGCAACCGTCGATATGGGTGGCAAATCAGCAACCAAGGCCGGCTACTTCGACAAGCTCAAGGGCTTGCTCGAGKAGTACAAGTCCATCTTCATCGTCACCGTCGACAATGTCTCGTCGCAGCAGATGCACGAGATCCGTCAGTCGCTCCGCGGMGAGTCGGTCGTGTTGATGGGCAAGAACACCATGGTATGTTAGAGGAGGGGAGATGTTTCCCGCTATCCTCCATCATCCACCACCCACCAGCGCTGACCATCCCCCTTCTTCCAGGTTCGCCGTGCGCTCAAGACCTTCATCGGAGACTTCCCCGAGTACGAGCGCCTCCTCCCTCACGTCAAGGGCAACGTTGGGTTCATCTTCACCAACTCCGACCTCAAGGAGACCCGTAACAAGATCTTGGCCAACCGTGTCGCCGCGCCTGCCCGTGCTGGTGCCGTCGCTCCCGACGATGTCTTCGTCCCGGCCGGAAACACCGGCATGGAGCCCGGTAAGACTTCTTTCTTCCAGGCTCTCGGTGTCCCCACCAAGATTGCTCGTGGTACCATTGAAATCACCAGCGACTTGAAGCTCGTCACCGCCGGCTCCAAGGTCGGTCCTTCCGAGGCCACCCTCCTCAACATGCTGAACATCTCTCCCTTCACCTACGGCATGGGCATCTACCAGATCTACGATCAGGGTCAGACGTTCGAGTCCAGCGTGTTGRACATTGAGGAGTCTCAGCTTCTCAAGGCCTTCAGCTCGGCCATCACCACCGTTGCCTCGCTCTCCTTGGCGCTCAACTTCCCAACTCTCCCATCCGTCATGCACAGCTTGGTCAACACCTACAAGAAGGCCATCTCCTTGGCCATTGAGACCGACTACGAGTGGGAGGCCATTCACGAGCTCAAGGACCGCATCAAGAACCCAGACGCCTATGCTTCATCTGCACCAGCTGCTGCTGCCACCACTGAGGCTGCTGCCGATGCCCCTGCTGCCGCCAAGGAGGAGGAGAAGGAGGAGTCTGAGGATGAGGACATGGGCTTCGGTCTCTTCGACTAAGCGCTGTCGGGAAAGATGTGGGATGATTGTCGTGTGGAAAAGATGATACTGTCTCTCTGAGAGGCCTTGTCGGTCCAGACTACAAGGTATGTTGTTTGATACCCCTCGCATACCCCATCCATCTGAATGATGAATCATTTTTAACCCTGAGCTCGCTCAATGAGGACCAAAACGCAACAACAACACTCTAATTTTTTCCTGACACTCCCAACACAAATCACGCTTATTCGATCACCATCACAAATGATCAAGAGCTAACGTGTGAATCATAGGTACTTGGAGACATACAGAGAACTTATACAGACGAACAATCAAACCCTTTCCAAATCCACCCTGATCCACTCCACTATCCACCCACTCCTGCCACCTATGCTCGTGCAGACTGCTGAACTTGCATCGTTGCCCACAAGAACATATGCGTGTGACATGTTGTTCACGCCGTCTTCCCATAGTCCTTGCATGTATTCTCTGAATAGTTTCGCCGTGATAGCTTTGGCGATGCCCTGCCCTCTATATTCAGGCTCAACATGCAAAGTCGTCACAGCCCCATCCAAACCAACAAATGCCCATGCCACGGGCTCACCCTTTGCATTACGAATTGCAAGCTGAGGCAGAATAGCAAGTGTCTTTTCCTGCCGCGGAATCTGCGTACGAGATCGCACCAGCGCGAAATCCGACGGCTGTAAATGTCCCCATTGAAGACCTTCTGGCAAGGGACTCGACGCTGGCAGCGAGTCGGGAAGGGAGGAGAAGATGTAAAAGTGATTGGGAGCTCCCCATTCACTAGCGCCCAAACGATGGACAATCGCTGCCGTCTTCTCGTGAACTGCACCTAGGAGGATAATGAATGGGTTTTGGAGATGTGCAATGTAATCCCCATGCGTCTGACCCGAGGTGTCTTTATCGTTGGTACTAGCAATACCGTCTTCAATGGCTTGAATCGCAGCTTCTGCAGCTAGAGCATGTTGATGGCGAGATTCCGGGAGTGGGAGGTTTTTGATACATTGGAGGAGATTTCTAATCAGGTCATTTTGCACCTCTTCTTGGCCTGGAGTGGAGGGGATGGGATCTGCTTCCCACGAGCAAAAAATCCAGAGTTCTGTTTCTGGGCGCGAGGAGCGGTCGAGGAAGGTTAGGTACCATTGATCTTTTTTGTTGGAGGCTAGGCGGATATCTAGAGTGGGGAAGTTGGTGAGGAGGAGTGTCTCGGGGAAGAATTGTCCGAATTGTAGTCTTCTGTAGAGAGCTAGTGAGGTGGGTAGGAATGGACGGAGAATGTCGAGGGCGAGAGATATGGTTTCTTTTCCGGATGGACCGGACAGAGCATGGCTGTAGACTCCTTGGGAGTGGGAATTCATCTTGATCTTTTGAAGATGTATTGGAATTGTATGTTGAACTTTGTTTTGAGGATGAAGGAGAGTGATGTGTGTGAGTCAAAGATCTCATCAGGGGGGATCTGCACAAGCGGCGTCGGATACCTATGCAATCTACATGTTCTAGAATCGCGTTGAAGATTGAGCACTGAGCGACCTACCTCGACGCAGCGTCTACAGCAGACAAGTCGGTCGTCTTTAACTTCTTGAACATGTTCCCGATGCCGCGATGGAGAAGAGGAAAGAGTCAAAGACATGTGGACATGGAATGCCATGTCGCGCTRACCAGATACAGATATGCGTCAAGGAGTCATGAAATTTGTCTGGCAAAATGATCATCCGCTGCATCAACACCGACGCTATCAATATCTTCACTCCGTTGCGCCAGAGGTGGGAAATAATACGACTTAATCCAGGACTTCAAACGACGTCGTCCGTCTCAGAAAAACTCACTTTCCATCTCATTCATGCCTTTGAGCGTCATACCACGACATTATCAGCGTCACTGGGACTGGCCACGGAAAATCCATACTTGTCAATTCCCGGAGCCTCGAAGGGTACGATAGTACTTTCCGAATCAAGTCCAGAAAGCACACCGCGATCTCATGTCTGATCCACATGGAATCCCCAAGCCAAGCGGACTTCGCCCAGTGAAGACAGCGACAGAATCCCAAACAATCTGGTCCATCATTCCCGAGCGCGAGTTCCGACAGAATCTCGTCACGCTCGAGAGGCGCACAAATGCCGTCCCCATAGCCGTGTTGAATTCTTCTGTGGTTGAAGATGGTCCTACAGAATTCGGGACTTTGCCTCTGAGCATCGAAAGATCTTTGGCGGATGATCTCGCCTATCTCGCTGCCGTGACGGAGGGAGCACAGAGCGTTGCTGCCGTTTGTCTTGAGCAACATGTTGGTGCGAAGAAGCTTGTGGTGAGAGTCGCGGGGATGGACGTGGTGGACCAGAAGGTTCGAGATATGTTGAGCGGAATCGCTGCCGTGTTGGAAAGTGCCGCGTTTGCGGAAGATGTATCGGATTGGGAAGAGAGAGTCTTTGCGATGATTATTGAGCAGCATTCTCAGAAGCTCCTTGGGCGAATGCGGTCCGTTAAATGGACGAAACCGGCTTACCTGAGGAGGACGCATAAGAAGCCTCTTGTCAAAGATTTTGAGAATGTGGCACATCGAGTTCAGCATGTGTACCCGAGAAAAGGAGAGTGGAAGGTCAGGAAAACGTTGGCGGGCGTCATTGCGGCTTTGAGTAAAGAGTACGAGAGGTTTGAGAGTGGAGCTTTCAAGGATGAGTTGCTGCAGGAGTTATATCGGCTTGTCAAGGCTACATATGACTTTTGCATGGTATTCGAGGTGAGAGATTTCGCGTCGAGGATTGCAAGTATTGATGGCCCAACACCACAAATTGCAGCCGCGGTGAAGACATTAAGACAGCTGGAGAAGATTGGAGCGTACTGGAGAATCGCCAAGGATCTGATCACAACAGCGAAGAAATTCCCGGATTCCTTTCGCCGTGTCGAGTTGGAGTATGTAATCCCATACGCCGAGGCCGAGACGGACATTGCCTATGAGAGCTGGGCCAAGATCATGCATGTGCATGCCGAGGTGCAGCTGATGGTCGAGTACGCAATACGGCAACAGAGGGTTGCATTGCAGTCTGGCGATGAAGTCTCTGGAAGCACCATCATCTGGCCGCGCACAATTGGCACGAGCAAGTATCTTTGCTATCTCTGTTATCTATTCATGCGAGAGCATGGCGGTTTCGGACAGGATCTGAGTTCGCATGGGAGGTTGTTCGATCAGTGGACTGTGCCGGATCTACGGGAATATGACTCTGGGACGAGAGATAAGCTGGCAGATGTGCTGTGCAAAGTGAATCAGTGCGTGGAGAACCAGATCGCCGATCTTCGTAGAGATGTCGTCTGGCGACCTGAGCCGATGACGAGTCGACAGAACCTATTGGGTTGTGGCGATGAGGTAGAGAAGGATGATGGTACGGCAGTCGAGGAACTTGAGCAGAAGTTGTCCGCATTGTGAAGGAGAGGAAGACGCCGGTCTGCCCTGTCCTACGACCGGTGAAATCAAATACTTTCTACAATAACAACAGCACGATCAAGGAGAAATCATTCAACAAGGAATTCGACCCTCCATACTCAGCTCTCCCCAAGGTCGCATCATTTTGTTACTTGCAACTACCTATCACAAGCCACAGCACTATCGTCAATTCACCGCAAAGAGCGACATCAATCTTTCAAATCTACCAGCCCTTGTCCAGCAAAAGGCACTCATCTCTCATWCTCTCGACCAGAATCTTGATACTTCCAAACCCATCGGTATTAAAGGTTGCCGTCCTAGCTACAGCTTCCCAGCCGCTACTTTTCAGGAAGACTTCCATGGATGTTCAAGCAAAAGACACGACTTAGATATGTACCTAATTGCTTTCTATTACAAAGCGGTGCTGTTTGTGTTGAATGAAACAGCACCTCGCCTTGCGGAACAATTCTGGTGATGTTCATAAACGCTGAGATAAACTCCACTCATATCCCATCACAGCTTCAGTGGTTTAGTGGTAAAATTAATCGTTGCCATGTGCATGATCGATTAGCCCCGTGTTCGATTCACGGCTGATGCATTCATACCATAAGCGCACTGGTGTCAATTGCGATTGAGGGTGGGTTAAAATCCCATCTATACAGCTGATTTTTTTTTTTGAGTTTTTGCCAAGACCCCTTTTTCGCCGCACCCAGCAATTTGCATGCGTGTTGGTGAGGCCAGGGCGGGAGGGTATGTTCATTCTCCACATGAGAGATTGGAACGTCCTCTAACAAAAGGTGTAGTTTGGTTGACGGCTGATACATTCATACCAATAATCGCGCTGGAATCAGTTGTGATTGGGGTTGGGTTTGAATCCCAACCATGTAGCTCTTCTCTGTCCTCCTGGTCAGAATCCCGTTCATACAGCTCTCTTTTTCTTGGAGCTTTTTGCTAATTTTTTCAGACTTGCATGAATCATCAGGGGTCTGAACTCCTTTAAAGCCAATTCGGCGCTAGCGATCCACATCGCTTCCAAATGTCAGCTCCAAATACCTTCCATAGGTATTGCTTTCTGATGTCAGCTCCACATACCTTACATATTGCTCACAGATGTCAGCTCCAAATACCTTTCACAAATGATTCTTGGTTTGAAGTCGAATTGTGTATACTGGTATTCCTTACAGCGGCAACGCAACTCAGCATCTTGCCCGAGCTTCCCAAGCCATGCTGGTCTTCGCAGGTAGAGCAAAACACAAATRACCCATCCCTAACAAGCTGGCCCAGTCAGAAGGCAACCAAGGACTGAACCTTTCTCAATGGCGGCCTCTGCTCATACTTACATCTCAATGCCTAGTAGCGAACTGCAAAGAAGACTACATACCTATCCTCATCCCTCCCATCTTTCTTCTTCATTCAGCACTCGCCTTTCGTCTAGCCACCTGGATCTCTCTTCTTCCTCCTTTTCAACTCACGCAACGGCTTGCAACTCTGACAACGCCTGTCTACTGTTACCATTCCAATTGCTTGAAGCTCATCGCGTTTTCCTCCCTTCATCTATCGTGTCACTCATCAAACCACAGAAAGAAATAGGAAAAGGCTTCCAACCTCCCCTTGTCCACAGATCGGACATTTTGCCCGACATTACCCAACATGGCTACTACCCCAGACCGGAGCGAAGATTCGCTTTCAAAGATACAACTCGCGATGGCAACTGGAGCTGACCTTGCCAACAGTCTAAAAGACCCTTTTCAAAACTGAGACATCCCGTGAAAAATTCAGAAACAGAGTTGAAAGACGTAGTGAAGAGACAGCCTCGTTTCAACTCCTACAAGAAAAGCGATTTGATTACTGGCATTCTCGATCCCTTTGCGCACGCACAGAAGTTTTTCAAGGAAGTTGATGCATAATCTAGAGTTGAAAAACTTGCAGCCGTCTCGCATCTTGCTCAAGAATTTCGATTTTTCTTCCTCTCGACCATAAAGGACTCCCGAGCAGCTTGGGACTTTCGAGACAGCAAATTTACAGTTACCGACTCCGCCGGCGCCAACACCACTACATCAAAAAGACAACGATCCATCTATTACGCGGCCGCCTCCTCTGCAGCCCTCGACATCGAAGCAGCATACCACTCGAGACCATAATCCTATCATGACGGCGTCTGGTTCCATCGTGGGTGACTTTGACCTTGCATCACTACGGGCGATGTCGAACAGGTCTTCGAACAAGGCTCCGGTGATTCCATCCGCTCAGTCGACCAGTACCGGCAACATTCCAGCTACCACCTCGTTTGCCACGATGACCAATGCCAATCCTATGGCTCCTGCTATTGAACGCTCGTCAAATACAACTTCGTCGATAGCTAGCCATAACTGCAGATCTATTACAGTCCTCCCGAATGTGAAGTCTTCATGTCAAACCGCCATTTTCGCCCATCCCACATTCTACACCTGTATTGACCTTACTGTCTTTAACTGGTTAACGAGGAGTGGCATAGAGCCCAAGTTCCCGAGGGCGGGGGAATTCAAGGAAAGCGACATTAACAACTACAACACGTTCACCGCAGAGAAGAAGGATGTACTACGGAGGTAAGGCGCGTAGACAAAGCCGATTACATCCTCGAAGCCTACGACGATCTCTTCTAGCACTATCCTTTTATTTGTCCATACTACCATATCCTAGATCTTGGATTATCCGGCGTTCGTTCCGTCGTAGAGCACTTAGAAGGCTATAGTCCAAAATATAACCAGAGCAAGACGCTATATAATAGCCGCTAGAAATTCAAGGTACCAGAGGAGATGGCATAGTATACGTACGTTGGCGACGAAGGATATGACCGCGAATAGCAACGTTCTGTAATAGAAAGAAATTACACATCCAAGTCGTGTCTTTTGTTGTGTGATGTCCAATACAAACTCTATCAACTTTCTTTCCGGCGACCTTATGAATTAGGCGATGCATCCTTTATACAGACAGTAGGGGAGCCTTCACATTTAGTAAGGTCAGGGTCAGAGGGTCGAATAGATAGCATCGGATTCATTTGACTCCACAGCCCCATCGAAGGCCTTTGAAAATGTTTTGATAGTCGTAGCAGTTGAACATTCCGTGCTCATCATATAGCGGATGGCGAGCGACATCTCTAAGGTGCGGCACAGTCATCTGCGCTGGTGGAGAGCGGTATACATTCCACCAGGAAGCAGGATTATCGTTGGTCATTCGTAGTCGGGCATACTCACTAATACAGCACCTTGACAGAAGCGAACGCTCGCGGAAATGTAGCTCAGAATGAAGCACATGAGCTTGCGTTTGTCCTAGACAAATGTGCGGGGAGGGAGAGTATGGGATACAAATCTCTGTGAATACCCCTCTCCTGTCCCTATCACCCACCGCAACAGTCCCCGGAGAAGTGCTCACTGCACTCGCTCGCGTCAGTAATGCCTCACTTCGTAAACTACAGCTCCAAGCTGTACGAGGTCGAAGGGGAGTAAAATTGGTACGCTTGCTTTTTGAGACATTGCAGCAGCGCAATCGCGAGAGAAAAGAAATTCGTAATGTAAAATATAAAATATACCTCTCGGTAGGGATGTGGAGGAGTTGGTGTAGTCGTAGCATGGTGCTAGCGACGCGATGCGAAGTCCCTTTTTGTGATAGATGCAGACCTAAGGAGCGTCGCACCATGTGTTAGCAGCCGTTGAGGCGTTGATCAGCAGTTCTTGAGGAGCTTTTTCCGAGTTTGTCCTCCTCTGCGCCGCATACCGAAAGTCTGTTTGAAAATCTGATCATTCTTGCTGGAGGCTTGGCCTTGGAGGTTGTTAATCCCGMCAGTGACTATTGGTGGGGCGGCTGTGCTAAGATGTGAATGCAAGTGATCGGCGATGTTGCGTTATCCGCCATGGCGAAGCGACGTGGAGTCCACGAACGGGCAGACAAGGCGTGGACAAGTAGCCGCTCAAGAGATAACATGGAGAGAAGAAGTTGTCTTAGATTGGCGCATGATGAGGAGGACTGAAAGGGTCTCGCCGCCGGCGGAATGGTTGCAAAGGCATCCAGTGCTGGCGCCTACTCTCAGCAATGATCTCGAGCCYGTGGAGTTCGGTAAAGGGATGATGGATGTTCCCCAGAAAACCTCTTGAGTCATGAGATGCGCCGTGCGTGCGCCAAAGCCGATGCCGTTTGCAAGGTTTGACGGGTGCCGTTGCTGGCTCTTGTGCCAGAGTTCGAAATTCCAACCGCTTGTGGCACGAGCTTTTTACTTTTCCTCAGAGATTCATGACTCTGAAGGTGAGCGAGTCGTGGCAGATGATGCGACTGTTGTGATCCTTCTAGATCACACCGCACATTGTAGCCTCGGATGTCAAGTAACGGTGATTTTTTGGAAGGATGCAAGCGCTACACAGCCGCGTCGAAGCCGAAAACAGCATGAGCCAGCAGACTGCTTTTGCTGAAAGTCGGATCGGGAAGTTGCAGCGCCCATCCCTTGTCGTCAACAATAGGCATTAGAGTTCGATCTATGCATAAGCATAAGAGGGCTTCGGTCTAGCCGAAATTTCAGACCAGAGATTGGCTGTTCGTCCTATGGACGCCTCAAGCCTTCACCATCGGATCATCGATGCCGGATGAGCAGAGCTTGCGTGAGGGCTTGCGCCTCGAAATGGTAGGCTGCACCATGATTTCCCAGTGGCGAAATCCCTCGAGCCACCATGATCTTGGTACCTGCGGAGCGCGACGAGTGGCGCGCGCTAGAGAGGCGGGAGGGAAAGGAGAGGGGAGGAAGAGACAGTACCGAGGTGCGCCGAGCGAACGGGGGTATCCCTTCACGAAACAGAGGAGCAATGCGTGGAGAGCTGGAGCTGGACTGGACTGGACTACTGGACAGGCACAGATGCGATACACGCAATGATGAAAGCGGAAATAGTACGGTGACGGGACCTTTAGCAGGAGCCGTGGAAAGAGGAGGTGGACGGAGTCTGGACGCACTAAGGTGAAGCGAAGCGATTGGCCCGGCCGATCGCACGTCGCATCGATCGGACCCACCTTTCTGGCGACGAGGACGAGGAGTGCGCACACACAGAAACAACGCGAGCTGAACCCTCGGCAAGGCAAGTGCGGTGGATGGCGCGACGGAGCTGGCGGTTGAACTGCGAGCGTTGGAGATGCCGCACACGCACAACCTTAGCTCAACGGGATAGAAAGCTCCCTGGTGGTGAAGAGTGATTCGCCATCATTTGCAGCGCCGGTGGGAGCATTTTGAGCTCACCACAGGTACGGAGAGACTTTCGCAGAGCGCGACACGGCATGGCCACATCCAACTGGTGGTGACTGGCAGGAGTTGGCTCGGGTGTCGGCGATCCGGGACCAGCGAGGCTAGTTCTAAAGTGTGCGGTGCTGTGGGCGACATGAACGCCATCCGCGCTGGCTCGAGACAAGAGGCCGCCGCGCCGTGAGTGGACGCAGGTAAGCTATGGGTAACCTACGTGGGCACTGGCCTCGACCAAGCTTGTCGCCGAGGACGGGAGATTGGCAGCAGAGACGCCTCCTCTTCACCAGCAGGCGAGAGTCTAAATTCCCGCGAGCGTGCGCTGTGACTTGTGGACGGAGGAAGCAAGCGATTCATGGATGAGGGAGCCCACCCCAAATGACGCAGGGTAGAATTCGGCGCTAGTGATGCGCGCCTGAAAGAAAGGGTCGGTGCGCTGGAGTGGAGGGCGAGCTCGCCGTTCGGGCGGTGGGACTGGAGGATCTGGCATTTTTCCTGTGTAGTGCCTCGCCGGTGGCTTGCAGGCTTGCAGCAGGGGACCTTTGGGCGCAGGCGCTCCACGCCGTCATTCTTCAAACCGTGTGCGCACGCCGAACACATATCATCCTCGCCCATCCGTGCAAGATCTGCATCTGATCTTCAATCGATTGCCCTTTCCAAGCATCCCATACCCCAGCACCACATCTCTTTGGGCCGCAACCCTCCATCAATAATTGATTCGACTCTGTCCATTCMACCATCGGGCACGCATCATAGCCCACCGCAGACACCCACCCACGCCAGGTCCCTCTGCTGCAGCTGCAGCATCAACACCCGCAAACAAACGCAGTCTCCGCATTGATTGCGTCAAAGCAGCTCAACCGCACCGCAACCTGAAACATCTGCCCGCTGTCCTCGACGGCTCGCGAATCCGGCGCTCTAGCTGCATATCGCGCTCCCCTCTGGCCACTGACAGCCGCCGTCCGTCCACCAGGAACTGGCCAACCGTTGGATCGGCATTCGAGGGGTGTCTTGCCCGTGCTCAATCTTCGGATCCTCCCAGCCTCGAGGAACGGCACCACATAAGCACGCTGATCCCGCGCATCCTCAAGGACGGATCGCCCTCTCCACGTTGTCGATACTCTTGCACCCAGCGTTGATCTCTCCACACCCACCGGCAGGGCTAACATTGGCGCTTCGTCTGCTACAACGACTGCAACGCATCTTCACGTTACCACCCCACCGTCCCCAACGACGCCCACCACCATGGCAACAATGGCCGTCGACAACCKACAGCAACCCCAGTTCAGCCCTATCGGCTACGAGCAGATGAGATACTCCAACGCACCGCAGTTTACGAATCCTTGGGTGTCTGGAGCTTCCAACCAGAGTCAGGCGTATGCCACCTCGATGCCTCATGGCACCGACTCTCGCTACGTCCAGACACCCAACGTTTCTGCTGCGTACGCTGGTGGCCAAGTCTCCGCTCCCGCCATGGCATCAGGTATTCTTCAAGTGGACCCAGCCCTATTCGATCAGACCGGCTTACAACTCACCCAAGATGCCATGAGTGCTCCCAGACCGTACGGTGCTTCCTACTCATCCGCAGCACCACCTGCAGCGACATATGCTCCCACGTCTGCCCCACAGTACGCGTCTGCATATGGATACCAAGGAGACAGGCGCTCTTCGCACCCGTCAGTAGCTTCCAGCATGTTCCTAGGCGCTCCAGTCGAGGCTCAGAAGTTTCGCCAGAGCTCCATGTCTGACTTTAACAACAGAATGAACTCGGCCTCGGAAGCAGAGCGCCAAAGTTTCAGTGATGCACTCGATGCCAGTCGGGGCATGGTTGCAATGAGCCAGTCAGACATTACCCCACGCAACATCTACGGTGCCTCCAGCGCAGGCAGACCTACGACAGACGCCTACGGCTTTCCAAATGGTCATTCCTCCCACTCTTCGATCTCGTCGGCCAGCACCTACCCGACCTATTACAACAGCTCCGTCAGCGACGCCTCCGTGGGTGATTACAGTTCCGCCAACGAAGAAATGACAAACTCGCGGACACTTCCCAGACCCCACGGCCTTCCCAATGGAAGCATGCCACCAGCACCACAGTCCATGATGAACCAGTTCAGTTCCAAGGTTTCATCCAGCTCGCAAAAGAAGCACAAGTGTAAAATCTGCGACAAGCGGTTCACCCGCCCGAGTTCATTGCAAACTCACATGTACAGTCACACCGGAGAGAAGCGTGAGTAACATCGCAGTGATGAATTATCTACATTCACTGACATTTCATAGCATTTGCATGTGATGTCGATGGCTGTGGCCGCCACTTCTCTGTCGTCTCCAACCTCAGGAGACATCGTAAAGTCCACAAAGGCGAGGGCACCGATCCCACATCCCCCGAAGAGGACGAATGAACGAATTAATGCTTGATATTGTGCATAAATTGGGACAAGTCATGGAAATTGACTGGCGCATGGGAACTTTTCTTCTACAACGATCGCTTACTTTGATACCCCGTTTTCGCGTTTTGGACTCTGGAATACAGGGCCGGGTTTGGATTGTGGCAAGCGCCGCAGCAGGCGCTAAAGGGATTGATGAGCTGTACAGACTCTGTATGATTATACGGGACGGCACCTGGTAGAAAATAGGTGTCCGGTGCGCAATGCGMAAGAAAGCACCTGGCATGGTATGGTTACCTACTACAGATGTGGCTCCAGAGCCGGGAGATGGGAGGATGATATCTTCCATCCTTGCCGACGAAATACTACTTAATACCTCTCCATTGCCTCTGTTCACAGTTCACCATCGCAGCGACTCCATTGACATCTTGATTGAACACTTCGTTCAACTCCACTTACTGGCTCATATCCCACTTTGAGAGCATACTTTTACCGTTTTTGCCGGCGACTCTCTACCGCGAATCCCATCCATGTCAGTGGCGCGCCGATCTACAAGCACACAAGGATTTCGATTCGGCCCCAGTTGCACAGACACGCTCCATCGCGCCATCCCATCCTTTCCAGCAATAATCTCACCAATCAGTGCTCCTACAACACTAGATGCAAGATGCAGGGTCACATCGCGCTGAATGTGATGCAATGCAACCTGACCTCATGAGCATTTTACCTACCTTACCTTTTAGACCCTGTGATGGATGTTGTGACGCCGAGCATTTTTCATCTTCGTAGGTAGTCCGGGCACACCACCCACACATGGACGGCGGTGGGCATATCACCTCATCACACATGGTCTTGCACCACAAGCGACAAACGTGGTTGGTGGAACCTCGCACGCTTTTTCTAGTAGCACAACTACCTACGGCGTGTCGAACAGGTGCTTCCAACCTGGAGTTGCACGTGAGCCAGCTATGTTGAGCTACCTACTAGAACTACGTGGTGGCAAGGATGTGATGTGATGCCATCTCCACTTTCCGCGAAAAAAACGAACTATGTTCCTTCACACACACATTCTTCTTCGTCATCATCACGGCGAGTCAATAGATGTTGCCCACGACGTCGCTGCGCAACTGTTCCTGGATGCAGGGACTGTTGGCAGCGTGCTCTGGGCTGGTTTTTCTTTACCCACGAGCAGATACTTTACTCTTTGCCGAGAACGACAGAACTGTACCTACCTGTACACTACTCTTGTCATCCCTAACCTTCGAATCCACTCTGAATCTATCTTCTACTAATGACTTGTGCTAGCCTGTATATGCCCTAAGCAGTTGTGAATCGGAGACTCTCAGATGACAGGTCTGGCGTGCCATAGATCGGGCAGCCACATCGCATCACAGTGCATTGTCTCGCTTCGCATAGCAAGCACTACACTATAGGTTTTATCAAGTCAACTGTTACAAACCTCCGGACCTCCGTAGTCCACCTTTATATTAGACGATTATTCTTAATAAATCAGAACACTACTACTACGCACTTAAAACACGCCCTAAGTAGCTTAAAATCACCGCAATAGTTAATAGATTAAAGCTGCCTGTCCTTAATAAGGTATTACGACGCCTAGAGGATACCGACCTTAGTAATATAGCTATTACGGACTAAGTTAAAATAAGCCGAATAACTATCTACCGCATACGCATTTCTATAGACTTATTCGGCCTACCCTACCCTCTACGCGGATATACGCTTAGTCTACGGCCTTTACTATCTAATTACTACGTTCGAATAATGCTAGAGTAGCTCTTAGAATAGCTAATAGCGTACCTTAACGAAATGTAGTAGTATCTATAGGATAAATACGGTATATAGGCTTCTATACCTACTATCTATAGGGCTATATATAACGTAGGCTAGTTACGTAAGGTAGCGAAAAAACAACTACGTAAATAAAGCGAATTCCTTCGTATATACTAGCGTAACAAACGTAATACATAGCTAACTAACCGCATCTACTACATTAACGAGAGTATATAGAACGAACGCTATAGTTAGCGCAAATACGGTTAGAGTAAGAAGGGCGTTAACTACGTAGACTAATAACTATAGGACAGAAGTAAACGATAGAGTATCTTACTAGTAATAATACCGGACGGCTACCTACTAGGAACGTTAATCTATTAAGGCAGTATTACCGGAGACATTCTATATAAATAGCTAGAGGATACGGTTGCTCCTTAGTTAGCTGCTAGATAGTTACTAGTCCTTAATAATATATCTATATACTACGATATTCGCATTAAACGCCTCTGTTTAGATAATAGCATTTAGATTAAGTATCTACCTCCTTACTCTCCGGACTATAACCCTATCGAATAGTCCTTCTTAGTTCTAAAAGCGTTTGTTCGTCGCTATATTAAAGAGGCGGAAGGATTCGAGAGCTACTCTTACTTCCTTATATAGGTAATAAACGAGTATTATATAGATCCGGACGTTGTAGAGCGCTAGTTCTATTATAGTGGATTTCGAGCAATTAATTAAGTTAAGTCGATTGCCGCTATTAGAGCCGGCTCCTTATTAATTGCCCTTATTTATCCTTATCGCTTAGGCCTATAGCTCCTTATCTAAGGACGGTTCCGGCTCTAGTTTTAGCGACTGCTAATCGTACTACGACTACGAGGGTTATACAACTTCCTTAATTAACGTAATCCTTCCTTTAAGCGCATTAAGGCGTTCCGTAATCCCCTCTAGTAGCTTTACTATATTGTCGACTATCTTCTAAAGGGCGTATAGATCGAGGGAGAGTAGGAATAGCTACGGAGGTAGCGAGGGCGGTGTACGTAATAAGGGCGGTATCGATAGAGGCCGTAGTAATAGCGTACGTTTACGCAGCTACTAACTGTCGTTAGAATTAGGCTATTCGAGTTAATAATTAGATAAATGTTCATTTTCGTGTTTTTTTCCTATATGTATACTACCGTCGAGCTATCGTATCCCTTACCGTCTTAAAAGCCTATATATATAGCTAAAAGCGGCCGTGCGCGACGTATAGCAATATTCTAAGAGATGCGTAGATGCTAGATAGCTAATCGTCTAAAATACGAGCCTTCTAAGATAAAGCAAAGTTCCCCGCAAAACGCTAAGAAAACGCTAAGGATACTATTCGGACCCTAAAATCCTCGTAACTACTAAGCGTACTATGTAATTGCGTACTAAGCGTATACTCTAAAATCGCCGCATAAATACACAGAATTCGAGCTCGCTAAGAGCTTTATTTTAACCTATCGTTAACTAATTTTAGTAGTGTAGTTATAATATAGTAAATTATAGACTATATTACACCGGAGATCCGGCTTTATAGCTTCCGCGAGTCTCTATATAGGCTTTAGATGTTATTTATTTTACCTACCTATTTAGAACAACACTATTATATAGCATATGCTATATAACATAAAATAGATCTTATAATAACTCGATACGCTAAAGAAGCTCGAAGAAAAATCGCGTAAATCGGACCGCTACGTAAAAAGCTACCGCCTGTTTAAATCTACGCTCCTAGCATTACTACCTATAGGATTATCCGGCCGCTACTATGCACGTATAGAACGTCTTAGATATTGCCGCTAGCCTTCCTTAAAGCCGTTCTTAATCCACTATTTACGTATTATATCTATTAACGCTTCGAGGCTAAGGTCCCTTTATATAAAGAAGTCCTATATCTTATATAGGTTATCTTAGCGGTTATRTTTCGTCTAGTAGTCCTATATTAATATAAAGTAGATGTAGTTGTTAAGCTAGTAAAGTAGATTAAGTAAGGGCTCTCGAACTTAACTTAATAGTAGCTCTATAATAGGCTATATAGGCCGTAGAGGTAAGTTCTCTTTATCGCTGTCTACTAATTTACTACTAAGGTAGAAGTTCTGTACTTAACTACCGTTCTACTACTATTTACGCCGGTTTAGACTAACCGTTTCGATAGCGCCCTTCCTTAATATTACATAAGCAGCTAAGCGGTAAGCAATACTAGCTAGTAGCTCGAATTTATCTATAAATTTAACCTTTAGATTAGGCCTATCTAGCTTCTTATTAGCTATGCTGTTCTTAATTAATTTAGCCTAGTTAAGAGCCGCTTAAGGGAATAATTCGTAGTATTCGCTACTAATATATTTAGCTATAGTTCTATTACCTCTCTTAATTGCACGTCTACTAGTCGTATATACGATGCCTAAGGTCGCTATTGCTCTTAAGTGTAGTACGTTTAATCCGTACGTTCGCTGTCTAAGTATTCGTAACTATTCGTCGCTATAAACTCTACGTACCTAGTAGGGCTATTTAGCCTAATATAACATCTACTATTATAGCAGCCTAGAACTCGTAGGACATATGTATCTATAGGTCCTTATATTTATAGTTACGCTAAACACGTAGTTACTATAGGGCTATCCTATACGTTCTATCGTCGGCTAGATCCTAGGTTATCTAGTTAATCTTCGAGAGCTTACTATAGGCCGTATAGATTATAGGGAACTACTTAATATCCTTAACGTAACGAGGAACCTCTATCTCTTAATTATTATTATATCGTGTCTTATACTACTCTCTAAAGTTGTCGTATTAAGAGCCGTCTATAGAGGACTTCTTAGAGTAGGCTATTAACTCGACACGCTCCTTATTACAATTAATCGTCTAATAGGCGCTATACGTAAATAGCCTGTTCTTTCTAGCTTTATCCTTATCCTTATTATTATTAATATTAATATTAACTCTACGTTGCTTACGTAACCGCTATGTACTTAGTAGTAGCCGTTCTTCTTCTTCCTTATCCTCTATATCCTTATCTATACGAAGGAATAGCTCCTTATTCTTATCCGCAATATCTACCTCTTAATTTAGCCTCTTACTAACATTAACACCTCTAGTTCCGGCTCTATTACTATTACGCGAACGACGCTTCCGTAGACGCTACTCTATTACCGCCGCCGCGCGCTTCTTCGACGATTACGACTTCTTTATAGAGCTAGCTTTTCCCTTACCCTTAGACGGTCTAGCCTTTAGTATAGCGATAGCGATAGCAATAGTAATAGTAGCGGCTTCTTAAGCCTTCTTAGATAGACGCGCTCTACGTAGCGTGTTACCTCGAGAGGTACGCGCTAGAGCCGCTAGTAGCGTAGTATATACTTAATTTTCGGCTATTTCGATAATATCGTCCTTTTTAATTACCACTAGGAAGAAAACACGGTAATTAGGTGATGTTGTGGTAAGAACATTAGTTATAGGCCAAATTTTAGTATGTGGCGATATTTAGCTAACGATGAAGCCCTAGGAACCCCACATGTAACAGTTCACTTGATAAAGAGTGTACACGTTCAATCGACAACCCCTACACCATTTGACTCAACACGACCAGGCGAGCAACTCAGCTAGTCATATCAAAAACGCTATCACACTACCTCCCCTATTCTACTCATGTGAGCTCCTAGGGTCGTTCTGGTTCTTCTTCGGGGAATCGTCCCGGCAAAGAGGTCCACTCCAGGAAACGCAGGCTACAACTATAGCGCAAGGCCACCCAGGTGGATAACCGAACCCCGCCACGCTACCTACTACTCCTCGTCCATCACATCTGCCTTGCGCTTCCTAGCACGTTCGGCTGGTATTTTCGCGCCATTTGGACCCATCGAACCATTCATACCTTTCACGCTTGTCGCCTTCACCGCTTCCATGCCCGAAGTCGTGCAATGCTCAGCCCCTGAACCAGCTTGCTGTCCGCGTTCCAGCTTCCCGACCTGGGACTCTCCATCTGCAGGGACAGCATCACTTCCAACCTCATCCTYCACCACAGGAAATGCAGTCAAGATGTYCTCGATCGGTCCCCACCAGTCAAAGTACTTGGCATACCACTCCACTGTGTTTGTCAAGCCTTGCTCCAACGACACTTGCGGCTTCCAACCCAAATCCCTCAACTTGGTTCCATCGACTGCGTATCGAAGATCATTAAAGGGACGGTCTCGTGTATGCTCAATCGAACCTGCGATATCCTCCACCCCAAATCGACCCAAAAGCTTCCCAGCCAAGTCCAGATTCGAGATCTCGTCCTGGGAATCGACGTTGTAGATTTGGCCGATTTCACCCTTGTGCAGGATGGTGTCGAAGGCGTCCGCCGCATCCCCGGCGTAGAGATATCGTCGTGTGTTTTTGCCGTCTCCGTGGATCCAAAGTGGCTTCTTGCGCTGGAGGAGATTGATGAACTTTGGGATGATTTCTGCGAGAAAAAGTCAGCATGGCAGTCCTCGCGCGACCAAATTCATCCGTCACCAACTCTCGGGAAACTGGAGACGTGTTAGCCAGCGTCAAGCGTGTGAGTGTAACCTTACTAACCTGATGTGGCCCATACACATTATTCAAGCGTATCATGATTGCCGGCAGCTGGAAGCTACTGACATACGCAGTAATGTACATTTCCGCGGCCGCTTTACTCGCAGAGTATGGGTTCGTCGGAGCGAGCATGGTATGTTCGCTGAGATCCGCAGCATCCATCTGAACCTCGCCATAGACCTACAATTGGTAAGTTACTGCGATTTTCCTTCCTCCTTTACATCTCTCACGCACCTCATCCGTCGATATGTGGAAGAACCTCTTGATGGTCTTGACAGCCGTAACACATTCCAACAGCACATGTGTGCCAATGACATTATTATAGGTGAAAGAATACGAATTTCCAAAACTCAGATCAACATGAGACTGGGCCGCCAGATGGAATACGGTATCAATCTTGTGAGTCCGCAGACATTTCAAAACATCAGCGTCTTTGGTGAGATCTCCATGGAAGAATTTGAAATTCGCTCGGCTTTCTAGCATTCGGGAGTTGTTGAGAGAACTGCAATAGTCGAGTTTGTCGAAGCAGACGATATTGTATGCGTCGGGGTATTTTGTCACTAGGTGACGAACGAGCCATGAGGCGCTGGATTATGCAAGTCAGATTTTGTTTTTTTCCAACAAGCCAACCAAGCAGGGGTTTCGCGGACGTACATGAAGCCTTCTCCTCCTGTTACCATGATGTTGCGGACATCTGGCAAAGGATCGAAGACTGTTTGGCCGGTTAATAGCGGTGCGTCTTTCCATAGGCCATTGTCGATGAAGAATCGAGACTCTAAGCTTCCTGTATCAGGACGTCAGCCTCTTTCAGACAAGTGGGAGTTGGAAAATTCCAATGGGTACTTAYCGCTGGATGACCATCCTGCTCCTGTTTCAACCATCTTTTCTTGTCTTTTCTGCGGTTTGGAAAGATAACGAGGACTATCATGGAGCAGACTGGCCTTTCTTCATGTCCAAAGTCGCCAATGCAGGGCAAGGGAGCATTTTTTTCTGCGGGTGGAATGTTAGACGCGCATAGCACGCGTACGAATTCACGAGCCTCGCACGACTGATGAATCGATAGGATTCCGCAAAGTCCATCAAAACTTCCTATTGCTGGCGCCAGAAAGATCAGCATCTTGTTCCGAATCTTTCAACAGCAACGGCCGAATAAAAGCAAACATGTCGGATTCTGGACACCGAGACTCGAATGAGGAGCTCAGATATTCAAACGAAGAGAAAAGGGCGTTTCTTCTCCCGATAGTGGAATATGAACAACCAGAGAAGGTGCTTCCAGTAGCAGTGGGTCTGAGCCATCGATTCTGGTTCAGCACGGCTGTCAATACCGTCTGCACAGCTCTGATTGTGAGTCTCGATGATTACACTACACATGAGTGCGAAGCTAACAAGTCCTCCCAAGGTCTTTCTCAACAAGCGCATTTTCGAAGATGCATCTCTCCGACATGCCCAAGTAGGCTTCGCCGCCTTTCACTTCGCCATCACAGCTCTCCTCCTCTACATCATCTCCCGACCACAGATCAACCTATTCCAAGCCAAAAAAGTCGACCCGATCCTAATCCTCCCACTCGCCTTGGCCATGATCCCCAATGTCGTGCTTCCGAACGCATCACTAGCGAATTCCAGCGTGCAATTCTATCAAGTCGCTAGAGTACTCCTTACTCCATGCGTGGCAGCAATCAACTATTTCGCATACCAGGATGAAATCTCGCGGAAAGCTGCTCTGACGTTGGTTCCAGTGTGCTTGGGGGTGGCGATTGTATCTTACTACGATACAGCGTCTACAACGACAAACGAGGCCGAGGAAAAGAAGACTACGCCTGTTGGAGTCATGTTCGCTTTGACTGGTGTTGTTGCCAGTTCTGTGTATACTGTGTTGATCAAGTCATACCACAAGAAGTTGGATTGTGAGAGTAATCAGTTGCTGCTAAACCAGGCGCCACTTGGCGTTTTGGTCATGCTTTACATCATACCTTTCTCGGACGATGTAACAGCCTGCAAGTCAACGAGCTTGGAACTATGGGGATTGATATTGCTGGTAAGGAGACTTTCGAACAACGTACGTGGTTATGCTAGATGGCTAACACAAGTGGCTGCAGAGCGGAATTTGCGCCTGCTTGATCAATCTCTCACAGTATGCGATCATCAATGAAGGCGGGCCTGTTACGAGTACTGTCGTTGGTCATTTCAAGACGTGCTTCATTGTGTCTATTGGATGGATAGTCAGTAAAAAGTCCATCACAGACGGAAGTGTGCTTGGTGTTGTGATGGCCGTGGGAGGAATTATCGGGTATGCTTTGCTCAACTCTCCTCTCCATACGTAATGGCTTTCCGAACTGACATGTTCAAACGCAGGTATCAATATGTGATTAAACCTCAGGAACGGAAATGAGGCAACGCCTTGCTCGGATCGCTTGCTTGCTTGGATCGAATAGTTGCGTAACCATTTATTTACATGCCGGAGCTCTTCCTGTGTCACGTCCCTTGCGTGGCTCGCTCTCTTGAAAGGTGTTCACTATACGACTGACTTACTTCCCTGACCTTTCCCTCTCAACTTCTTCGCAATATTTATTCTCAAGTAAAACAAACAGTCACCATGTCTTCATCCAATATCTATCTCATCTGGGGAGCCAAAGGCTGGATCGGCGGCCTCCTCACCGACCTCCTCAAGAAACAAGGCAAAAAAGTCCACGCGACCACAACTCCCATGCACGAACAAGCACAAGTCCGCCAAACCCTCGACGAAATCCACCCAACGCACGTCATCAACTGCGCGGGCAAAACCGGCCGCCCAACAGTCGATTGGTGCGAAAGCCACAAAATCGAAACAATGGAAAGCAACGGTCTAGGCACCCACATCCTAACCTCGGAATGCCACAAACGCGCCATCCACCTCACAGTTCTCGCGACGGGATGTATTTACACCTCGCAATACAACGAAGCCCGGGACCAACTCACGGGTAAACCCTTTCTCGAAACCGACAGTCCGAATTTCACAGGTTCCTTCTACAGCGAGACAAAAGCAGCCATTGAAACTTTTCTGAAAAATTACCCCAACACCCTAATTCTGCGTCTGAGAATGCCTGTTTCCGCAGACCTGCATCCTCGAAGTTTCGTGACGAAAATTCTGGCTTATAACAAAGTGGTCAATATTCCCAATTCTAATTCTCTCCTTCCCAATCTCCTCCCCGTAACAATCGCCATGGCAGAGCACAAGGAAACTGGAGTGTATAATTTCACGAACCCGGGGGCTATTAGTCATAATGAGGTGCTGGGATTGTATAGGGATATTGTGGATCCTAGTTATACGTGGGAGAATTTCACGTTGGAGGAGCAGAGGGAGGTTATTGTGGCTGAGAGGAGTAATTGTTGGTTGGATAGCGATAAGTTGGTGGAGAAGGTTGCTGAGTATCGGAGAGAGGGACTGGATTTGGAGGTTCCTGAGGTGCGGGAGGCTTATCGGAGGTGTTTTGAGGGGATGAGGGAGAGTGGTGTTTTGCAGCAGCGGGCTGGAGCTTGATGATCAACCTATCCCATCCCGGTGTGGGAAGAACTTGCGAGTGGATTGGAATGTATGATTGGGACGGCGGTTCAAACAGCTTTCATATCGCCGATAATATCATCCAGCTCCACTACTTCCCCCTCCTCCCCAATATCTTTCCAAAAGCGACTCAAATGTCTACTCCCAGAATCACAAATAACAGTAACAATCCTCTGTCCTCCACCACCCATCTGCTTCGCCAACCTCGCAGCCGCCACAAGATTAATCGCCGAGCTCGCCCCAACAAACAACCCTTCCTTCTCCACCAACCACCTCGCCATAGCCAGCGCATCCACATCATGAACCTTGATAGCATCATCAATCAAATGCATGCCCGCCTCGAAATTCTTCGTCAAACGATTAATCCCCACCCCCTCCACGATCGAATCGACTTGATGTCTCCTTCTCGTGCCCTCGGCTTCTGTAGGTGAAAACATGACACCGTATTTGATTTTGTTGAATAAGCTGCTTCCTTGAGGATCCGCCAGGACGACTTTCATTTCAGGAAGTAAAGGTTTCAAAGCGAGTGCAACGCCAGAGAGGGTTCCTCCAGTTCCGGCTCCTGCTACGAAAGCATCTAGTTGTCCGTTACATTGCGAGTAGATTTCGGGACCAGTGGTAAGTTCATGAGCGAGATAGTTGGCTGTATTTTCGAATTGATCGGCGAAGAAACCTCGCCCTTCCCGTGTAGGATCATCAGTGTGCTCTTGTGCACGTCGGCGAGCAGTATTGACGAATTGATTCTGATCGATTATCGATGCGGGTTTCACACGCTCCACTGTAGCGCCCAATTTCAGGAGGAGATCGCTTTTATCGGTAGAGACATCTGAAGGCATACATCTACACATTTCGTTAGATTCATAAAGACATGATAGAGGAAATGGACAGTCCTACATACATGTGTGCCTTGTAACCTCTCGCTCTACACACCGCAGCCAGCGAGATCCCCGTAGAGCCGACAGTCCCCTCATAGACGACATCTCCGCGTCCAGGTTGCAACAAACCAGCCTCTTCAGCGTAATTGATCATGGAGAGCGCCACGCGGTCCTTGGGCGAATTCCCAGCTCCATTCAAAAATTCCGCTTTGGCAAGAATCTCGCATCCAGTCGCTTCGCTCAGAGCACGGAGTTTGATCAATGGCGTATTGCCAATCAACCCATCTACACCCTCGCGGATTTCGTATGCATTATTACTTGCAGAGCTGACGACTTTTTCGAGATCATTCTCATGATCTTCGAGGCTGAGACGTTCGGGCTTTCCGAAAGATGGCCGTGTGATTCTGCGATGTTGACGTGATGTGCGCTGGTATGCTCGTTCGAGGTCGGGATAAAAATCCTTGAATCCTAGCGTGGCGATGATTCCTAGGAGGAAGCCGCCGGTGGCGGTGAGTTTGTTGCGGTTGTCCACAACGCTTTCCCATATGCGCTGCCAAATGTCGGCGAAGAGGGCCATGGTGGGTGTATCACCTGATGAGCATGTTCTTGGAGTTCGAGATGTGTTGTATTTGTTAGCTTGTGATGGATTCGAGGAAACGTGAAGAGATGGGTCCGCGGTTCGTAGACGCACGGACCTTTCGATACTTTATCCTTCGCTAGAGGATACACATGGCACATTTGTAAGGATGGAAAGACTCTAGTGGAATTATGAGATTGTAATTGAACGGCGTGAAAGCGGGGTCAACATCTAATGTAGCAGATCCTCTCCATTTGTACAGGGTGGGTTGAGATTACAGCATATCTAAGTATACAATAAATGATATCCTTAGCGACTACAGCTTCAGGGCCTTGGTCATCGAAAGTCGCGGCAGTGAACAGGTATGTAAGACCAGAGAATGGCACGGAATGTCCAAGTCCAGATATGCTCGCAGGCTCCCCGCTCCAGTGTTTCAATCTGCCACGCGAGGGACAATTTATTCGTTCGAGTCCAGGCAAGGTTGACGGCGAACTTCCTTGGTAAGAATCCATCCGCACGCTATATTATAGGGACAGTTATTCAACGAGTAGATCCAATTGTTCTCGAACCAACTCCCTGAGTTCTCGCAGCGTTTCCGACTTCCCCGAGTCGTACGGCGGCCAGTCAGCGTAATACTCACTCAGCAAATGTGATACACCCGAGGAGTTCGCGACGTGAACGACATCAGAGGCGGTCTCGCTGATGGTCTTCTTTCCTTTGAGGCACTGGAAAACAAGATCCAATGAATCCTCCCGAATAGATATGATCCAATCGATTCCAGGCTTTGACGGAACCTTTGCGTTCCCAGTCTTCAGTTCTTGGATCAGATCKAGGTACTTTGCATTTTCAGTTGAGAAAAGCGTGCAGGAAACGGTGAGGATCTCCAGCCCCGCTGAAAACTGTTGAAGGTTCTGAGCAACAGATGCGAGCACGTCATCCAAACACCCGCCGGYTTGTATGGCAAGATGCCTGAGTGTAGCTGGAAGCGTTGGAAGTCGAAGAGCGTCACAAATGGGATGCTCTTCAGTGATAGAGAGCGGGCATCTTTGCAGCTCCAGACGGTGTAGCCGCTTGAATGCCTGTATGTCACACAGTTCGAAGGTGCAAGATTCGGCATAGACGACTGACAGCTCCTCGAGTGTATCCCTATGCCGCTGCAAAGTCGCGCTGAACAATGGTATGTCTTCAATCCCGTCAAGTTTGAGCTGGATCAGTGAGCTGCAGGCGTTGACCAAGTGACAAAGCCAGAGAGGATCATGGCCGTAACGGTTCAGCAGGCAGAGATGTGACACACGTGAGAAGCCTACATCAGACGCCAGAAGGCTTGTTGACACCACTCCAGCATCGACTGTAAGACGTCTGAGACTTGGTAGGCGCATCAGCTGAAGAATGGAATCGCATCGAAGTCGAACGCTCGGGTCGCCCCCCGAAGAACGCCATGTTATAGCTTCGACCGAGATTTCTTTTAAATTCCTATAGTTCATACGTCCCACCGAGCTTGACCATGCCAGGAAAGAGACGAAGCCGTCCAAGATTCGTGGACCGGAACATTTTGCACGAGCATCGGGTTCTAGACGCAGTTGCCGAATATTGGTAGTCAGCAATAGTACGAGGATTCCTGTGGCGTCAAGGCAGCCCCTGGACAGGGCATCAAGTAGAGCATCGTGAAGCTCCCACTCTGAAAATTGTTTCATGGCCTCGCGATACAACTGGTAATCATCCAGATCTGGCCGGATATCGGGCACATCTCTTGTTTTCAGACCGTCGACTTGTAAATGCTTGCTAAGTCGCGGGGTTTCACAAATGGCGCGTAAGAAGTGTCGTACCCTTCTAGGGGACCAGTACGACGAGAATTGCCTATACAGAAATGGTTCGACAGATGAGTGAAGCCGTCTGCTGGTCTGCGAGACTGCCACAAGAGATCGGAGGCGAGATGGATCTCTCCCAGTGCGAAATCTGATCTCTCCAGCAACGTGATGCATGATGTGCTCCAAGAGCTCTGATGGAAGAGCAAGAAGCGGGCTCGACATTGTTGGGGGGTCTTGGAAAGTGGAAAGGGATGATGGTAGTGTTGTGTAGAAATGCTGGCTGGAGTGGAAGTCGTGAGTTAGCTTATTAGGTAGGCTTTGAACCGTAAGCAGAGCTTGGACCCTCGAACGAGGATCGGCCATGCCCGGGCCAGCTTCAACACGCCCGGACAGCTTCCAAGCCTCGCTCAAGCATCAATCATCACCTGCAAATGGACTCTCCATCGGTTGCGCGTCTCTTCAGACGCCTGGCTTCTCACCAATTCTGCGAGAAAAGTGTCCCCGCACAAGCCCACGCGCGGTCCATAGCAGCCGCACCCGCAGCCTCCCAATGGCTGAATCAAGGCTCATACTCGCAACGACGCCGCCAGAGCACGCGACCCCAGACCCGAACTTCTCAGCCCAAAGTCAAGACGACCGTCGAGAGCTCATGGCAACAACGAACGGATCATTTCCCCCAGGACAAAGCAGAAGAATTCAAGCGTTTCCCCAGCATCACCGCAGATGCGCTCCGAGGACGCAAAGAGCGACCACGGCGGGTGAAGATGCTGATGCGGGACTTCATCGAGGACTCATTATACAACCCTCAATATGGATACTTCAGCAAGAACGTCACCATTTTCTCTCCCGGTGCGCCCTTTGATTTCAGCCAAATACGAGACGAGCCTGAATTTTACAAACTGCTGGGAGAGCGCTACACACAATTTGAAGATAAACTCGACGCGGAGGAGCATAATGACACCCGACAGCTATGGCATACACCCACAGAGCTGTTTCGACCCTACTATGGAGAGGCGATAGCGAGATACATGGTGGCCAACTACAAACTCACCCTCTATCCCTACCACGATCTTGTCATCTACGAAATGGGCGCGGGAAATGGAACCTTGATGCTCAACATCCTCGACTACATCCGACAGGTCGATCCGGAAGTCTACGCTCGTACCAAGTTCCGCATTATTGAAGTCTCCACAGCTTTGGCTTCCCTCCAAGCCGCCAAGCTACGATCCAGTGCATCAGCTCGTGGCCACGCAGACAAGGTTGAGATTGTCAACAAATCCATCTTTGATTGGAACCTCTATGTGCCGACACCCTGCTTCTTCCTCGCAATGGAGGTATTTGACAACTTTGCCCACGATGTGATTCGCTACGACCCATCCACCGAGGAAGTAATGCAAGGATCCGTCCTTATCGACAACGAGGGCGACTTCTACGAATTCTACTCCCGCACACTGGATCCAGTAGCCTCACGCTACCTCCGCGTTCGAGACGCAGCCTGTCAAGACCGCTCATATCCCCACCCTCTACGACAGAGCAAGCTGTTGCGAAAGATTCGCCACTCTCTGCCTTTTGCTCCCAACCTCACAGAGCCAGAGTATATCCCAACCCGTCTCATGCAGTTCTTCCAAATCCTTGCCACAAAATTCCCCGCACATCGGCTCATCACCTCGGATTTCCACTCCCTTCCCCAAGCCACCGTAGGAATCAACGCACCTGTTGTCCAGACACGCTATCAAAGACAAACTGTACCAGTCCGTACGCCGCTTGTGCAACAGGGATACTTTGATATCCTGTTCCCGACCGATTTCGGAGTCATGGAGGATATGTATCGTGCCATTACAGGGCGACTCACGCGAGTCATGACGCATGAAGATTTCTTCCAGAGATGGGCGTATGTCGAGGATACGCAGATGCGGAGTGGAGAGAATGCTCTGCTGGGATGGTATAAGAACGCTTCGGTGTTGGTAACTGTGTAGTCGATCGCAGTTAGGGCTGCTGTTGWCTGGCTCATGGTGTAGACAGCCAACAGTCCAAATCAAATCCTCCAGTGTCTTGACCAGACTTCTCCGAGTCACCAGGGATGAAGATTTTGAAGCCTGCCGCCTCTCCTGGCAATGCACCGATGACGGCGCTCACGAGCGGATAGCTATGATAACCAAGATGGGCCGTCTCGCGGAGAGTCAAGTTTTCCCCTCAATGATGTCGTCCTTGCAAAGCGTAGGAGCCGCTTTAGATGAAATTGCCCAGTGGATCAATGGGCGCGTCAAACTTTGGGTTACCCGCAGCAGTGCACAAATCAGCTTCAATCAATGCTCGCAATCCCTCCTTCACTCGTTCCCGCCCCGAGAATCCCGCGTAGAGGTAGAAAGAAAACGGACTGAAAGAAGAAGGCTCCCTCGAACTCAAGACTGCCCCGAGAGATTCCTCCCGCAGATTACAGAGCAGGAGGTTTTTCAATTTCGTGCATCGAGTCAATTCTTTCAGGAAATCTACCCAGCGTGGTGTGGATGAGACGAAGGATACATTATCCATGTTGACTTCTTCGAGGGAGTCGAGGGAGCGTTTGACGAGGTTTATCATGCTTTGCGCATCGCAGTGGGCGTACGCCAGTTCGAGAGAGCGTAACATTTGCGGAGGGATGGCGTTTGCAAGACTAGAGAGCATGGGGACGACATTTTTTGATTCGTGGTTTTCAAGATAGACGTCTTCGGAGAGCCAGACGGAGATTTTGATTGCGGGTGGTGTGGCGAGGGGTTGGAGTTGTTGCAATGCGAATTGTAGATCTGGGTTCAGAGGGGAAGATGCTTTGTCGTAGAAATCGGCTTCCAGACGCCGGAARTCGAAGAGTTGGGCATTTTCGGAGTGCTGGCAGAGGCGACCGGCTGTTTTGATGTCGCTGATGTTGCTGCCTGCCAGGATGTCGACTGATAAGGTGACTTGTCTGAGGCGGCTTGTCAAACGCTTTTGGAATGACTGGGCTTTGAAGTTTTCGACATTGCGAGGGACGCCTACGCTGCAACGGAGCTTTCGGGGGAATCTCTCTATCAGGATATCGAAGGCGGCTCTCTCGAATGTCTTGCAGGTTTGTCGAAAGTGAAGGAGTGGTGTCAAGTCCTCGGGCTGGAAACGAACGGTGATGGTTGGTTTGCTGGCATGGCGAGCTATTTTAGATAGCACTTCTACTGGAAGTTGCAGTATGAAAGGTTGATCGAGCATTTCTAAGGGGATACCTTATGGACCAGTGAAGTTGAAAGTTGCCGGCTCGTCTTGTAGTGAATTGATCAAAACGCTCGGGAACAGGTGACAATACGCATGAAAAGAAGCCGCCTTATGGAGAGCACACTGTCATGTCGAATAATGTCTGCTTGATCATCCTGTCGTTGTCGCAGAAAGTACAACATCTTCGACTGATAGAGGGACAAGTGAAACTAGGTTGCATCCTCACTGCCGATCTCGGCTTTGGCTAGTTCTATTCTAGCGCGGCATCAATGATCAATTGATGTCTAAGCCGCGGTGACGCTTTGAGAGCTAATAGTCGCCTTCGTATCTACCCCAACATTGCCTGCCCATTCATGCCTGGTCGTCTTTGCCTGCATACCATTGATAATCCTCTCTAACAATCTCTTCCTCGTAGCTTTCGCTTTTTCAACAAACCCCCAGAGAGCTCCCCGAGAGCATGGTGTACGGCCGGAGTCTGGCATGGCGGAATGCGCTGCGCAGTTCATCATTCAAGGCGGCATCTCGTACAACTTTCCACGCGCACCTTTCTACGAGGCTGCCGCCACCGCAGTCATTAAACACACGGCCACAGCAATATCTGCGAACGACGATATCGTTATCACGCGACTTCTCCACCTCGCCTGCTAGACGGAAGGAGAAGCCCCCGCCACCACCAGAGGACGAAGCAGAGCCAAAGATTGAGAGTAAAGAGGAGAAGGAGGAGGATTCAGCAGCGAAGAKCAAGGACCCATCTCCAACGCCAATTCCTGGAGCTATAGATGGAAAGGCGGCAGGTGCAGCGGGAGGCGGTGAATCTGGATCCGGCGCTGGAGGCAGCGGCGATGGACCGGGTCGCAAGAAGAAGGCAGGCAAGACCGATCTGGTGAAGCCGCAGGTTCCAGATGTCTACCCACAAGTCCTGGCCATTCCAATCACGCAGCGACCGCTGTTTCCCGGATTCTACAAGGCCATTACTATTCGCGACCCCAACGTTATTGCAGCAGTGCAGGAGCTGCTGAAGCGAGGGCAGAGCTATGTGGGTGCTTTCTTGCTCAAGGATCAGGACAGCAGTCAGGATGTTATCAACGACCCGAGTGAGGTGTACGATGTGGGTACCTTTTGCCAGATCACCGGTGCGTTCCCCGCAGGTCATGGACCGGAGAAGGCATTGCAGGCGGTTCTATACCCACACCGTAGAATCAAGCTGAGCGAGCTAATTCCACCAAACCGTGGTCCTCCTGCAGCACCGGAGCCGGCTGCAGCAGAGGTCTCCGCTGCACAAGCCACCATAGATGCCCCACTTCCAGAGGAGACATCCAAACAGACCGAAGCTGAGGAGAAGAAGGGCGATGTGGTGGCCAGCTTTGAGGAGTCGAGCGCAAGCAAGGAAAGCAAAGACAAGGACAAGCAGCTATATCAGCCGACCGACTTCCTTCGATCGTGGCCCGTGAGTCTCGTCAAGGTTGACAACTTGGCCGATGAGCCTTTCGACAAGCGATCTCCCACCGTTCGTGCGTTGATCTCCGAGATTGTCAACACCTGCAAGGAGATTAGCAACTACAACCACCTCTTCCGCGATCATGTTTCTGCTTTCGCCATGTCACAGACTGCAGCCAACATTGCAGATGAACCCGCCAAGCTTGCCGATTTCGCTGCTGCAGTATCAGCTGGCGAAATGGAGGAAGCTCAAGCAGTTCTTGCTTCTCTCAACATCGAGCAGCGTCTCAGCAAGGCCCTCGAAGTGATCAAGAAGGAGCACATGAACGCACAGCTGAGTAGCAAGATCTCCAAGGATGTGGAGAGCAAGATCCAGAAGCGTCAACGCGAATACTGGCTCATGGAGCAGATGAAGGGTATCCGCCGCGAGCTCGGCMTGGAGAGCGATGGCAAGGACAAGCTGGTTGAGAAGTTCAAGGAGAAGGGCTCAAAATTGGCCATGCCAGAGGCCGTTAAGAAGGTTTTTGACGAGGAACTCAACAAGCTAGCACATCTGGAACCCGCGGCGAGCGAGTTTAACGTCACGAGGAACTATTTGGACTGGCTAACGCAGATTCCATGGGGACAACGCAGCGCAGAAAACTTTGGCATCCAGCACGCGCAAGATGTGTTGGATGAAGACCACCACGGATTGAAGGATGTCAAGGACCGTATTCTGGAGTTCATCGCCGTGGGCAAGCTACGTGGCACGGTGGAAGGAAAGATTCTCTGCATGGTCGGTCCACCTGGTGTTGGAAAGACGAGTATTGGAAAATCTATCGCTCGGGCGCTCAACAGGCAGTACTACCGTTTCAGTGTGGGTGGTCTGACTGATGTGGCCGAGATCAAGGGTCATCGAAGAACTTATGTCGGTGCTCTCCCCGGTCGCATTATCCAGGCATTGAAGAAGTGCCAGACAGAAAACCCTTTGATCTTGATTGACGAAGTTGACAAGATTGGTCGCGGACACCAAGGCGACCCTTCAAGCGCACTTTTGGAACTGCTAGATCCCGAGCAGAACAACTCTTTCCTTGATCACTACATGGATGTGCCAGTCGATCTGTCAAAGGTTCTCTTCGTCTGCACAGCCAACATGACAGACACGATCCCCAGACCTCTACTCGACCGAATGGAGATGATCGAGCTCTCGGGATACGTTGCTGATGAGAAGATGGCAATTGCCGAGCGATACTTGGCACCCCAAGCCAAAGAGCTATCCGGACTTCAAGATGTGGACGTCAACCTCTCCAAGGAAGCCATTGCAGACCTGATCAACAAGTACTGCCGAGAGTCTGGTGTCCGAAATTTGAAGAAGCAGATTGAGAAGGTCTACCGCAAATCAGCTCTGAAGATCATCCAGGATATTGGAGAAGAGGTACTCAGCGAGGACAAGGCACTCACCGACGAAGGCAAAGCAGCAGCGGAAGAATCCACCAAGGATGAGTCGGATGTCACCGAAACACCAGAGAACATCGAGCAAGAGACAACAGAGACTCCACGCGTCGCGTTGAAGGTTCCAGACTCTGTTCACGTGAACATTGGAAGCGACAACCTGAAAGATTACGTTGGTCCACCAGTCTTCACCTCTGATCGACTTTATGACACAACACCTGCTGGTGTCGCAATGGGTCTAGCATGGACTCAGATGGGCGGCGCGGCACTCTACGTTGAGACCATTCTGGAAACCGCCTTGTCGTACTCTTCCCGCCCTGGACTGGAACGAACTGGTAACCTCAAGGCAGTGATGAAGGAGTCGACCTCCATCGCATACTCTTTCGCAAAGGGTTTGATGGCAAAGAGGTTCCCGGGCAACAAGTTCTTCGAGAAGGCTCGGATACACTTGCATTGTCCCGAGGGTGCCGTTCAGAAGGATGGGCCTTCGGCTGGTATCACCATGGCGACTAGTCTGTTGTCACTTGCAATGGACAAGCCTCTGGATCCCACCATCGCTATGACTGGAGAGCTTACCGTTACCGGCAAGGTGCTTCGTATCGGTGGCCTGCGTGAGAAGACCGTTGCAGCACGAAGAGCTGGAGCGAGAATGGTTGTTTTCCCTAGGGATAACTTGAGTGACTGGCTGGAGTTGCCACAGGTAAGCCGGAAGCATTCCAACGTATCCACCACAAATTACATGCTAACAATTCAATGTAGAATATCAAAGAGGGCATTGAAGGCAAGCCCGTGGAGTGGTATGCTGATGTCTTCAAGCTCGTTTTCCCCGATGCGGACGAGGCGGCGATGAACAACCTTTGGAAGAAGGAGCTGAAGAAGCCAAGCAAGGAAGAGAGAGAAGCCGAGGAGGACGATGACTGAGAGTCGAGCTTGATGAAGACTCCGCTCCCTGTATATAGACCTGACATGCCAGTCCCGCGCGAGCGGAGGATTGAGCTGTTTTAGACGTCGATGCCCGCGTGGCTTGTACAACAATCACTACAGCAGACATTGTAGGACAGAAATGAGCAGTTGTACGTATGTGGTATGTGGTTGCTTCCTTCTCAGTCCATCCTCCTGCCTTCCCGCATAGGGAGAAAGACCTACCCATGGTCAAAAGAGACGTTTCGTGGTGAGACCCGACAGAAACCAGCATACCTTATGTTGTATTTCGACACAGAGGTTTATCACAGCAGAACTTTCCGACATGATTCCAACCATATTTGCTTACCCAGCCATCTGCCTCATCCAAATCCACACATCACTCGCTTGGAAAACCATTGCTCACCGCGGCCTCTCCAGAGATGCCAGCGACAAATACGCCCTCGCCGAGAACACCGCCGCAGCAATGCAACGAGCCGCGGAATTCGGCCTCCCAGGAGTTGAACTAGACATACGATCAACAAGCGATGGCACGCCAATCGTCACTCACGATTACCATGGTTCCCAGGAGACAATCATGGATGGATCGGATGGCTTGTCGAATCCCATCGACATCGCTCTGGCAAATCAGACTGCGCAGCGACGGATCAAATACTCTACACTTCCTTATTGGTTTTGGAATCAGAAACCTTTGAAAGTATATGGACGAGGTGGGAGGATTATTCAAAGCGCCGTGGAGCAGAAATTGGAGAGTTTGGAGGATATGCTTGGACACCTGAGAGATCTTGGAAAACCTGATTTTAAATTGTTTCTTGATATTCAATCACCTCTTGTTTTTCGCACTTCAGCTGCTTTGGTCAAGAAGCACAAGATGGAAGATCAAGTTCTCCTAAAATTCTTCGGTGAGTCTCCCTCCCATTCTCATCGCAGACATGTTGCTAACTTCAAGCCTCAGCCAAGAGAGCCCTCGACTCGAATAAATACAACTACACTGGTCCAGAGACCTGTGTACATATAGCCCAGCAAGAGGGTTTCCAAGACCTACAAATCATCCCACAATTCAACGATGGAGAAATGACTGTTTCCAACGAAGAGGTCTTCATCGACGTCTTGGACACCAGATTATCAATACCCCAATACCTCAACTGCTGGCACGTCGCATCCAACGCTTCAATCATTCGTATGCCCATGGTCGCTACCAGCGTCCCTCGCTCCATTCCCTCGAATACCCCCTTCACCGACGCAGCCGTCCAAGCGCTGACATGGGCTTCTTCACATGATCTCCAACGAATGGCTATTGGACCCAATCCTTCCGTGGGTCGATTTATAGGCTCGACATGTACATATTATAAATTCGCAGCCGGGAAATTGAAAGCCAAAGTCTTTGATCGTGCTGCGCAGAATGCGAAATTGTATTTCGCTCGCAGGATGTTGCGGGAAGAGGATTTCTTGGTCGGGGATGCTATGGGTGATGTGGAGAATCGGAGATGGAGTACGGAGTTTGAGTTCTTTGCGAAGTACCTGTGTTAGGTAGGTGGATTGGAAGGATTGGAGTGGATGAGAGGGATGGGGAGGAAGCATGTTGTTGTTTCGCGACTCGACCTGAGAAAACCTACATACATACTACTGCCAGAGGTGTTGATATGAAGATTCTTCACACTGATCTCAAGAATTTACCTCATTGTAGGGCTCACCTCGTCGAAGAAACGTCATGTTGATTCTACCGCTACAACTCGATATGAGGAAAGGAGGAGGAAACAATAGTACGCATCAGAACTTTTGTACATTATCTTTATACAACCCAGCACAACACAAAGCGCCGCTATGCATTACGCCCCTTTTTGCCCGCAGCCTTGATAGTCTTGCCAGCTCTATCCGCGGTCCCGTTGACTGCTCCCGTGCTCACATTGACGACCTCCACACCAGAATCTTCCTGAAATTCTACTCCGCGAACAAAAAGCTCGCTAAGAGCCTCCAGACCCGCGACAAAGACACACAGCACACTTGCAATGACAAACATACTGATACTCTCTCCAATTTCCAACCAACTGCCTTCATCCCTCACTTCCCAGAAGAAGCGCAGGGTCAAGTAATCTCCGATTCCCATCACCACGGCGAAGAGACTTCCGCCGCGGAGTCGGAGTCTCTTTGTCAGAATTCCCAAATTGGCGGATACCAGAGCGAAAGGGGCGAGAAGTTTGAGGACTAGGAGTGCGCCTTGGCTGAAGGGGTCGAAGATTGGGATGAGTCTGTAGACGGCATCGAGGGAGAAGGAGGAGATTGAGGCGATGTTTCCTGTGCTGAAGAAGGCGGATTGAAGAATGAAGAGGAAGAAGAGGCAGATTCTTGCGTCGGAGAGTGTGAGGGCGCGGTAGTCGCCAGATTTCAATGCGGCTTCGCGAGCGCGCGCGGCGGTGAGTGCTGCAGCCAAGGGTGTTTTAAGTCCCTTTGCTGCGCCATTGGTCTTGGTGGTGGGAGGTGATGCATTGGTGGCAGCAACGCCGAATTGGTGGATGCGGTGTTCAAGGCGCACCCAGGAGATGAGAGTTGCTGCTATGGCCAAGTAGAATAGACCCTCGTAGGRGATTGTGAGGATGACAAAGAGTGGGCCGAATGCCAGGAAGATGATGGCAAGGCGATGGAGATAGTGATCGCGTGGTCGTAGGGCGTGAAGGAAGGGTACAGTGAGTGAGGCGACTGTTTGTGCCCGTTAGCTAGGTCTGGCTCTTTCTAAATGTCTGATATTCGAAAAGTGAAGACGCGAACGATGTGAAGTCTTGTGGATTGTTCAACCGGCCAATGATCCGATGGAGGCGACTGAATGGGTCGGAAGCGATCCGCCGGTTTGGTGTGATCTGAATGTGGACCAGGAGCGTGTCGGCCGCAACCATGTGTATCTGGAATTTTGAAGAAGCGCAGACTTCTCATTATGAGCAACGACACCTGCTCGTACTTCGTGGTGTAGGAGAAACACCAGAATGTTTCTGATCGGAGATTCTTTGGTCATGAAGTGCCGCAGATAGTCGGCGTTCTGCTCTGGCTTGAACACACTTCCATGGTAGTACTTCCAAGGCAATCTCCAGCAGATTTCCCAAGCGAGACCAAGAGCAAACATGATCGGATAACATAAGACCATGAACACGACCAGCGGAACCTGTGACCATAGCGAAAGCTGGTGGAATGCCTCTCGGGGATGTTCAAGAAAGTCAAGCATGTCGTAGACCTCTTCGGGGTTCGTTGGAAAGACGGCCATGGCTGGAGACTTGCTTTGAGATGCGAAGATGAAAAGATCGCGGCCAGATCTGGATCACGCAAAGAGGCTCGCAAATAACAACGGTTCGGAAAAGACGGTTTGCAATGGTGTGTATGAAAGGAATTTGGAGACTCACTCAATGTTGTCCACCCGAGGACTTGCGTCCCGAGCGGGAGACCCTGCTTTGCTTGCAAGGAAGCGACGCTTGAACGAGTCACAACAATCGCAAGCGCGATCAACCCGACCTGGCGCATTGTTAGATCCAATTATGCAGCATGTCAGAACATCGCTACCTACTTGCACACCCAGGATTGCTCTTGAAACGCCATCTTCGGCTATCTCAGCAGCTGGAATTTCTTTTGTCGGCGCGGTCTTGGTGAGCAGGTGCTTTTCGAAAGCGATGTAGAGCAGGCCGATGGCGAGGATGAGCACGCCGCCAAATGAGCTGCGTATTGAATGTCAGCACGTGGACCACCACAGCCAAGGCGGTCTGATGATTATCACACTCACATGAGGTTCGGGTCCTCGACCTTATTCGCAGGCAGCATAGTGAATATGCTCATCGAGGCAGTTGCAGCTGCCCACGTTCCGCAGAGGATCAGATTCTTTTGCACGAATTCAGTCCCGTAGAGCAACGGCCATGCAGCGGCGAGCAAATAGCATATCGTGTAGACTTGGCGGTGATAGTAGCTTTGCACCTGGAAGGACTTAGTAGAGGTTTAAGATGCCCGATTCAATCCACGTACCATGACCTCCAGCATTCCCAAGTAGGCGAGGAGATACAACGCCAACTGGCGGGTATCATTCTTGGAGAACTTTGCAGCAATTCTCCTCTYGCTCTCGAAGATGGCATTTCGCCTCGCAAACACCTCTTCCCAGAACATCACTGGGAAGAATGCATACGCATAGTAGGTGATTGGCGAAGATTGGGTGAATAGTAAGCTGTAGAGGCCTACTAAGATGGAGGAAAAGGCCACAATACCTGCGGTCGGTCGTGACGCCTCGACTTTACCATCAAGCATATGAACATCAATCGCAGTTGTGAACGCAAATGCGATCCAGCCAAGGTATCCTGCGGTGACCAGAGTTCGAAGGAACAACCAGTCGTATGTTTGCAGATAGCGCAAGCCTCGAAGTCCAAGCTGGATGAGCTCGTCGGTACGATCAATGGCCTGCTTGAAGTTTCTCTTGCTGATCAACTGTTCAATCGATGCCAGTCGAGCTTCTACGTTGCTCTGGGCATCCGCGAAGCCCGGGTATGGCTTGTACTGAAGTACCACTGCCATTTTCTCACGCTCCTTGACGTGGTACATTTCGAGGATCTCCTTTGCATTGGTCAACAAAGCTTTGGACTTTTCTTCATCACTGGCGTCGAGGAACGATAGTGGCAGCTCTCCAACAGAATTCACAGGAAACTCCAGACCTGCAAGGTACGCCATGAGAGCAGCGACGTCAGCCTGGGCGACATCGTGGCGCTTGACATGATCCAGATGCCAGTCATGCGAGAACCCATCTTCATGGCCTGGTGCCTTGCCTTTGCGTACAGTAACCGGTTTCGCAACGCCAGATCCCCAGGCAATGAGCGGAGTTCGGGTATTATCTGGATGTCCATCACCGTGGCTTCCCCAGTCACTCATTCCATGGTCTGCTGTGAAGACGTACGCCGTCTCGCCGTCTCCATAAAACTCCTCCATGATCTCCGTAACTTCCTTGACACCCTGGTCGACGACTTGAATGTTCCGCAGGTACTCTTTCGAGTATGGTCGGTATGCATGGCCAGACGTGTCAAGACCGAGGAGATGGAGAAAGAAGACAAGCTTGTCCTGCCGCAGCTGTGCATTGAGCACTTCATCCGTTTCGGCATCCTTGAACAGCTGCTTGACCCGATCGAAGACCCAATAGTCAAGCTCAGTCGCATCTTTGCTAAAATCTTCAAATTCGTGACCATATGTCGCGTCCGTAACTCTGCCTGGAACAGCTCCCGTGGAGAACATTGGCAAGATATCTGGACTTCCCCAACTCCATGTATGCCGACTCCTGTTGAACACGCTGTCGAAGTTGACTGGGTTCATCTTCCATCCAGTCGTCACCGCGGCGACATCCTCGTACAACCCAGCAATCAATGCCACATGTCCTGGCCGGGATTCTGTGGGTACTCGGGTGTGCGATACTCCAAAGGTGCCATGCTCAAGTACTCGTGATCGAAGGAAGGGAGCCAGCGGACCTGGCTTGTGCGGTGAAGTGTCGTTGGCGGACCTTGATGGATCAGGAAAATATTGAAAGGCTTTGTCGGCGCGAAGTCCATCGCCTACGAGAAGATTGGATCAGAAAGGTGCTGTGAAGGAATGCATTGGAATGGGAGGGAGTTCTCCTACCGACATATAAGACCAGACGCTTTGCGGGGGCAGTTGGCGCATCGACACCATGACTTCGCATTCCACTCACAATTGGAGAAACAAAGTAGATGTCGAAGATGGAATAAATATACACGAGATGGAACACGACGGCAATGCCCAGAAAGCCGAGGCGACCAAGGCGCGCCATATTGAAGAATTGACAAAGTCGGCAGCCGCGAACGTGTAAGTGAATGAATGAGGAAGACGTGTTTCCGGCCGGGATGGATATTATCGAGTACCGGATAAACTATTTTGGGGTCTACCTTATCCCTGAGCGGGAAGGCCCGCACTCCGCTCCTACTCCGCCACATCACCTTCTCCCCGTTTCTGTTCCTCTCACTCTGATTCGCACCACCAATGCTTTCTCAATATCGACACAGTGGTCCGCCAATACAAATGGCGAGTAGCTGCAATGCGATGCATTGCCATTCGACTACGGCGACTAGCCGAGCTTCTGGCAAGAAAAGAGCAAACGACAGGCATGTTTTCCACCGTCTCTTTGCCTCCTCCGGATACCTGCGTCGCGCTGCACGATGCGAGCAAAGACCATGGCATCGAGCGTGGAAGTTTGCAAACGCAGCAGTATGCAACTTAGGTCTCCGTTCGCCCACATCCCTCACTCTCTTCTCCCTCCCATCTCAAACGCCAGGCATAGCGTACGAACACACAGAAACTACTCACCATGCCCACTGACACTGGATGGCAACTGTATCGTTCTTACAAAAGCGGCACCAAACATGTCGTTTCCTGGCTTGCGAATGCTGCACGGCAGCGGTGCAACGTTGCGACATTCATGCCAGTCTTGTGCGAAATAACATCTTCAGTGCACGCAGTCACGTTGTCTGCATCTGACCTTCTCACGTTAGCAAAAGAGCTTCTGGCGGAAAGCCGTCCGATGATCCCGCCTCCTACAGGTATCAGCGACACGCTCGTTGTTCTCGCCAGTGTCATCAGTCTCCGTCAGGAAAGCACCACGTGGCGACAGCAAAACAACTCTTCCGACCATTCGCATCATCATTTCATCCGCGTCCTCGAATCTTTGGCCTTGATCCTGCGCCAGGTACAGGCCAACAGTTGGAAGATCAGCAAACAGGACCGCCCGGCTCACTTGCCCACAGCATGTGGACTCAATAATTCCTTTGGTATGCTACATGTGGAGCTCCCGAAGAAGTCCAAAGCAGTGCGGCCCGTACAGGAACCTAGAAGCGAAGAATGTGACCCACCACAATGCTTCGACCTCCCTTGTGAGACTTCAGTCACGCTCGAAAACCGGGATGATGATCGAGATTTTGCTTTGTGCTGTACTTTGAAAGAGTGCCACGACGTCCGATGCTTCATCAAGCAAGTGTGGTCTACGCGATACAACAAAACGGACCCCGTCAGCCTCGACGTAGCTTCTCAGATAACAAGCAACGCCATAGCAATGCTTGCAGTGAGCGTCGACGAGTTTACCGAAGAATATCCCGAGCTTGGAAACTTTGACCAGATTGCGGAATATGCTGAGATTGCACTGGATATCGATGAAGACGGCACAGAATCATTTTCATGCGGAAGCAAAGTTGTACAGTTCTGTGGTAGCACGATCGATCCACGTGATTTCCTCTGCATACCCGCCTGGACTCTGGTACATTTGATCCTGAAAGTGAAGGTTTCGAGGAACATGCGACAGTGCCAGCAAGTGGTTTTGCATCTCAGAACTCATAGTACTCTTGGCGGTGACATATTTAGCAGCCTCGGCGAATTCGGAGAACTTTACCAAAACGGACAGCGACGCTCCGCAGCATTCGCTGGCTGCGATGCATTCACGCAGCTCTTGATCGATTTTCTATTCTCAGACTCATTGCTGACTGTTATTTTCGTCTTCACCCTGCAGGTACAACTGGACATATGTAAAGCCCAAGAAGACATTGTGGGCTCAACGGTCGTTGAGCTGGTAACACGCGCTGAACGAACGGATGTACTTCTCTCTGGTGACATATCAACGGCTACAGCGATAACCGATCACTCGCTGCTTGGAGGCTGCATGCCCATGTCGGAAAAGCAAGCGTCTCTCTTCCACATTATCCGAGCGGGAATCAAGTCTCCCCTTCAAGCGGATTGTGGCGTTGACATTTCGCGCCTGGTGATTCGAACAGGAAGATCCTCCGGCGGTGGCACCACGTCCAAATGGCTGTACAATTGTCCAACTTTGGCTGGACACCTGAAAGTGGTTCTATCTGAACTCGAGCATCAGGATGGAATTGACACTTGCAATCATGGCCTGGTGGCTCACAGCATGGCGCACTTGTACGCTGCCTGTCAGAAGTTATCGCCAAAGCTCGAATGGCCCGACATGGATTGGGTGATTACTCGGCAAGGAAAACAAGGCTTCGGACTTCTTCAAACCACCGACCTGAACGAACCTCTCGCAACAGGAGCACCCTCTGGGGCGATTCAGGCATCGGCCAAAATCTTCGGCCTTTCACTTGGTGTGAAACTCAGCAAGTATACCAGGCAACGTCGGCATGGTTATCATGTACCATGTGTCCGACTACCTCTTCCTTCAGCCGCCGCTTGCATGTCCCGTGCAGCCCGCCTCAAAATCACTTCGACCTACATGCAAACGCGGGAGCAGTGCGTGGCTATGGTTGGAAAGCTAGGGCTGCCCCAAAATACCATCCTCAGAGCTACTTGCCACAGATCTGCCCAAGCCATTCTCTCAGGAACGAAATCCGAGAAGAAGCACAAGAAGAACTGCGGCAATGAAAGTTTGTCTACCGTACAGGTTCTGGCTCTACTCCAATCCAGCCTCACCTCGGAACAAATCGACATGCACTTCCCATTCCACGCATTCTATTTATACTGTATTGTAGCAATGGACACCGTTGTCAAGAAATGCAAGGAGTTGAAAAGATTCCGAACAAAGATGAAACCTGGCATGGCCTTTTACGAAATTGTCGATGAGCTTTTATGGGAAGCTGCAGAGGCGGAAGCGGCTGGTCGTACTCCCACCACCCTTTTGGCGGTCACTAGATCGCTGAGAGAAATTCTGGATTTCATGGGGAGGAATTTGATGGATGTCATGGAGCTTCAGAGTCAACTCGTCGAGACGGAACATCAGCTCTGGAGGGAGGTCGCTGCGAAGTATAGCGAGCGTGCAAAAGTCAAACCTGTGCATGCCATGAGATCGAAATTGTCTCTTCGAGGCTCTGTTATGGAGGTTATTTTGCTTGATGTGGAGGACTGTAAGCCGGAAAGTCGTGCTGAGGAATGAGATGATGGGTAGTATGAGAAGTTGGAACTGCGGTGCGGAATCTGAGGTGCTGGAATTGACTCGATAGATGTCTCTCTTGGAGCTGCTCCGATAGTGTAATTGAAATCTGCTCAATTTCGAGCCGACTCTCATTGTAATTTTGAGTATCCTCACCTCTCATGATGGGAATGTTGGTGTCAGACCCGCGAAGGTATATCTACTTTCATCACTGTTGCTACCAATCTCTTTCTCGCCGTGAGGTTGTAAAGAACGTGCAATGTTGGTAGCAACACCAACAGAAGAGACGAGTTCTATCAACATACTCTGGCGTTGAAATACCCTTGGAACGTGAAGATTTGCTACAACAGTGATACCGTATGAAGAAAGCTCCCAAGTCTCAGTAATGTGATATTGCAACTCGGCAAGCTCGCCTTCTAGCCAGTACAGGTCCCAAGCTCAAGCACCATTCGTATTCAAAAAGTTCATGTTCATGCCACTCCACCATTCGCGCCCTCCCCATGTTGAAAGACAGCGAAGCCTTCCTCGTCACCATGAGCATCCTTCCATCCCTCGCTGTCCACTATTCCAATTATCGGACCCGCAGAACCTTTTGGCATGAACTTCTTCATGAAGCCATCCTGCAGCATCCCAGAGAACTTCTCAAACGATCCTGCAGGATCATAGAATTCGAAGGTGTCGCGAGTTAAGCCCACGGAGATGTCGGGGTATTTCTGCAAGAGTTCTTCAAGCTCTGGCTCCGCTTCATCAGCCTTGCTGCTGTAGTTCGGGCGCTGCGACTTTGGAATGTGACCGCTGGAGGCATTCAATGCGGCTCGGCAGTACTTGTTGGTTTCCATCGACTGGAGTTCAGATTGCAGGACTGCCGCAGCTCGACCGAATGTCGTGCCTGATACAGGGCGACCTTGTACATCGGCATCGGCTGCGCCCTTGAGCATGTAGTATACAGCCTGAAAATGATACTCACACGATTTATTGCTAGCTACAAAGACCGCAACCAGCTTGGAAAGCAGTTTTAGACACAGCTCGGTGAATTCGAAATACGAGAAGTTAAGCATCTTCTCGTCGTTGATTAGCGATACCTTGAGCGTGGTTAGAAGCTGGGTCGGGGTGAATCGCTGGCGCTTTTGTGCCGGGGTACCGTGGTGAGTCTTCGTCGCTATGCTGGACAAGAGTGCATCAAGGACTTCTCCCCTGCTCAAACACTTGTCCGCATGCTTCCAGTCGCGCTGGCGGAGGGCTTTCACTATCGTCGCATCCTCCGCATCGATGCGCTTGAAATTCGTCGGTACCGTGAAGCTGGGAAGCGGAGGGATTGTGACATGAGTGAGTCCAGAGGCCGGACCTTCCAAGTCAGCGACAAGATTCTTGAGAGCACCGTATTTGTCAACGGTGTTTGAATGGGTTTTGGTGATGAATGGACGGCGAGTACTGTGCTGGGTGACCAGAAAGTCGAGATCGTGCCAGACAGCCGTTACAAGAYCGTACCTCCGCGCCGCGCTGTAGAAATGCGCCAGTAGAATCATGACAAGATTTTGATTGGCCAATACGGTGCATTCCTCGAACAGCCGTAGCTTCATGGTATATGACTCTTGACCTTCGCGGTGTAGCAGAGCATACAGGGCCGAGGGCAAAGATTCGGCGCGTTGACGCTTGGTTAGCTCTGCATTAGTATCGCTAGCCTTGGGCTGTGGCTTCTCGAGAATTTGGGCGTGCTCGACGGCTTCCTGCCTTAAGGTGGTGGCTAGATCGCGAATCTTTACAAATTCTTGCTTCGCATCATTTAAGAACGGCCGGCTATTGTAAAGCTGGGAGATGTCATCGATGGTTTGGGTGACATGTAACGCTGTCCTCTGGATGGAATCGAGACCGCAGGATAAATGACCCACAAGCTCGTTGATGTCCATACAGATCTGAACAGCGAAGATCGTTGACATTGGCTGAACCATGCCTGGCTCTCCAATCAAGGGCAGGAGTCCCTTTGTAAAGGCTGTCTTTCCAAGTCCAGACTCGTTGAGCTTTCTTGTCCTGGTTATCTGTGGTATGATGGATAGAAGTGGGATACTGAATGAACTCAACGGGTCCGGAGGGTCCGACGCCGTGACTTTGGTGGGAGCATTCAAACCCTTGGACAGAGGGCCGCCCTGGACGAAGCCACTCTGGACTGCGTCCTGGTAGTACTGCAAAAGACATTCCTGAAGTGCACCAAGTTTCATCGATGCCGAAGGACAAAGCAGGTCCGTTGGTTTGGTGTCGGGTGCGAAATGGGCTGCAAGAGCGTTCTCGCCTCTTGGAAAGACGCAGACAGCGTTATTGTTGAATCCGACCTGGAGGTTAAGGAAGTTCATAATATCAGCCCAGTCGTTGAAAGTATCATGAGTGCTTGCAAAAGCTTCATGCGCTTTGGCAAGCAGCGCAAGAGCGGCGTCGGCGACTGTACCAGCAACCTCGATCGTAACGTCGCCTCGGCAGTATTCGATCCACACGCCTCTGACAAAGACACGCACATCGCTCATATCCTTGAGATGACACCAAAGAGCAAAGACGTCCGTCTCTTCCTCGCCGTCGAGCTCGTAGTTTGGCGTCTCCTCATTGACTCCTGTATTTGAAGGTCCTAATAAGCCCAGCGGGGCAGCTGAAGGCTCTTCAACCTCGAGGTATTCGAACAGATTGCGAATTTCATCAACGGACTTCACCGCCTTCCCGGTGTCGTTCTTCTTCTTCTTCTTTTTGCTCTTTTTAGCGGATGACATGGGCTCGAGCTCGCTACCTGGCGTCACTTCGAGTCCGTCGAGATACTGTTGAATCGTCTGCAGAATGCCGATGAAATGGACATGCCTCCCATTCCGGTCGGCAATCTTGACGTCTCCTTCTGTGGCCTTATGAGCGTACCTATAGAGCGGAGGATGGTAGTCAGCGCATTGAAGACTGGGCAATGCTCGACAGATCTCATGAGTTCTCTCTCATCATACCGTCGTTTCCCCTACGCGAGAGACGCTTGTGAGATGAGCGGGCTTTCAATCCGACTTACCAGTCTGCGGCGCTCTGGCGTCCATCAATGACATCCTGCAGAATCTTGAGGATACCAGCAGGCAYAGTTGCTTGCTGATTCGCAGCGATGATCTTGACAAGCGCAACCAACTCGTGCGACTTGACGCCGATTGTGACAGCGATGTTGGGTGCCGGTTTGCTCTTTTGGTGACCGGCGAGCACGTTGTCGAGCTTGCAATACTTAGCGGCAGTTTTCGCCAACCAGTTGACCACTTTTTGCGTCCCGGCTTTATAGCGCTGGTATCGGCCGACAACGGCGGCGCCTTGATTCTCGACCATTGTGGCGATGGCGAGTTGTGCTGGCAGTTCGTGTAGTGATGATGGATGTTGAAAGCTGCAGGTGTCGGCGGTGGTTCGAATGATGGGGTCGGAAAGGTGCGGCAGAGTGACGGAAGAATTTGTTTCAGCTCATGACAAACGCTGTGCTTGGGCCGAGCTCGATCGAGGTGAAGAACCAGCTCTCCTCGGGAAGTCGTATTTTGATGAGCCCAGAGGTGTCGAATCTGCCACCGTCCACTTCCGGATATTGGAGATTGAACGATTTACCCCGACAGCGCCGGCTCGAGAAACAAGAAGTCTTTCGGACTCGCGCGGTGGCGCGAGGGATCCGCTTTAGTAGACGGTGTGATGTGACGTCATCATCGCCTGTAAGTGAATGAAATTCCAGCGCCTCCTACCAGCATCACATGTGCTACCTTGGGTGAAGCCGCCTCTTTATAAAGCGCCTGATGGAAGGTAAGAAAGAGCCTCTCCGCAAGACATATTCCGGACCGCGTTGCTGGTAGTCCTGTCCCGCTGAGAGCGCCTCGGCATAGCACGGAGAGAGCTCGCCAAATCATCCAAATCAGCAAGCTCACTTCATCGATTTCTCCATTAAACAAAACCTATACAGCGCCGCTGATACTCCTACCTTACTAACAGCATCTATCAAAAGCAAGAAGAGACCTAAGTAGGTATTCATCAGCCTCACTTCCCCGCTTATATCCGCCTGCAATCTCAGAATCAGCTTCATTGCATGCGAGTAGACAAAAGAGTATACTGAACTCGGATGCAGCACAACAAATGGAGCTTTAGATATATCGACATTCCTGAGAGAGCACGTTCAAAAGTTTTCAGTGGCCTTTAAGGTTGTAAGTTTGGCAGAAATTACAAAGCAGATCAGCATATCGATTGTCTTTTCTAAGAAAAAAAAAAGAAGATAGGTCCACGAACCTTTGCTCAAGAACGCCAGTAGCCACCAGTTGACCATCGACCGCCGATCAAAGAACTCGCTGAAAACGTATTTCCCTCCTCGGCCGCACAACCAGTAAGGAGCGAATACCATGGCCAGTTCTGGTGAAACTTGTATTCAATACGCATACCTGAAGCTTTCCTCTCCCGGATTAGCCATGCCTCCGCTCCACTCAAGCCTTTTCCTCTTCGGCATCGGCATCAGCATCAGCATCAGCCTCAACCTCCTCGGCCTCCTCTTCGGCATCCTCTTCTTCCTCCGCAGCGGGCTGTGTCTCTGCATCCCCAACATCAATCAGGTCACCGTACGAACCACCCTCTTTCTCAAGTCTCAACCACTCTTCCCACTCAGGGAACATCTCTTCATCCTCCCCAGGAACACCAATCAACCTCTCGACTTTCCCCTTTCCAGCCTTCGCTAAACTCTTCTTCCAATCTCCAACGATTTCTTTACACCGTCCGGGTCTGTATGTCTGCGCGAACAGCACCGCCTCTGCCTCTCGTCCCGTCTTGAGCAGCACATCCAATGCGGCATCCACATCTCCAGCCTGCCATAGACAAGTGAAAGCCACGTTCCACTGTCCAGCCTCACCGGCAGTCTTCGCTAACCATTTCAGTCCCTCCGAGTCGCAAGAGCTGGTGTAAAGCAGCAGTAATGATCCGAGATCCTTTCCGTTTCGGAAGCACTCCTCTGCGAGTTTCATATCCCAGCCCGTAAGAGCTGCATCACCGACCGTCTTCCACTTGTGCTCCACATCCGCTTCTCTCGCCAACTCCAATGCGATTTGCAGCTGTCCGRGACCCAACGCGAGTTCAAATCGATGTTCGCTATCCGTGGCGACTTCCAGAGCTTCCTCCTTGTAGCCTTGTCCTTCCAAGAATCGGGCGATCTTGTTCTTTTCACTCTCAGGAATCTCTCCTTGCGAGAGCATTTCGGTCGCCGCTTCGAGATCTCCACGTAGGACGAGAGTTTGATATTCGATAACGCTGACGGAAAGAGCAAAAGATGTGACGGCGACGTCCTTGTCGCAAACGTAAACGCGGCCGTCGCGGGTTAGGTAGCCAAGAACGTAGTAAGGTTGGTCGAAGTGGGAGATGGTGTATGTTTGGTCACCGACAAGGTAGTTGAGACGGTTGGTGGAATTGGTGTAGACGAAACAGTCGCCGATCCACTGTCCTGTTCGTACACTATACCAAAAGTCAGCACAACCACATCTCGAGATCTGCAGGATACTCACCTCTCGTTAATGTCACAGACAACCTCAAAGGCCTCCTCAACACCATCCTCGTCCACTGCTCCGGATTGCAGAGCAGCAAGATACTGTTCTCTCGAGTAGCGCAGAACATAGTATGTGTCCTCACATGCCAGACAGACCAGCTCTCCGGACTCGGACCAGTAGACATTTCTCGGCTCGACTTCGATTCTGCGGACAAGCTTGCCAGTCTCCCAGTCGAAGAAGCCGACCCCACCTTGTCCTTTGACTCCGAGAAGGACACCTCCACTCAGAGCTTCAGCTGTGAAACCAACATTGACGCTGCCATCACCGGACTTGGGCTTGAAGTTGCGATATATCTTGACCGAGTATGGTGATTCCCGAATAGCGTAGTCCTTGTCGTTCTCCTTTGAGGCCCATGCAAAGTCCAGTGCGGATCCGAAGGCTTGGTTTCGAAGAGCAAGAGCGGTGTAGATGATGTATTCGCCGTCTCCACACACAGCCACGAAACGACCGTTGGGAGAGTGCAGGAGGGTCTGGGGATAGATTTCGGTGCTGCCGAGATCTTTTGAGGAAAGAGTGATGGCTTGGCCGTCCTTGACTGACTTGTCACCACCTTTGATGACAGATGTGAGGATCTCGGAATGTCTCGCCCAAATGATCTTCCCGGAGCCATCCATCGACACCGCGGGCTCCTCGCGACCCATCTTCACAACCACCGCTCCATCGTCGAAACCCATGGCAATTCCCTGCTTTCCACGCTGGTAAGAGACACACCATGCTCGCTCCAGACCATATGAAAGGGACTGCTCCAACCGGTAGGTGTTTGCGTGCCAGATCTTGACCGTGCCATCTTCAGATCCTGAGATGATGACAGGCAGTTCCGGGTGATAGCATGCGAAGGAGACATTTGATGTGTGACCTTCAAGCGTGGCAATCAGTGCTTTCGTGGTGTAGTCCCAGATCTTCACGGTGCGATCGTCGGATGYGGTTAAGAGGTACGGCTTGTCGGACTGAGGGTAGTATTCCACATGGTTGACACCCTTGGTCTCATGTGCCTCGAGAGTAAAGTTGGGTGTGGAACTTCCCAGACTCCAGATCTTGACCGTCCGGTCCAGACACGCGGATGCGAACGTGTTGGTGTCCTTTGGGTTGATAGCCAGACCCATGACATAGTKCGAGTGACCTTCRAACACCTGCACGCACTTCCATTGCTTGTCCCAATCCCAGAGCTTAATGGTCATGTCATCACTAGCGGTCAGGACAAAAGGCTGTGTCGGGTGCACGACGATGGCGCGAATGTAGTCTGGGTGGGCTTCGAAGGAGGTGATCTTCTCGGATGTGTTGTAGTTGTAGACACGTAGTTGAAAGTCGTCACTGCCGCAGACAATCCAGTTCTTGCGGGCAATGAAGCGGCCGGCTCGGACGGGGACATCGGTCAGTTCAAAGGTCTTGATGATGGCTTGCGTTTCGTAGGACCAGATGTAGACGTGACCGCTGTAGAGGGTGGTGAGGATCTGTTGGAGGGTCAATACTCCCCTCTTTAAACATCAGCCAGTCTATATCTCACCCATGGCTCTGTGGGATGAAAGTCGATACCCTTGACCCGCTCGCTGCGGGCGAAGAGTTGTCTCTGCAGCTCGAGGTTAACGCGGTCGCCCATGACTTTACTCGGGGATAGTCCACTAATCTACCTTGACATCGAGCCTCATCGTTGCGGCTGACCCTGTTGCGTGCGACGCAAGGGATGTATGTGATGGGTGTCCTCCAATTCAATCTCTCACAATCTCAATGCCCTTTTTGTGCCTGGTGGGAGTGTTACGTGTCTCTTGTCGTGGCTCGTGAGGGAGGATCGATTGGGAGGAGATGATGTCTGTGAATTGACATTCAATCGCGTGTGCTGAGGAGGTGGAATCTCGAATGCGACGGACGGTTCTGTCGTCTTCACATGTGCTCCCTGGAATACCTTCAACTTGTCCAGATCGACCCCACAAACTTCGCTCTCAGGCAACAATGAGGTGCGCACGGTCCATCTCGACTGAGACCACGCTAGTAGTTATGACGCCCGCCGAAGCTCAAACGCCGCCGCTGCGTCTTCGTCGTCCATCAGTCAACAGCGGTCAACAGTCCTCATCCTTGCACTCTACACCTCCCACACTTCTCCAACACCTCCAACACTCCCCCTCACCATCGAACTCTTCATCTCCTTACGATGAAGCTCCTCTCCCTCGCCACCTCGGCTCTTCTCGCCGCCAGCGTCTCCGCCCGTTCGCTTTCTTTCACCACGCAGGACGACAAGCTCTCCGTTCCTGGCGACAACCCTCTTGAGTTCTGCGCCGACCCAAAGGACAACGTCCTCGCCCTTAAGGCAGTCGACCTCACCCCAAACCCACCCAAAGCGTAAGCTCCATCCCTCTCTGTTTCCTCCCAGCCACCAGCCACTGACATCTCCCTCCAGCGGCGAGACCCTCAACATTACCGCTTCTGGCGTTCTGTCCAAGGATGTTGAAGAGGGTGCCACCATCCACTACTCCGTCAAATACGGTCTCATTACCATCATCAACACCTCCGCCGACTTGTGCGAAACTGTCAAGAACATCGATCTTGAGTGTCCGCTGAAGAAGGGCGATCTCCAACTATCAAAGGGCGTTGAGCTGCCGAGACAGATCCCACCAGGCAACTACCACGTTGAGGCAAAGATCCTCTCCGTAGACGATGAGGAGGTGACCTGTCTGAAGGCAAGCGTTGAGTTCAAGAGGGGTGGCGCCATGGGTCTGGTTTGGCAGGCAAAGAACGACTTGTAGAGCGCTGTCAATATGTTGAATGTGGGATAATGGAGTTCAAAGGGTAATGCGGTGGTCCAAGAGTATCAGGGGGAATGTGCAGATGAAATGGAATGAGTTAATGGCTGTTCTTCGTCTCGTCTCGTGGAATCTCGTAGTGATTGATCTTGCGCAATTGCAACTCCCCTCAGCAGGGAAGCTCTGATATGCGCAAAGAACCTCGTACCAGCTTCATGCCGTCCGCCCGTCTCAGCGTCTGCTCTATCTCTCTGTGCGCTTCCATAGCAATCGCTTGATGCATTCCAACCTGAAACTCCCAGAACTCCTTCATCCCCATGCCCTCACGACATCATCACTCCCCAAACAGCTTCCTCACCCGCTTCATAACACTATCCTTCTCAGGATCATACGGATGATCCTTACTAGGGATTTCCAAAACGCTAGGGAAAGCCTCCGTGTACTTGTCCACTGTAGCTCTTATGCGATCCGCAATCTATCATTCACTTTCATCAGCGTTTCGTCCCGTCTCCTCTCATTCTCTTGCCCAATCGCCGTGTATGTAAACTCACATGCTGGTTGATCAACAAAATCGCAATATCCTTCCTCTCTTTCGTGAAACTCTCAAAAGCGMTCTCAATCGTGCTGTCATCCGTCTTGCCGTCTACGACCAGGAAATTCTTTTGTGAGTCTGGTGGGTTCGTGACATGCTGTAGCACCTCTCTAGATCAGTCCATAATCCAGTATAATCGAAATCGTGCGAGAGGGGAAACGTACGCCTACGCCTGCGAGGAGGATGCCAGTTACAGAATCCTATGCCATGATGCATTAGTGATGATTCTGGGAGATTCTGGACAGAGTAAAGCAGACGCACTTCGTCACCGATCACGGCGAGGAACTCTCTATCTTTGTATGCGGAAGGTGGGAGAGCCATTGTTGTGGTGGTAAAGAGAGGGTGTGGATGATGCTCGTTGGTGGAGTGAGCTTCCCGTCTGATGTCGTCGGGCTGGCAAGCTTTGACCCTTCCTTCCTCTGCCTTTCTTCACCTCACCTACTGGACCGTCATGCAACACTAACCGATCACCATCATCCTTTTCGGCAGCGCATTGACAGCAATACTCTTGCTCTCCTGGATATGGCTCCTTGTACGCCGTGAAGTTCATGTAGCAAGCACTAACGCGCCACTCAAGGCACTATCATGCAGTCACTGTCTGACCATGGAGGCTTTACCATTGACCTCCGGCCTGGAGAGGGCGATATCCTACACATGCCTTGAATGACAGTCTTATTCCGTTCGCCGCAAGGTACGCGGCACGCCGAAGCTTCTTCTCCTGTCAGCATGGCTCTCGCATTGTGAACGGATCTATCAACATCTGGCCGAGAACAGCTATAAGAGTCAATGGCATGATCTCCAGCACTCCACTCCATTCTCCAAGGCTCAGTTCTTCAAGTTCCGCTGAATTCTCGAGATATTTAATGCCGCAATGGCCGCAACTGAAGTCCTACCTGACGCATTTGAAGACAAAGATGACGGTCTCCTCTAAGTCGTCTGGTCCGTCAAGACTACAGAGTCAATGTCCACCTCTTACCATGTTTCGCAAGACATGAAGCGGTCTTAACTCTGGTAAGAATAAGAACAAGATGCGCAGTTCGCATGTTGGTGCTACTTCGAGGAATGCCGTCGCATCTGACTGTAAGTTTGCACAATTTGGTAAGGCTATGCAGATGGAACTATCAGCTACCACACTGCTGCTCGCGACCATCAAGGCCAAGAAGGTATCAGCCTTTGGGTGTAACGACTTCAGCGATGCGTGTTCCGGCGAGGAGGCAGTGGAGCTCTTCTGCATACCAGCTATCTGCAACTGGAACTTCGGCGGCAAGATGGCTCCAACTTGGGCACCAGAGAAGAAATCGAAGAACGGTCCCCTACCGTACGACAGTCCACGTTATTAATGCGTCGGTGTTCTTATTCCAGAACGAGGTTGATACTCGGAGCACGAAATGGGCTCAGTTCGTGAGAATGGTGGGCAGGAATGCATTCATGGACAGTATTCGCAAGCCGTCCGAGGCAGACTCTCTCCTCAACGTTGTCAACCTCCAGATGTATATGGATATTGTTGGGATTGTGCAGGGGACTGGGCTGCAGCATTACCATTTCTTGAACCTCTCGAAGGAGACACCCTCAGCGGATCACACCATCGTACAGCTTGCAGATGTGATCCTCTGGAAAGCTCGAAACTTGGGACTGAGTGCCATTCGTTGGGGGTCGCAGCCTACCCTTGTCCGCGTGTCGGAGTGTTTGGAGGCTCGTATAGTGGAGCTAGGCGAGTCTCTMCGTAAAGAGGCTATCGAGGATCGAGACATCCGGTTGCGTTGTGACTCAAGCGAGGTTACCTTTGGGACGCCTAACATGTCAAAAAAGGAGATTGTTGCGAGAATTGTGAACGCTGCAGAGTTTACGCTTTCAGAGAAGGATGCGGTATTCCGTGTGGGAACTTCGGGGAGATGGTCGAGAGGGGATGAGATGGAGAGGTAGTGGATGGAACAACAGAGCAGAGGTGCACTTCGTCTGCCAATGCTATGCTATATACCTTACATACCTCGTGCACTCAAAGTACCATCACGTGACGCGAATTAAGTTTCTCTGTTCGGACTGCATGCTTACCTATAGTGCTCACTTTACCAGCACCTGTCCCTTTACTCTTGATTCCGTGATCAAAAAATGCATCGTTCGCTTCCCAGCCCGCTCGCTTACCTCGAGGTATTGAATTAGAATTCACCATGATCCGTGCACACAAGCCATGTTGCAGATCCGGAGACTCATCCCGAAGGGGATTCCTGTTTTTGTCACACACAAGCGAGAGACACAAGAGAGATCGGTCGTATACCGTAAAGAAGCATGACAAACAACAGTAGAGCTCGAAATACGCACCCCAGACATGATTCACGCTTCCTTCGGGCGGGGATGGAGCCTAGCGAAGTGTATATCGTGGTGGACATCTGCCGTGTCAACGAGTACGAGCACACGAGATGCGATGGACAAACGTCCGGCCGAGGCGATCACCGTTGATCGTATGCCACGCGGCAACCTTACCACCGCAAGCGACTAATCATGTCCGCCGAAACACTGGGTGGAGCAGCCTACTTTGATGCAGCTCAAAGGATCTGCGATTTCTAGGCTCTCCGCAGCCAGGCGGAGGAGGCTCATCGACAGCCAAATTCCTAGGCTGACTCGGAAATTGGGGAAATCATGCGAAACCTTCTGTACAAACAGTTTAGGAAGGATTAATATAGCGTGGAGCTGTCCCCGGGCGGAGACCAGCCCACAAATGCACTACTGGCTCGGGCCTGATTTTGGGAACGGAAGACGGATGTTGTATAAAACGGTCCACGGTCATCTCTTTGCGAACGGTGTTGTTCTCCCGCGTCCCATCATACCCTGGTGTCAAGCCACATCAACCACCGACCTGGCACAATAAAACCTCTCTCCAGCTTTGGAACTCACCCTCAAGATGCTGAAGTGTATTCTCGGCCTCGCTTTGGCGGGTGCCAGTTTGTCTGTCCCTCTGGAGGACCGTCAGGSCAATGCGCCCACTGCCACGATCGATAATGGAGTCGTGGTGGGCACGACTTCCGGAGGCATCGACTCGTTTTCGGGAATTCCTTTTGCTCAACCTCCTGTCGGCGACCTTCGTCTTCGGGCTCCGCGAGCGTACTCTGCTCCATTCCCGGGTGGTACATATGCAGCCACCAAGGCTGCTCCAGCTTGCAGGCAATTCCTTTCCCAGGTCGACAACATTTCATTGGGCAACCTTCTCGGAAGCGTAGTGGATGACGTTCTGGGAGAGGTATTGAATTCCCCACTCGGGCAAGCCGCGACAAACTCACAAGAGGACTGCCTGTACATTACAGTTCAGCGTCCTGCGAACACGACAGCCGAGGACAAGCTCCCCGTCCTTTTCTGGATCTACGGAGGTGGTTTCGTGTTTGGATCGAGCGCCAGTTACGATGGTTCAAATTTCATCAAGACCAGTGTGGAACTTGGCCAGCCCATAATCTACGTGGCCGTCAACTACAGACTTGGAGGCTATGGCTTTTTACACGGCAAGGAGCTGGCTGCTGAAGGCGCCACCAATCTGGGTCTGCGCGACCAACGTCTGGGTCTCGAATGGRGTGAGGTATCTCGGCACATTGCGTCAATGGAATTCACTAACGGGATGCAGTGGCCGATAACATCGCCAAGTTTGGTGGAGATCCCAGCAAGGTCACCATCTGGGGAGAGAGTGCAGGAGCTCTATCGGTAGGGTTGAATGAGTCTTCATAAGCCTCTCAGAAGCTGATGAATCGTGACAGGTTGCTGACCAGACTCTGATTAATGGTGGTGATCACACGTACAAAGGGAAACCGCTGTTCAGGGCCGGAATCATGAACAGTGGTTCAATCGTCCCCGCAACGGATTCAAGCACGCCCAAGCCCCAAGCAATTTTCGATCGTGTTGTTGAGGCCGGAGGATGCTCGGCCGCGAGCGACAAGCTGGCGTGCCTGCGGGCTCTCAGCGGAGACGACTTCCAAAGAGCTGCCACTTCTGTTCCCGGGATCTTTAGCTACGTAAGTGTATTGCTCTTGGCGACAGATGAAGATGCTCATCAATTCTTTTAGGACTCGATCAACCTGTCGTACCTTCCTCGTCCGGATGCAAGCAGTAACTTCTTCCCCGAGTCGCCGGGTGAAGCTGTTCTCGGTGGCCGATTCGCCAAAGTACCAGTAGGTCGCTCCAGCTCATAGATTCATAGTCATTGCTAAATTCATCGCAGGTCATTGTTGGCGATCAAGAAGACGAGGGTGAGTACCACGGGCTCGTAAAGAGTATCTCGCGATATGCGTTGGGCGAAGTACTACATCAAATGCCTATACTAACAATCTTTCTCTCCATCAGGAACTCTTTTCTCGCTGGTTCAGAGCAACACCACGACCAACCAACAACTGATCGACTACTTCACGAGCTTCTTCCCGTCGAACCCGAATGCTCGAGCGGACGTTACCGGTTTGGCAGATTTATATCCCAACCGACCACTCATCGGGCAGCCAGACGGATCGCCTTTCCGGACCGGTGCATTGAACAATATCTACCCACAGTTCAAGCGTGTGGCTGCCATTCTGGGAGACATTACGTTTACCCTGACGAGACGTGCTTATCTTGTAAGTGCCATTCCCGAAGAACAATTTTCAGCGAGCAGCGGCGATCGATGTCCCGCCGTGACTGTAGAGGCCTTTCTACCGTATTAGTTGTGGATGGAATTGGCTGACTCTCAAATCTTATAGGATATTGTCACTAGCCAAGGAGTCAAAGCCTGGTCTTTCCTCGCAACTTTCGCCTACGGACTCCCCATCCTAGGAACATTCCACGGTCTCGACGCCATCATAGCGTTCGGAGACTCGGCTTCAAGCCTCCAGACCAACACATACCAGCGGTAAGCATTGCCCCTCAATGATATTTCAAAGGTTTCAATAAAACACGACACTGACTGTCTCAATGTTCCAGATACTACATCTCATTCATCACTCAGCTCGACCCTAATGCGTTGGGCAATGCAGCTCCGCTGGTCAACTGGCCACAATGGACCAATAGCACCACACAACTCCTGGAAATCGGTGCGAAGGAGAATGGTCTTACGCCGGATACTTTCCGCAGCGAGGCGTACAATTATTTGAGGTCGAGGATTACGAACTTCAAGGTGTAGCAGGCTGTAATGTTATTTACGAGGATGCATGAATTGTATATAACTGACAGATGTTCTCTTGGAGATTGTCGGGTTGACGAGAGGTGAATGATAATCAGTACTTCTCGCTTCGAGATTTGTGTCACTGGAAGGAAGCGTCAGGATTTCCCCAAACGCTATCCAGCGCCTTCGCATGTGATCGGTATCAGTAGACTTGTCCCTTGCAGTGGTGGAAGCAGAGCCCCTGCGTCGAGCCACGCGAGCGTCAGGGATTCAGGATGCGGAATAGACTTCTCGTATGCTTCGTCCACGACTCCACGAGTCGAATGACAGTAAGCTTATCTCTGACAGGCTCTTCACAGCAGTAGTCACCTAGTCAGGCCATTCTACCAGCCTCAACAACACTTCCGGCAGTTCCACACGTGGGGACCATGCAGCCTCTCAACCTCGTCTCTTCCTAGTTCAAACTTTTCATAATGTGGACAAGCGGTGTTCATAGCTTCGCGTCATGAAACTCTTCTCCTACGATGATGTGTCGGTCAATGCAACCCAGCATATGAGTAGCAAATCCTGAAATCTCTACGAGTTCTGGCTTTAGTACCTTGGTAGCTCCCCAATACCAGGCATTCTCTCCACATCCACAACACTAACAAAGCCAAGCAGCTCTTTCGTAAAAGCGGCGGCCGACAAAGCAGCATATTTTCGCCAGGAGTCGTATCTATGCGCATCGCCATAGTCGCAGATACCCCTAATTAGGAGGCATGGGAAGGCTTTGGATAGCCCATATGCTTCGGTTTCCATACACAGAGCATCGAGGTCTTGTTCTTCCAATAACCTGGCTACGAGCCTCTCGCGGAAACCCGTCGTCTTGATCAAGCAACTCAGTGATACCGTGGGACCAAAATGGATCTTTGGACCAGCTGCTTTTCTCTTTTTGCGCTTGATCTCTCCATCGGCATCGCAGTCGCTACAATTGCTGCCGCCGACGTGATCGTATGAGGCTTTGAATAATCTGTCGGGAGTGCATGAAGGCTCATCTTCACTGTCGCTTTCACTATCACTATCCCGTTCATCCCATTCCTTTTCAATGCCAGGGTTACTGTAGCTTTTTTTGAGATTCGGATAGCGCTGGAGTGTCATCTCAATGATCTCTGAGATTTTGCTGCCATCGAGCTCATGCTCTGACTGGAGAGTCATCAAAGCAGACTTGAGAGCTAAAGGTGGTCCCGGAAGATCAACGCGCTGGTCGAGAGAAATGGAGTCATTGTCTGAATCTCCGCAGTCAAACTGGACAACGTTGCTGCGCAAAGTCGTATCTGCATCTGGTCCTGGACTTCCCACGACGATATCTCCGAGCCGGACATCCCTTTTCGCAACTGCCTCGCCAGAGCGGCTGACTTTCTCACCTGGCAGACCCGAAGCAGTACCTACTAAAAATCCGATGCGGATATGCGAAAGGGAGGCTTGTAGAGAGCGCACAATGACCGCGACTTTCGAGGGCTCGATATTATGGTCTGCAAGTGAGGCGATGACGATGCAGTGATGGCCAATTCGGCCCCAGGAGTAGCTGACTTGATCGTTGATATGTTTCCGAGCATGGAATCCTTGGGGTTCGTTGTGTCTTTCATCTAGCATGGCATTGGCGGCGGTAAGCTCGTGCGGGTGATGGACTATCCATGCAATGGTGTATGCTTCGTCACTTCCAAGCGTACCTCTTTCAGGCATGACTATACTGCGATGGCTGGTTGTCGGGTGGATCTTTTGGTGGTTCAGTGATGATGCGAGGAAGGAGACATTGCTCTCGGACTACATGTAGTCCAAGGTACGGAAAATTGGTTCCTGTTCCGGAACTTTGTCTGCCACGTCTTCCGCGAGATCCCTCCTCCTCATGATCAACATGCTCGGCAGACTCGAAAGTGGCTGCTCTGCGTGAGGTGCACGGAGTTGACAGTATGACCGGCATCAACTCTGATCGGATGCATATACCTGCCTCCATTCAGACGCTTCTTTCCTTGTATGTACCGTGATTCCTTCCGTATATGTACAAGGCAGGATCTGCCCTATCTAGTATGTACCTACCCTATATCTGAACCCTATGCAAGCCAAGCGTTCCGACCGTTAGGAAGAAGGAACGTAGGCGGCAATCCAAGGTTCTGAGAAGGAGGTAGGCATATACGTAACAAAGGCGTGATGGATGGATGCCAAAATATAGAAACCAAGCATCTACAACGCCAATAACACCGGAAAGACCTCTAGACCCAGGGCCTTTCTGACACAAATCCGGAGGACGAGCAACAATGCCAAATATCTCATTTGTGATCTTAGATCTCCTTCCCTTCCCGACCAGCGGAAGAATATAGCTCGGTGACTGATCTCCCCCAAAAAAAAAATCGCCACCAATGCCAAAGCCAACATATGAAAGGATGCCAGCAGTGTTAACAAAAAGGTCAACGCCATGATGACCACTCGTGGGCAACGTGTGGAGAAGAAGATGTCGCGCCCAGAGAATGTATGCAGCGTTGCTGACTGCAGCCGTCTGGACCGGGAGGAGGAAAATGGGATATATCCACGCTGGTTTGGGCCCTTGTTGGTCAAGGACTTGTTGAGGTTGCAGGGTTCCTTGTGCTGATCCTCTGACTCTGCGTGGAATAATCAACATCCATTCGCATATCAGCATGGAAGATATGTTCGCGGCCATGAGGTGACAAAAGCCAAACACCAGGAGCGTATAAGCTGGTGGGAAGGATCCTCGAGATGTTCCAAGGGGGAAGGACTGCAAAATCGCTTCCCATGTTGGCTCTGAGAGAGCGTATGTGATGGTCATGATGATCGGGCTGACGAAGTATTTTGTAGGCCACTTTGGAGGGGGGCTTGATACGATCCATAGGCGACTGAGGAGGCATGTTTCGCACAGGACGAGAAGTGCTCTGGCCGTCGATTCAAGTGCGAAAGTCGCGAATGGCATGTTCAGGTTACGTCGGAAGTTGGGAGGTGTATGATTGTCGGTCTGGAGGGACAACGTGGAAGATATCCATGAAGGAGCATGTCGGGCTTAAATCCCTCAGTTGACTGTGCCACGAGCGACGAACTTGCTGATCTTTCCACTCTTTGAAAACACGGATCGCCGACCACCACCACCAAAAATCATATCTACAAGATGCGAATACCCCCTACATCGACTAGTCCTCATTTATGTATGGGTTACATGCTAGCAGCACAACACAGACAACCCGGTGCGGGGGATCTGCCATGGATTGCGGAAAAKCGGATTTCCAGAGCGGAAAAGCAACTGCCGCGCTCCAACACAAAGGTCTCGATGATTCAATTGAAAATAAGAGTATTCAACTCCCTTGACAATCATCGCATAAATTGCTTTGAATTATCAAGATATGGCGACCACCACATCAACTCTCGAAGCCCGACATAGTCCATCATTGAAACTGCCCCATCATGATCCTCTCTACTTGCCGGTCAATCGCTTCAACACCATCGATGGTCTCCTCAAGTCACACGCTGCAGAGTCCGAGCAGAAGCCATTGATATGCTATCCCAAGTCCGGAGCTGCAGATTTCGAAGAGCACACTGCTGCAGATATTGATCGATATACCGATTCCGCCGTCGAGTACTATCTCGCCAATGGCCTCCAGCCTGCTGTAAGTAATGTATTCCTACAGTATGAACATTCACTCACATTCTCCAGGATCCACTTGCAGAGGTTGCTCCAGTTGCGGCTTTGCTTGCCACTACAAGCTTTGAATTCGTCGTTTCCATCTTTGCTCTGAACCGGTTGGGTTGGACAATTCTCTTCTTGTCCACTCGCTTGACCGCTCCTGCCTATGCACGTTTGCTTGAAATGGCTGACTGCAAGACCATAATCATACCGGATCAGCACAGACAGCTCATAGAAGACATTTGCGAATTTCGCCCCGGCTGTGTCGCCATTCCCATCCTGCAGAGGAAGCACTATCGAGACTGCTCACCATCACCAGTATATCGTAGACACGGCGTTGATCCTGCAGTAGAGGGCAAGAAAATGGCTTGGATCCTGCATTCTTCCGGCTCCACTGGATTCCCCAAACCAATCTTTCTATCAAACTTTGCATGTCTCGCCAACTGCCGCAAGAGCTTTGGTCTTCGAGTCTTCTGCATATCTCCCCTCTTCCACTCACATGGCTTGTTTGAGCTAGGACGCGCATTCTATACCAGGTCTACCATGTACCTTGGTAATCATTCGATGCCCGTTACTGCTCAGAATCTCATCGATGCGTTGAAGGTTGCCAGACCGCAACAGATCACTGCCGTACCTTATGTTATTCAACTCCTTGCTGAAAAACCCGAGGGTGTTGAACTGCTGGCCGACGCCAAACTTGTGCTTTTCGGGGGAAGTAGTTGCCCTGATGAGCTTGGAGATCGACTGGTCGCAAATGGAGTGAATCTCGTGGCGAATTATGGATCGACTGAGACTGGTCAGATCATGACATCCTTCAGACCACACGGAGATACGGAATGGCAGTACTTTCGGCTTGTTAAACCAGCTGCCGACTTTACGTTGATGGTAGGTCCAAAAACAATCCGATCTTGCAGATGAGGTTTTTCGTACTAATGCCTGCCACCTAGGACGAGATTGCCCCTGGCGTGTTCGAATGTGTTGGGTTGGATGGTCTTCCTTCCAAAGGTCCAAGCAATTCCGTGCCACCTTACAGTGCTTCGAATCCAGAGAATAGTTTCCGCACAGCAGATCTCTTCACTCGGCATCCGGACCCAGAGAAGTCCAATCGCTACAAGTATCTCTCCCGACTGGATGATCGGATCACACTTGTGAACGGCGAGAAAGTTCTGCCTATTCCTATCGAGGGACAGATCCGGCAGGATCACCTCGTGCGAGAAGCTGCCGTGTTTGGGTTCCAACGAACGGTGCCTGGACTTCTCCTCTTCCGATCGGATGACAAAGGTACAGACTTGAACGATGATGAGTACCTCTCTGCTGTGTGGCCATCTATAGAGAAGGCCAATCGCCAGGCCGAGTCGTTCTCCAGAATTCCAAGGGAATTGGTGGTGGTAATTGGAGCCGACGTCATATATCCAAAGACCGATAAAGGGACGTTCATCCGCGCTCAAGTGTACCAGCAGTTCGCGGAAGAGATCAAAGCAGCATACGAAGCGTTCGACAATGCCAACAACAGCACATCCGGATCTCTACAGCTGACGATTCCCGAACTGGAACAATGGCTCCTCTCACAATTCTCAACCGAGCTGGAGATACATCTACCTTCTGCTGACACCGATATCTTCTCCGCCGGAGTCGACAGTCTACAAACCACGCGAATATGGCGCATCATCAAGCGCGATCTTGATCTTGGCCAAGCAGAAGMAAACCTGAGCCAGAATATAGTATTCGAAAAAGCCACAGTGCGACAGCTCGCCAGATATCTCCACCAATTAAGGACTGGAGAAGACGCCGGAGAGTCCGAAGATGAAATCAAAGTTATGAAAGAGATGGTTGATCGATACTCGAATTTCACTCATCATTTCCCTGCTCAGAGCCATTTCCCTCTTGGTCAGAATCAAAATCAAATCGTAGCGGTAACTGGAGCGACCGGAAACCTCGGAGCATTCATCGTAGCAGAATTAGCAAAACGTCCCGAAGTAACTGAGATCTGGGCACTCGTGAGAGCTCCCGGACAAGCAGCAGCTGGAGCTCGTCTCATTCAATCCCTCAAATCCCGCGGCATACATCTCACAGAGCACCAAAACTCCAAAATCCGCGCCCTGCCATCAGATTTCAGCAAAGTAGACCTGGGACTCGATCAGCATGACCTGGATCACTTCTTAACATCACTCACTCATGTCATCCACTCTGCATGGGCTGTGAATTTCAATCTCGGAGTTCGCAGTTTCGAAGCTCAACATATTCGCGGGACTTACAATCTCATTAATCTCTGTCTTCGCAGCCGCCTCCCAAAGCCCGCAAGGTTCTTCTTTTGTAGCAGTGTCAGCGCCGCGATATCAACTCCTCCACCAGCTATAATTCCCGAAACGGCAGTGGAGAATTTCGAACATGCTCAGCGGATGGGATATGGCCGGAGTAAACTTGTCACGGAACATATTACTCGCCACGCAATGCGACAGACGGGAATGCAAGCTCGAGTTCTAAGGATTGGACAGTTGAGTGGGGATACTTCTACGGGATACTGGAATGAGACGGAAGCTATCGCATTGATGATCAGAAGTGCTTTAACGACGGGAACTTTGCCTGAAATTGATGAGAGGCTGAGTTGGTTGCCTGTGGATATCTGCGCGAAAACAGTCGTGGAAATCTCGCTTTCGGACTCTGTCGTCGCGGAGTCAAGACGTGCGGATGATGCGGATCTGGTCTATCATCTCGTCAACCCAGAGACTTTTAGCTTCAAGCGCGATTTACTTCCTGCGCTTAAGAGATGCTCGAAGATGCCGCCTTTTCAGATTGTTAGTCCGGCTGAGTGGTTGGAGAGACTTTCCAATAGCGAGCAGGACCCGGTGAAGAATCCTAGTATCAAGCTTCTTGATTTCTGGCGCAGGAAATATGGGGGAGTAGCGAGCTCAGTGGCGGATGAGGTGGAGCCTGTTGGGTTGACTTTCGAGACATTGAAGACCATTCAAGATTGTCCTTCTCTGGGATTTGTGAAGGATCCTGTTAGTGTGGGATTGGTTGAGAAGTATCTTGAGGTGTGGCTTTCAAGGTGGCTCTCATAATTCCGGAGGCATATCCAGATAGCTATACTTTTTGTGAAAGACAGACCATTCCGCGAGACATCTTATTCGCGACCGTGGTCTTGCAGTACAATGCCGCGGCACTACCAACGCCGAATTTGAAGTCTTTGATCCACTTTCCAACCATACTTGGCCGCCTCCCTGATAACTCTCGCCAGTCTGGAACGGAACTCGGAGAGATCATGCTTACCAATTGCCGGTGTTTGATGGTAGATCGTCACGACGGGTGAAGGATGCAAGCTCTCGCTTAAGATCTTGAGCAACCGGACGCCTTCTTGCTTACGTGAAACATGCTCGTCCGCGTCCGCCATTGCAATGAGCCGGCGGGTGTTGCTGTAATTGCCGGCCCATCGCTCCGCATTGAGACCATGCTCGAGATCGAGAGCCAAGTTTTCAAGTTTTCCGGATTTGAGAAGAGCTTCGACTGATCCAGCGATGGCGGTGAGGAGGCGGTCTCGAGAGGTTGACTTGACTACACCGAGTCGCGAGGCTGGGGAAGTGAGATCTAAAATTGCCCCTTCTAGAAAATCCTCTTTAATGCCACGGTGCCAAAGCGGGCAGTGGATGGTGATGTTGCGAATATTTCCCGCGTTGGTTGGTCCGATGGTAGCCAAGAATGATTCCAGTTGCAGCCAAGCACTGCTGGGCGTTGGAAAGCGGAACCTGTTCTTCCCGTAGAAGACGGTGGATGCTTGGATATGGACATCTCTGGATACGGTCAATAGCCCTGTTGTCAGCCCACGGCAGGGAGCCTTGCGTTTTCTGGTCTTGTTTCCGCGATCCTCTAAAGCGGGCTTGAAGGGTATACAGTCGACTTCCATGGTGCTGACATCCTTCGCAAGCTGATCCCACTCAATCGGTACAGTATAGACAGATGATGCGCTGACTTTGAAAACCTTTTCGATGACCGGGACACGGCAGTGACCAGTTATGAAGGACCGAAGCCACGTCTGCATTTTGGTCATTAGCGTCGGACACGTACATGCAGAACATGTTCTACTACCGCAGCACACGATATGCTTGGGGATACGCCAGAGGAGATCGATCCTCGGGTCTCAATTCAACTTACAAAGTCGATCACAATGGGCTCATGGCTGAGAAGTAGTAGGGCGAGGATCTTGGAGCGTATTTGTTCGGGCAATTTGCTGTATGGGAATGATGCAATCCTGTGAGACGAGGCTGACGTTGAAATAGGCACGTAGCGGTCTACCTTACTGCTGAGGTGCTCCGTGCGGCGATTTTGCAATAGCTGCTCGTAGGAAAGACCTACGTCTTTGGCGGAGTCCCACTGCCGCCATACGACATCGTGACGCGTACTCAGTCTACTCTTGTCCCCGGCATCGAGATTGACGTGGTCTGATCTGGTTGAATTAGGTTCATATGACCCAATATGTCTTGCAGTCGATCCCGTAGACTTGCTGAAACTCCGCTTGAGGGTGGCACCCAACGGCACTGTGTTGGACCCGGTACGTTGGAGAGGTGCAATGTCGACGCGAAGCGGTGATTCCCTGGAAGAGTGATCGAAACCGGAATCAGGTGCCGCGGTCGCGGTCCGTGGCATTTTCAGCAGCACGCGACGAGAAGGATGCACATTGTCGTGTGCGAGTGCATCCTTTCGCACACTGTCTTCCAATTTGATCCTCTTGGTTGTTTTCTCCTGCGGCAGGGCTGGCTTTCGCAAACGCGGGTCTCTTGGAGGCGAAGGGGTTGTGAGAACTGTGTTTGGGGTATTGGCGGTCGAGGAGGCAGCTGCAGCTGCGGAGATGAGGTCTGCAAGGTCCTGGTCGAACTTCGCTCTGTTTTTCATAAACACGTCGTGCGGCTCCATTGTATTGCCACGTTCACTGTACGCCGATGTTGATGAGAGCAACTTGCATTCAAAAGACCTTGGATTCAGAGACTGAGATGAAGCTTTTGTTCGGCTGTTTACGAGGTGATACGGAAAGCGGAAACGGATGCTCCCCGTTTGTCGTTTTGTTTGTTCTTTGGCGATAAGCGAGTTGAATGGCCATGGAGAGTTTCCTGCCTGGTGAGATCAGGGCAACGAGCAGGAGAACGCGCGATGCAGTTGACTATAATCCGATGAGCTGTCAAGTTCTCAAAGGATGTCATACTATACAGCCCAATACATACATACACTTGGCCAACCATCCTGGGGCTTCCGCAATCTAGCTATTGAGCGCCTCCAGAGCGCTCTCCCTGCACCCTAGCCCTAGCTTGCTCCGTGCAGTGGTTCTTAAGGGGCGCCGCATAATGGGGCTCTCATGTGAATGCAATGCCGCCGTTTMTCCCGCGCCTCTGGAATCTCGCAGTACGTATGTGTACGGCATGTTTCGCCAGAGGCAACGCTGTGTTACGCGTGATGTCAAACATATCCGACGCTTGCTTCCTGTTCAAGGCCAGATTGACTATAGTGCGGCATGTGTGTGTGTGTGTGTGTTTCAAGCGATGCTTTCATTGCTCGGCCATCCTGTTCTCCAACGACATCCTCTTCACGAATTGGCCTCGATATCAGCCCAGAGCTTCTTGACGTGCTCGCGTTTCGCCTTTGCCTCCTCCCGGTTCGATGCGGTTCGTTCGAGTCGCTCGGCACGTAGACATTTGTTGACCTGACGCTTCGTGTCGCTACACATGCCAATCGCTTTCCACATGAAGCCGCGTGCATGACACTCCTCGAGTGCCGTCATGATCTCTTCGCATCCTGTGACGGATCAGCACCTATGTGATGGTATAGTATGCAGTGAATGTATTGCGAACCTTTCTGATCTTCTCTGTGCAAGTGAGGATGCATCTTAATTTAGTTCGTCGTTGAATCTGCGTGAAAGTGGCGGAAGGTCAATCGCGGTTGTCGTTGACGTCGACTTCGAGAAAGCTTTTGGTCACGTGCCGTCATCAATCTTGCTCGACGACAAATCTCAAGATGGACAACATCGAAACTCTCCAAACAACGCCAGAATGTCACAACAGCAGATATCAGCCAAGAAGCAGCAAGGTAAGTGATTCGCCTACATTGAGGCGAGACAGGTGACTGAACTGTACATAGAGCTTCAAACACAGTACTCCAACTACAAAGAAACTCTCCAAGCAATCGCACAGAAAATCGGCGACGTTGAGCAAGAAGCCGAAGAACACAAGTCAGTGACTACTCTCTCCTCTATCTCTGTTGGTGTCAAAATGCGGTGTCTCACCGCCCATAAAACGACGTCTTCCATCCCTCGAAGGGACTTCGTATGGCCATCAAACCTTCTTTCACCGCTCTCCATCAATACCCTGCAAAGCACATGTTTTTTCGTCATGGCTCTGGAAAGATTACGATTCAATGCCCGCATGGCTACAAACTTCACGGCGCTATGTTTGGCTGCATATTGACAGGGACAAGTTCGAACCGTTCATCTACCTTAGCTTACGATTCTCTGCAGGCTCGTGCTAGAGACGCTCACACCGTTGCCGKCGGAACGGAAGTGCTTCCGAATGATCAATGGCATTCTCGCGGAAAGAACGGTGAGCGATGTGCTTCCCGCTCTTCAGACCAACGCGGATGGCTTGAAGAAGGTTCTGGACGACCTGGTCAAGCAATATACCGCCAAGCAGGCGGATCTGGAGAAGTGGAAGGTCGGCTTCTCTACATTCTGTTCGTATCTCACAAGCTGACAGCAACACAGAAGAAGAACAACATCCAAGTCGTGCAGCAATAAGTGCCCAGAATCTAGACAGCCGCCAAGACGTCGAATGATCTTCCTCGCGATCGACGAGACATGAGCGCACGACCATCGTCTTGACATTGTGGCACATGTGGTCGCATCAGTGACAGGAGCTACCGTGCTCGGCTTCGATGCCGGAACCTACTTTTGGAGTACAGACTACAGTTGTACAAGACATTCCACGGAATGTCGTCCCCATGCCCTGGCTCTCTGGGGCTGCGTGCTACTCAGGTAGGCGGCGAGCCGATCGAGGGATTGTTGGACTATCGTCGCTAGCTCAAAGTTGTTGAAATGTGCTCGATTGGGAAGTCTAGCACGGATGGGGACATTTCTGGTACGACTCCAGGTGGACAGGAGGTAGTACAGCCAGTTTGATGGTGTATGTTGATACCAACAAACTTATTAGCGTTCCCAACAGCTCCCCAATCGACTTCCGCTCGCAGCTTTGGTTCTGGATTAGTTTCAGAGCAACAGCAGTGTCACCTGGGCAGGATCTCGAGGGAGTGACGATATCAGCCATCTGTAGCAGACCGAAACTCCACAGCGCAAAGCTGTCGGAACAAGCGATCACAACACCGGAGAGGGGTGTATCACCTGACAGGAGTAGAATGTCGCTAACGGGACTGCTGGTAAGGCACCCTGGCTTTTGTGCGTTGTTCAATGGCGTGGCGACTCGACAGAACCTCCCCAAGCATGTGGGCTTGCGCAGCACACCCTCTTCCAGCTTCCCGTGGGCGTCATACTGGGCCCTGCCGGCAGACAAGCGTGACCCAGGGCACTGGAAARGGCCCTGCACCCACTTATCATGCATGATGTGCTGGCCGGGTGCTTTAGTCTAGGTCGTCGAAGTCCGGTCCTCGAGGCCGATTTCGAATTGGCGATACTGCTTCGGCTATACTTCACGTCTTGAAGATGCGTACAGTGGAGAGCGTGGAGCGCGCACACATAGAATGGTATAATAAACTGGCTTCCGGAGCAGAGGCGCAGTCGTATGCCAGCGCATAGTACATAGAGAGAGCTGCTGCACGCTAGAAAGGCCGGTGCGCAGAGGCAGTTCTGCCATGAACTCCATCGTGACCTCCGTCACCTCGAATAAGCTTGGGCGTCAAACGTGGGGGCTTGCTCTAGAATGCCAACTCGAGTTGGCGCGAATGACAGACAATCTTGATGTTGCTGATAGCGGAAATGTCCAACGTGAAGTGAATGAGTAGACCGGCGACGCTTCATCTATTTGCGCCTGTGAGATTCATGAATGGCGCCATGAGCGATCTGATTGGTGCGCAATGGGAAAGCGCAAGTTTGAGAAGAGGGGAGGGGCTTGGGAGCTGAGGCTGAATCAGTGCAAGTACCACTACAAACAATACCCCAACTCGCAGTTTTTATTGCCGTACCTTACCTAGCTAGCAGAGAGACCCAATCATCAACCTCTCCCTCGCCCCGATTAATCCCACTGGCTCGCAGACCGCTGTTTTCTTCCCCACCACCGCGCTCAGAGCTGTGCATCGCGAGCGACTCGCGCTGCAGGATCGCGTCTCGCGGACAACGCCGCACAGGCATTCTGGAAGAGGTTACAGGACGCTTTCCCGGCCTCCGGATTGTGTGCAACTGCAGTTCGTCCGGCACCGCGGCATTCAACGCGCGACAGACGTCAGACGACGCCTTCCATTGGGCTCCCACCCCAGGTCGCCGTGCGCTGCGATTCTCTGTCTGTCGTCCGATCTCACCAGCGCGACACGCCAAGCGCAATCCAGCATCAGCCACACCACCCGGCTCTCCTCCGCATAGTGTGCAAGCGTAAGGTAGCCCGGCCGCCCATACCGCCGAACTGCTTCTGATCGGACTGCAGCATTACGCAGCAGCAGCATCGCGCGCGTGTTGATCAGTACCTACCCTCTGACCGCAGCCCGTGCCGCGCAGCTGAATTTTGGCTCTTTTATCGAGCAGAGTTGCCAGTCCGCAGGGCTAGCTACAAATTTTAATATCCCACTGGTGGCAAAGAGAGTCACGCCAGCTTGTGCAGCAGCCGAGACGTGGAACACACCGCTCCACTCCTGCAGGCGAAAAAATACGACGACGCAACTTACCTGGTGCCTTCTGCGTGCCGGCGTGCTGCGGTACCACCGTGCTAGCTCGAAACGTGCAGGTGGAATCCGGCCAGGGGTGTCGTTGACGTGGTGGCCAGCGAATCACTGACAGCTCATACGAACGTAGCGGGTACGCACCTCGATTAAAGATGTCGCAGTCCCCAAAAGAGCCCGAAGAGGTCGAGCCGGCCACGCAGACGCCGGACGACAATGAACCTCAGCAGCCGAACGATCAGAACGAAGGAGAGATGAGCATGCGACCCGAAGACGTTGGCTATGATTTTGAGGTTAAGGAGCAAGATCGTTGGCTTCCCATAGCAAATGGTGAGTGCCTCCTGGCTACGCAGGCTGTCTGTAGCACCTTGCGTCCCACGACGAGCCCCGTGCTATCCTTGTCCTCCCGTCGTTGTGCACTCATCGTCTTTTGACACCTGCACGGCCACCGATGCTGTGACTGGCGTCGCTTCCTGCCCACATATAACGCTGCAGAGCGCATCTCGTCTGCAAGCCCGTCGAATCAGAGGCTTCTTCGCCGGAAAGCGATCTGCAAGCACTCGTCTCCGACTGGACGAACAAGCCATGCCATCCTCGTCCCCGCAGTCGTCGTCGCCGCCATTGTCACAGCATCGCTCGAAAAACCCGAACCGCAAGAACTTCGATCAAGATGCTAACAWTCATAACTTTGCCCCAGTCGCCCGCATCATGAAGACTGCATTGCCCGAGAATGCTAAGATTGCCAAAGAGGCCAAGGAGTGCATGCAAGAGTGCGTGAGCGAGTTCATCTCATTCATCACCAGCGAAGGTACGTACTATCAAGCGCCATTGGAGGGCGGCAATTAGCGCGCGTCGCGGCAGACACTAAATTACGAAATAGCATCCGAAAAGTGCCAACAGGAGAAACGCAAGACCGTCAACGGCGAGGATATATTGTTTGCCATGACCTCGCTCGGATTCGAGAACTATGGCGAAGCGCTGAAGATCTACCTTGCGAGGTACCGAGAGGTGAGTTGTGAAACACCGATTAATCTATCCAGGTATCAACCTTGGCGGCTAACATCACCAAGAACCTCGTTGCCCGCGGTGAACACACCAAACCACCAGCAGGCGGCAATGGCGGGGGCGCCAATCCTACAGCCTCACCGTATGACAGTGCGAGTAACAACCACAGTGTCATGAGTAACCCCATGGACGGTTCAGCGGAAGGTGTCCAAGATTTTGCCTACGGCCCTCCTGGAGACTCTGGCGGATTCTAGTTCCGATGATCGCGCACGCGGGGATATGAGGAGTCAGGACGCTGTCGGCTGGTCAGGTAAATTAACGATCAACGCGGACTCGACAAGTTGAGCCTAGACGACCARGCCAACACAGCGATGCAAATCAGATGCAATGCTTTATCGAGTACCGACTTTGACGCACTTACCCATTGAATGGGTATGGATTCACCGGACAAGTCGAATGGATTACCAGGGTAGAATGTGGCGTTTTAGTGTTACGATGGGATGGGACTCGAGGGAATAGCTCTGTGAATACACAGAGCGTCTTATGTATATTTGTTTTCGAAAGACAAAGACCAACGGAGGAAGGCATGGCTACTAGAAGAAGAAGCTTCTCTGCTCGCGCAGACTAATTGCTGTAACATTAAGATGAATATACCCAGGGCTGGAGGCTAAGGGTTCCAATCAGGCACGATAGGGTAGTCTAGCATCGAAGACAATTTCATATGTTCAGAGAGATGCATCTACGGTATCGAGGAAGCTAGTTGTGTTTGATCAGCAAGCCGTTGTGACACTGTACGTCGTTTTGTTGAATCGGAAGCTGTCAGCGATGGAGCTGGAACACGAATTCGACGCCAGACCAAACCTTCGAGATTGAATCCTACGCGACGCGTTCCGTCTCACCTACAACTACACTGACAATCTGCCATGTACCTCTCACGACCTCATCGCAAGCTCCTCAAGACTGTTAATGGTAAAGATCATGCGACTGAAGACGATCACATTTCCTCGGATGYAGCGACCGCGGCACCACTTCCCACTCCACCGGATACAGGACGGCAGTCACGATCAAAGAGAAAAAGTAAACCTGGATCGGAAGTCATCGACATTGATGATGATCCYTCACCCCCGATGAATGAGAAGAAGGAAGAGGACGACGATCCGTACCGCGATCCGGTTTCTAGCGACGACGATATGGCGAGCAAGAAGGCGGCCGCGGGGTTTGTGGATGCACGACCTAGTATTCCGGACAGGAAGATTCCGGAGGAGAGCAAGATGCAGTTCAAGAAGACCACGGTACCCACTCTGAAAGATGAGACGGATAATGTCAAGAAGGCTGCATTTTGCTTGCCTGGGGTGACGTCGGCCTCGACCACGGCTCCGAAGAGGGACAGAGAGCTCGTGGGTGATGCGGAGCTCGACGAGGATAGTGACGGCCCGATATTCAGCTCGCAGCCTAAGAAAAAGCCCAAGACTTCTGGGAATATACACGTCGCTCCACGATCGAGTCAGCAGAAGAACTTTGGCAGTCGCCAGAAAGAGACGGATCAAAGGAGGAAGGTAGCTGAAGAGATAGCTCGGAAGAAGAAGAAAAGGAAGGAAGAGAAAGAGAATGAGAGGAAGAAGTTCAAGTCATTGGATATAAATTTGAGAAGCGGATCCTCAGCAGCGGCCACATTCAAGCGTCACGACTTGCCATCTCTAAAGGGTAGTACAACAGCCGGAGCAACAGATGGTGTGAGCAATGTCGACGGCGACTCCTCCCCATTGAGCTCACTTTCCGCTTCCCCGGAACCGGATCCGATGGGCATCGTATGCGAGACTTGTCATGAGAGGGTGAATAAGCTGGTCAAGGAAGAATACGACGACGAGTACGTAAAGGGCAAGTCATGGAACATTCAATGGCAGGAAAGATTCTGTGAATGGCACCGCACACAGACGGCGAAGGAGTCATGGAAAGAGAGAGGCTATCCGGATATCGATTGGACGGGTCTGGAGCGCCGGATGCAACAACATGACCCTCTTCTGCTATGTGTGTTGAGGAATGAGAAGAAGTCCCAACATCGAGACGAATATGCAGCCAAGGTGAAGGCAAAGAGCATGAGCGGCGGCTTCAAGGATTCGAAGATCAAGCCAGGAGCAACCGTGGGTTATTATGGGCCAAAGGGGGAGAAGGCAATGTACGTGTGGCTTGGATTGAAGTCTGAGATTGTTGGTACTGACTTCCAACAGGAGCGAACACATTTTGAGTGGACTGTCTGACGAAATCCGGCAGCGTGCGAAGACAGACAGGCTTGTTTCTCCTTCCGGTTATCAGGGCGGTATCTCTGGCTTCGTGCAGGGTGTTCTGGTGCCTCATCTGGCCGAGCTCATGATCAAGGATGACATGAAGTTGAAGGGACAGAACTGGGCAGTACGAGCGCGAGAACTCATTGCGGAGAGTGCAGAGATGGGGGAGCTGGTTAACCCAGAGACGGCCGATCGTAATCCCCAGGTTGAGGGTGAGGGTGAGGGACAAGACGACTGGATGCTTCAATAGCCTTTGGCGGTTTAAGTGGCTATCGTGCTCGATATCTGCATCAACGAAACCTGTTCATTGCAGGTCTTAACGCAGTGGCTTGATTCTTCCATCTGCTGTTTCATGATTGTCGTGCATCTCTCTGCAAACCCCTAACAAGCCATCTGTTCCAACACGGCGAGATCCATCGCGATATGGTCTGCCATATCCCATTGCAGTTCGGCTGTTCCCATAGCCAGCCACGTTGTACGGCGCATCTGCCGCTCGCATTTGCCTCGCCGCCATCATCGCAGCGCATCCATTCCAGCCCGTCTCTGTCTCCGCGACACGGCACTGTCTTGCAATCTCGACCGCACTTTCCACGATCATCTCCCCCCATGCACCTAATTTCCAGCCAAATCCTCCGCCCGTCTCAACACTCTCGAATGGCGATCAACCTCGGTCTGAATATCCTTAATCTTCATCTTCTCCAAATCCAATTGCATCTCTTTGCCATCCTCTGTTATCATCATCACCATGTTAGCTCAATCCTTCCCCCTAGATATCAAATCATCACATATGTGGGAGATGTTTTCAAAGACGCACTGAATTTTAACGCCAGAGTCGCGGGATCTTGCGCTTGTGTTTGAGGGAGCATTTTGATGCTTATGGCCATTGTGGAGCGAGCGTTTGGTGGCAGTGAGGCGAGGAAGTTGCGGACTGTTTTGCCTGATCGCGGGTTGAAGGGGGAGAAGGTGGTTGTTACGCCGGTGATGTATTTGGTTATCATTTTTGGCGAGAGGGGGTTTCGTTTCGTGTGAGATGGGTATTGGGATTGGATCTGGATATGTTGCTCGCATGGCCAGTCGACGCGAAGTGTTCACGGATGCCGGCACTAATTTGGCGCTAACGACCGAGCGCCTTCCATGCTCTGCCACTGCCAACTAGTTTCTCCTCCACTTTTCACAAGACAGTTCTCGGGAACCCCTGATCCATTCATGCGCTGACACGATGCGTTCCCGCGGGCTTTGACCCGGTGCGACACACGCATGCTGCATGGCATGCTGACGAGTCAACATCACCGCGGGAAGAAGGCATCGCTACCAGAACCATTGCGGGTTCTGGACTCCTCCACCGGCTGTGGCGGTCTCTGAACCGCCCCTATAAACAGATTTACGATGTCACGGAAGGATTCGTCCGTCTCATGAGACGCGCAGAAAGCGGCGCCTCTTCGAAACTATAGTGACATCTCGTTTTCTTTGTCTCTTGTCTACTTTCATCACTACTCTTCTTCTTCTTGCAACCAACATTCGTTTGAACATACAAAAGCAAGGCAGCAGTCTATCATTCGTTTCGACAGCCAAGCCAAACACATTTTACTACAAACATACACCTGTACAGTTTCTTTTAAGAAGAATCTAATTCAAGATGTACACTTCTACCATCCTCTTTGCGGCCTCTTTGGCATCCATCGCTGTGGCCAAGACCGATCTCTCGGGCTGCACATCTACCGACGTCTCCTCGCCTGCCGGTGCGTCAGTTGCATGGTAAGTGGAACGAATCGCTATGGCATCTTATCCAACATTCAAGAGAATTCGCCAACTGGGAGGCCTCTCTACGTCTGTCAGTCAGATGCCACGATCCTGGAAGGAGGCTCTGGAATCCCTCGCCTGTCTTTGCTGTCAGATCTATCGCTAACCTTCATCGACCCTTTTGTAGGTACGTTCCAGGAACAGGAGAGGTATGCGAATTCCTCGACTGCGGAGGTGGAAGAGCGCCTGCCAAGACTACGGTCCCCGGCTGCGCTGCATACTCTGGCACCTTGACGTACTCGCCCTCATTTCTCGCCGGGTATGGCAGTGCGACGGCTTCCTCATCCGACTCTTCCACCACCGAGGCTGCCACTACAGAGTCTACAAAGGAAAGTGCTAGCACTAAGACGAGCTCGGACGACGATGCAGAGGCCAGCAGCACTTCCTCGGGCAAGACTATGGAGGCAACTAAATCCTCGACCTCATCAACCAAGTCTGCCGACATCATGACAACCAGCACCATCACCTCGGCTCCAGTTGCTCCCGGATCTGGAAATGGTACCATCACTACCACAGTCAAAGGCAATGGCACAGTCATGACTGCTTCGCCATCGCCCGAATCTACCTTCCAGRTCCAGGACTCCGGAGCCATGGAGGCTGCCCGCTTCTGGGTTGGCGGCGCTGGTATGCTGGTTCTGGGAGCTGCCATTGCCGTGCTTTAGATAGACTTGACGCGCACCGTCAGAACACCCGCTGAATACTCCCCTTTCTCTCGTGTGAAGGCAGCATTGTCCTCCTCTCACAGAGACGAGTTGCTGAGTCGTGCGTTAATCTTCAAGATCGAGACAGTGTCGCGGGCTTGGATGCCATCTGTCTGACAAATAGCGGATGAACGTGAAAAGGCGCAAAAAATGTTCCGAAATGGGAAAATGTGGAAATAGGGGATATAGGTATAACTGTTGCCGCGCTGTATAGTGGTTGGCTCCGAATGCTTGACTCTATTTGGATTTTCCTCCTCCCACCCATGACTTACACTTCCGCTGTGTGTGGTYCAGCGGTCAGATGTTCACTTTGCCGGCGAGCGAGGTTGTTAAGTGAGGGAACTACCCCAGCGTAAGAAGGAAAACCCCATAATTTCAAAAGAAAAGATACACAGTCTTCTTCTCCCACTTACTGCGCTCCAATTCATAGAACCCAATTGCCTCAAATACTTCCGATCACACCGGGCAAGAAGTCATTATAGTAGTACTACCCAAACCCTAACCCTATAACAAGAATGGCAAGGGGCCGAGAAGAAAGCAAGCTCCGATATAGGAGATGACATGTTGATGTCGATGTTCTTGCAAGATAGGCCACCAGTATAACAAGCATCTCGCCTGCAAAACATGTCAATCGAAAGATAGCAGATAGGCGAAACTCATGGCCCGCGGCATGTGCAAGTGGCAAGGTCATTGATATTCAAAGTACATAGACAAAATGGTGATGCTCGATCGATAATAATATTGGAATAATCAACAACCCTTCTTCCTTAGTCTACTCAAACCACCTATCTTCTTCGTGAGAATCATGTCTGAACCTTGGGCTGCTGATCCGGAACACAACCACGTTCGCGATTTCAAGGGCTATGGCGAGAATGGCCTACAAGGACTAGAATGGCCCAATAAAGCAAAGATTGCAGTTTCCTTTGTGATCAACTATGAAGAAGTACAATACACATACAAAATACCCTAAGCTCCCATTCTCCATGGATCGCTAACACACATATTCTTCTTTCTTCCAGGGAGGCGAACGTTCCGTCCTTCTAGGCGACGGCGAAACCGAAACCACCCTCAGCGAAACTCCCGGTCGAGCACCGCGAACCGACGCACGAAACCTCAGCGTCGAAAGCGAATACGAATATGGAAGTCGGGCGGGTTTCTGGAGATGTTTCCGCCTCTTCAACAAATATGCCATGAAATTCACGCTGTATGCTGTTGCGTCGGCTTGTGAGGAGTATCCCGAAGTGGTGCAGAGGAGTGTGGAAATGGGACATGATGTTGCCAGTCATGCTTATCGCTGGATCGATCATTYTGATTTGACCGAGGAGAAAGAGAGGGAGTTGATTAAGAAAGCGGTGGTTTCTTTGAAGGGTTTGTCGGGGTATGCGCCCAAGGGTTGGTATTATGGGCGTCCGTCGCCGAGATCGAGGACGTTGGTTCCTAAGGTTTATGAGGAGTTGGGGGAGACGTTGTTGTGGGCTTCGGATACTTATGCTGATGATGTGAGTTGTCTTTTTTGTTTCTTTCTGGTGAGATGCCTTGCTAATGTGATGGCCAGGTGCCATACTGGTATGATCGAATCGACACAAAGGAGGGAGAGGATACCAAAGGCCTGGTCATGGTGTAAGTTCTGTCCGAGTTCTCTCTGTGATTAAGCTGATCATGTCCAGTCCATACTCGTACGACTGCAACGACTTCAAATTCCTGACTCCTTGCGGCTTCCGGACACCTGGTGCTTTCTACGAGCACATGAAGAATGCATTCGACGTATTGTACGAGGAAGGCGAGAATGGCTCTCCCAAGATGATGACCATCGGTTTGCACTGCCGCATCATTGGCAGACCTGGTCGATTCAAGGCTCTCCAAGACTTTGTCGAATACATCAGCAAGAAAGAGGGAGTCTGGGTCACGACTCGTTCTGCAATTGCAGAGACGTTTGCAGAGCAGTTCCCATACCAGAAGGGAACCTTGGCCAAGGCGAAAGCGTAGTTGTGGCATGTTGGAAGATCGTTTTAGAATGTACTCTATACATTACTACTTCACCCATATCTTGCTGACCTCTTTCGCGACATTAAGTAATGCCTGATCCTTGTAGCGGGCAGTGGTGAGGCTAAGTCCAACCGGCATTCCATTCTCTCCCTTGAAGCCAGGTATGTTGATGATAGGGGCATGCAGTCCAGTCCAAATGCCCTGGAACACTGCGCTTCCAGTACTCTCCAGCCCCTTGGGAGCTTCATCTGGTACAGAAGGTACGACGACAGCAGTATATTGGTCTGCGATTTGATCCCACTTTGGACGCAGAGCGGATATCCCGTCGAAAGCTTCGAGATACTGCTTTCGGGTGTAGCCGTGCTTCTCCTCAACATGATCGATCAGAGAGGAGTCCAATCCTGCTTTGTTCGTCTTGTAATCTGGTCGGAACCCAACCCTGCCATCGGAAAAGAGGACACAAGTGTGCCAATCAGGAAGTTTCGCAAATTCAGCGGGGAACTCGATATCCTCCACTTCGACTCCAGCATCTCGGAGGGACTGCTTGCCGTCTTCCCAAGCCTTTTGCGTGCCGGGGCCAGCGTGATCCCAAACCATGGTCTTGAGGAAAGCGATCTTCGAGCCTTTGAGCCCGTTTGTAAAAGGCTCTGGCTTTTGATCGTCTTTCACACCGAATACATCCCCAAGAAGTTCCAGGTCCTCCACAGATCGAGCGTAGAAACCAAGAGTGTCAAGGATCAAGCTGTATATCTTCTGTCCCTCGCGTGAGATACAATTCCACGTCGGCTTCAGAGCGTAGATTCCATTGAAACTTCCCGGCCTGATCATTGAGCCTCCAGTCTGGGTGCCGAGACTGAGTGGTACTTGAAAATCCGCTACAGCTGCTCCTGAGCCGGACGAGGAGCCTCCAGGAGTCCGCGTTGGATCGTGTGCATTCGATGTTTTGGTACCAACGGTGGTCGCGGCAAATTCAGTCGTTGTAGTCTTTCMCAGGATAAGAGCACCTGCTTGACGAAGCATCATAACACTGCCTGCGTCCACTTCTGGCTGATCTCCTTGGTAGATCGGAGAACCGTGCTGAGTAGGTAGACCTGCATGGATAGGATGTCAGAATCGCTCCTGAAAGTCCGTTCAACTCTTAGCGTACCTTTGGTGTATATCACATCCTTGATGGCCACAGCGACGCCATGCAAAGGACCTCGTTGGTCTTTGGGGAGCTTGTCCAACGCTCTAGCCTGTTCCAACACCTGCGAAGGATTGATGTGGGCCCATGCATTGACAACAGGGTCTCGTTCTTTGATGCGTCCCAGCAGTGACTCTGCATATTGCTCGACAGTAAGAGTGCCAGCACTGAATGCTTGCAAAGCTTGTACTGCGGTCAAGCGAAATGGTTCGGCTGCCATGGCTAAATTTGGGAGCAATCGTTACTGTGTGCTATTTCGACCAAGATAAAATTCGCAACACAGTTTGTCTTCAGTGCAGATTCAGGGAGGAAATATACCTGCAACGCTGATTTCAATCGTCAGTCGTCAATCGTCAATAGTGGTATCATGGGACTAAAAGTGTCGCGGTATTGCCCCGCATCGCGGCGGGCAGATAGGCGTGTTTATCAGCTGGCCGCGGTGGTCAGTGGCAATCGCACGCCTTGCAACATACTACTATGAAGAACGGACGAAACTTTTGCAGGGCGTAGTATGACGATCCTGATCCTGACTCAACATACGAATGCATGGCATTTCGAACAGCAAAGTGGAATGCGTCGTTTGCATCCACACCTTAGCAAGCTTCTCAGACATTGCAACTGAGACGAGATTGGGGAGAGCACTTGGTGAGACCACCGGTCCATTGTCCAGTCGATTCGCTCCAGTGCGTCGTCACAGTGGTGTATGCGCGGTTGGTGCGTTCCATCGATTMGTCCTCTCCCGCACCCCTGACACAGGTAGCGACCAGCACTACATCAAGATAATCAGCCTTACAGAAAGCCTCCGACTCTCCTTGTAATCGATAGACTGCAATGTCACAGTAGCTGTGAGTATGGAAATGAGATGACATGCTGACTGGAAGCTGCTCGACGAGCCTTGCYGGCGGAACGGTGCGTGTTCTTCATGTCGAGTATCTTTACCGTAATGACTTTCGATACCGCGCCCGCATCAATGGTGAATACTTGTAATCGCAGCGAAATCACCATTTGAACACCGTCTGTCAGCTGAGCTGGCAAAAATGCGTGGCTCCCTGGCCGTCTTGTTGCTCCCAATCCAGTCATTGTCATGCTTTCCATTCGTACCAATGCCACAAATGCAATCCACATTAGGTGGTGGCCTTCTTCGCGAACTCGACGCGCAAAATCAAGTGACCGAAACCGTAACCATCCACTCTCTCGGCTGCTCGAGCCGCATCCGCGCGGTCGGCATATGAAACGAAAGCAAAGCCCTTTGCCCTGCCAGTCTCGCGATCTTTGGCAAGGAAGACACGAGTGACGCGGCCGTGGCGCTCGAAGATTTCGCGAAGGTCTCCTTCTTCGGCAAACTCGGAAACCTGCATTGTCTTTAGCATGCGCTGCTTCACCTCCGCAACCTCGACTTACGTTTGTCACTCTCAGCGTCGCAAGATCATCCCGCTCGAACTTGCCACCCATGCGCTCACCGCCACCGGCGGCCGCAGCGCCCTTTCGCAAATGAGGTGGAACGTAGCCACCGCCTCCAACACCCAAACCACCCTCCGCAGCTCCATTGATAGCATCCATGTCTGCTGGCGTGCCGGCAGCCTCGCCCTCGGGTGCCATGGTGTCCTTGAAGGGACACTTGGTGGTGAAATGGTCTCCGCTACAGATACGACATTTAATCTGCATCTTCTTTTGATTCTCAGCTTTTTTGCTCTCATCTGGCTTCTCCTCCTGCACCTGACCACTCTTCCAGCCGGCCTGTGGGCGGAAGATGATGTTTTCGCCCATGGTGGTGGTGTCCGAGCGTGGGCCAGGCTGCTTGCCGGCCTCAGCACCCATCTTGGGCCATGCGCGGCGCTCGGCAACACGTGGGTTCTCCTTCTTCTTGATGACCGTTCTGCGAATGCGTTGTGTGCGCTTGACGCGCTTGCCGTCCTCGTTGATGAAAACCGTGACAACAGTCTCGGTGCCGTCCTTGTTCTTGGTGATTTGTGGTGCGGGGATGGATGTGGAAAGATCGGGAGAGTCGTCATCATCGGCCCAGTCGGTACCTCTGGGTGGGTTTTGTACGGCGGCCATGATTGCGGTAGGGGATGTGGTGTTGTTGTCGTGAAAGTGACCGCGGGCGCCGTCTATCGATAATCGAATGTGGTGGTGGACGAAATTCGACGCTAAGAAGCAAAAGAGTCACAGGCAGGTGCGTCCATTGGTCTGTGCTGAGTCCCTCTGTACTGAGGCAACAACCRCGCCACATCTTATTTGCACCTTCTCCCACTCGACCACGTTACCTTCACTTCACTGCGATTCACCCACCTAGCTGACATTGTTTGACGATGCTCTTCTTGAAGCTCAGACTCTTCCCAGTGCGGTCGCTCCTTCGCTGAGGAGCCGCTTGGCGCAGTGCTAAATGATTCCAGCTTTCAATAGTCTATAATTGAGGTTCTAAGCTCAAAGTAAGGCGTCGACTAAATGCACTTCAACTCGAGTAAAGGTCGATGTTCAGGCTACTGGCTTGGGACGGCACCGCATGCTACTATCGGTTTGACCAAATACGATGACTGACATAGAGAGCCGCCCAATCAGCCGCTGGATTGGGTTGGTGGGCGTGTTGAGAAAAGGATGTGTGCAATATTGCCTCGATGGTTCGAGTGGCTTTCACTGGTACAGTGAGACTAACTGGTGTTGCGATTCGCCCAGAGGCTGCTCTTCCTAGACCTTGTGGGCAGGAGACGCGAGAAGACCATGCGGGATCGACGAGGCGTATGACCGTTGCATCGGAGCGGATTGGTGGTAGCACTGCAGAGAGTTTGTGCGATACCAGGTGAGTGCCACGGAAACCTTCAGAACCATAGAGAGGGGTCTAGCAGGTCAATCTCTAATTTCGACCTGCTTCGCGCTATCAAAGGGCTTTGTGCAGCGGAGTTATGTCCCCGCAAATCGACTAACTTAGGACTTCTAGGGCTGTTGAACTTGAGCCATTTGCAGTGCTCAGAATCGTCAAGAGATAGGGGATCTGGCTTGCATCTTCGCATGTTGAAACCCCGATGCAATGAAACGCAGTCCACTTTTGATCCTGTTCCTCACCCTTGAGGGCTGAGTCCGAGTTCATCACGCAGGTGAGCGCTTTCGAATCGGCAGAGCCAGAAGGAGCAGTCGTGCGATAATTCCGCCGGTCCGAAGACGCTATCGGATGTACGAGGGACAGGAGTTGGAATGGCGAAACGTATACCGATGCCGACAAGTTACAGAGCTCGGAGATTGGCAAGTCTGCAAGTTTGGTAGTTTCCTCCTGGCCAGACGTCTGCAATGTGCATCTCAGGAGACGCAGACCGCCATGAATGGCGTTGGGCTATGAGGACGCAAGTGAGACGTGCGTTACGTGGCATTTCATGCACCCTCTCTCTGCAGTGGCACATCCATCGTACTTCGTGTCGTGCTGTTGGTGTTCTGAGTCGTTGGTCGTCTTTGCGCCGCGCGCTTAGGTCGATGGGATCTCGAATCGATTCAGGAGACACATGTCGGGTATTGGGCCCGCATTCTCGTCTCCGTATCACCAACAGGAAGGAGCTCCGGCCCTTTCAACTGGCCATGGCGAAAAAATTGCGCGCTGAAAATGCAGAAGCTCACACAGACAATTACAACTCTTGGCCCGTGGATCGCTCGGCGCTTCCGAAGTCTTGGGTCAGCACTGACATGAACGTCGTGAACTTCGGCTGAACGTCGCTCATTTCTCGACGCGTGTGGCTTCCAAAGACCAAGACGCTGGACCTGTGATGTGATGGAAGATCGTTGCCCACACACAGCGATTTCTGCGAGCCCTCACCACAGGTCGGAGCTATTTCCCAGTTCGGAAAGACCTTGAAACCACCAGCGTAAGCTTAGGAATCCTTGCCTCGGCCACTTGTGTCAAGTCCTCACGTGTCGCAGACATGCATCCATGCTGTGCCGCGCAGTGCATACTTTCCATGCGTAAACTTCTGCTATCATTAGCATGACTGGGGCCACGCGGAGTCYATTRCAAGCTCGTAAGGAGCTCGTGAACGGCGCTCGTAAGGACGGACGTCTGTGTATTTTTGATGATGTCTCCACGACAACAGGCTGCATCCCGGCGAGTAGGACGTTYCGGACAATMGTTATCACCTCTTGTACATGATGATCTGTTTTGCACGCACTGCACAGTCTTGCACACGCTGTACATAATGCCCTAGGTATTGCTCAGTGGACTAGGCAGGCCACGCACGTTGCTTGTCAGGATCTTCGACGCAGAGTGCCAAAGACGTGACTGACAAGTTACAACTGTCTTGGCTGGTCGTTCGAGTACAGTTTGTGCCATGGCATTGGCTTCAATTGCAAAGGACAGAGCTCAAAGTCAAATCAGCGGCCATGCTTACACCACACACCTTGAAAGCAGATCACTGAGATCAGCCCCCACATGGAGGTCGATCACCGCCAATACGTTGAGGATGTTGTGATTGGCGCCCAAGGAGGCGCCCAAAGCGGCGCCTCGCAGCTTCTGGTCTCATCAAAGAAGTACCACTTCTTCCATGCTGGCAAGGTCGAGGTTGTACTGTACTACAAAGTTTATGCCTTTCCGAACCGCCGGAGGGGAATAGCGCCTCGTGTGCATAAATGATATGCGGCCTACAGGAGGCGGTAGCAAGGGTCGGGGAGCTTGTTTGCCACGTGCTGCAGGTGGCGCCAGCGTTGGATCGACGGGCGTAGGCTGAACTTTGCTGGGCTGTCTAGTTTTCAAAGGAAGCCACACAATCATTCGGGCTCCTCTTCACATTAGCCGGAACAGGATGTCGTTCGACGTGCTGTCCTGGAGAGATGGCTGTGAAGGTGAGTGTTGCGCCCAAGCAGCATATGTAGCAATGCATATGCTCAAACGCAGAAAGGGAGTAAGGCAGCGTAGCGGTCTGAACAACGTGCCGAAAAACCTGCTGTTCCTCCGCTTCGTCAGGGCGCCTATACCCGGTTCCAGGAAACATTAGCAGATTGCGCGGCATGTTGATCATGCAATCAGTTGAGCCATCACCACCTCGAGACTGCGAATGGGCGTTTGCGTTTTGCAGAGATGTGCCTAATCAACGTCTAGAACGACTCTGAGCGACATCATGATTAGCATAGTATCCTTGGCCAAACGGCATGTGCCGGAATGGCGAATCAAGTTTCATCGAGGTCGAGAGCCCAACGAGCTTCATTCGCCTTCGCTCGTCCAAGATGATGCACGATGCAGTCGCAGATGAGTGGTAGCCTGTAGGAGGTAGAGTGGGTCGCGCGACGGAGGTTGGCTCGAGGTGGCTTCATGGTTCGGCGCTGCTCAGCCACACGTAGGTCCCAACGGAGAAGGGCGCGCACGAGGCAGCGCATTCCACCGCTCACGGACTCGTGGCAATCGCGTGGAGCTGCTGGGGCACAGGGCTGCTGAACGGCCCAAGGACATTCCTCCGACCAATGCTAGCTTCRACATTGAAACATGGAGGTCTGCGCTTGCAAGGCCTGCTCGACGCAGCCAGCAGGGGATGCAGAGGGAGCAGCCGGATGATGTGGTCCATGTGGGTTTTCTTTGGAGCAGTCTCCTGCACCGGGAATAGCCTGGAAGGCGGATTCCTCCAAGACGTCCACGGTCTTGGGCAATCGTGTCAGCGTGGATGATTATTCGCCTGAGATACGAGAGACGAGCAAGAGCTGTCATCGGGCAGGAGGTTGGAGCATTTCAGCCGAGTGAATAGGCGCGGAGCGGAGCGGACATCATCTGCCATGGCATGGCCGCACATGGCCAGCGACACTTCCCGGTGTCGATCATTTCGAAAGGGTATCAAGTCCGATTGAGTACCGCGCTTTCACAGGGTCCTGTATTGGGGCCATTTCTTGCTTGCTTGTCTTGTCAGCAACCCGGCGGATCTTCACTTCCTGTTCTCTAAGGAGTAACAAATTTAATGGCGGCGGACACTACTTTGCTTCGCCGCCGCTTGTGTCGAACAGCGGCTGGTTGATTTGACAGGCCTTGCATGTCCTCTGACTTGTAACGGAACCGTCAACCTCTGGCCGACGAGCACACAGATTCAGAACCTCCCTTCTGGCACAACGCACGACCACAGCAACCTCGTCGACGGGCCCAACTTCTACCCAACCCAACGTTCGAAACAGCAGGACCCGGATCACACCTCTGCCGGAAGCTGAAGGATTTCGAGCGAGCGAGCGAGTGGTTGGATGTTCATGCAGAGCTCGGAGACGTAATCATAAGCGTAGTGTCTTCTGTATGACAGACGGCTTTGCTTTGCTGTGCTTTGCTTTGCCTTTGCCTGGCCTGCCTTGCGAATCCTTCCAAAACTCCCGCGCCTCACCCAGCACGTTTATTGCGCCTCGCTCGCCGCCGTTGCCAACGGTCAAACGTTATCGATAGTGCCGTGTGGGCTTCTATCGAACGTTGCCGCACCCACTTTATCGATTTCGAATCCCTATACTTAGTATAGGCACATAGATTGCGACACCTCACAACACGGCCGCCGTCGTCATGGATGGCCAATACCCGTCGCGCATGCCGCCGTTGGGTGCCTTTTATACTAGCGGCTACCCTCCAATGATGCCCCCACCAGAGCCACTCCAACAGGCGGGACTCCACCAGATGCAAACGATGCCGATGGAGAATCTGGGGAGCTATGCACAATACGAGCACCCGAACCGCAGCAAAAACAACAACAACAACAACAACAACAACAACCTCCCAGCGTCGGCGCCTCAACGATCCCGGCGGAGACAACCGTCCGGTTCGGAGCACGTCAAGCATCGACGGACAAGAAGTGGATGCTACACCTGCCGGCAACGTAGAGTCAAGGTGAGTCGACGTTGAACGGCCGTCTTTCTGCCATGCTGACAGTTGTAGTGCGATGAGACACATCCAATCTGCGAGCGTAGGTTTGCATTCCGCCCTGCCATCCCGCACCAACTGCGACTGACGCTGTGAACAGGATGTCGAAAAGGTAAACGAGAATGCGCCTACCCTGGTGTCTCGTCTTCGCCGAAGCCGTCCAGGAGCGGTGGTAGAACGAGGGGATCACCGGATGGCTCCAGTCCATCGTGTAGTGATCTGGACGTCGACGATGATGAACCTCTATCGGCCTTGCCAGAGGATGATGACGGTGCAGCCATGGATGAGCCACGCTCCGCCACCACATCCCGTCACAGACGATCCATCCCAGCAGTGCGTGGGAGTCCTCCGCAGGGCGACGTGGCCCCTTCTGCAACACGAAGCAGGCGAGAAGGTGGAGAGGAGCCGTCGAAACTGGGCGGCAAGCTTGATCTCACAAAAAGTGCTCGATGGAGCTCGTTGCCAAAGGATGTCAAGTACTATCTGAAGCATCACCGTGACAGCTTGACCCATCACCATTACGGCTTCAAGTACGATGGCGGAGACTTCCTCAAGACGACCTTCTTGGAAATCGCTCTCAATGATAGCAGCTCGGCGCTACTTTACGCAATCGTTGCGWTTGCAGCATATCACCATGCCATTGCTCGAAACAACAAGAGGATCTCAGAGTTCCTATCCTATTACAACAAGTCCATCGCGTGTCTGCAGCACTCGCTGAAAAGTAAGAGACACAATGTCGCAACACTTCTCACGATCCTTCAGCTCGCAACGATCGAGGTATGGAATGCGCTGGGACCTGATATCATCTCATGAATGCCTACTGACCTACGAAAAGGAGTTCCTCGGCGATTGGGTCAATCTACTGGGCCATCAAAAGGCAGCGCACCAGCTCATCGCGGACCTTTTCACCCCGCAAACGATCATGCAGGATGAAACCCGCCGCAAGATCATCAGCTGGTATCTACGGTTTGACTTGTTCGTTGGAATGATGTCAGGCGGGGAAGTGACCATGGACCGCGAATGGTTCTCGGCTTCCGCCGAGTTCTACCAACGTCAGACGAGGGACAAACCCAACGATTTGGGAGCCAGATTTGAGGAATACTTTGCGACATCCCGCTTGCTGGCGACCGACGTAGCGCTCCTCTTCGCCAGCAGAGCAAAGAACACCACCAGCGACGAAAGCTTCGCGAGCAGTGTCGAAATTCTGTCCAGACGGTTTGGAGAGTTTGGCCGCACGATYGAGAGCGCTTTGACTGATCCAGCTTGCTTTGTCAAGTCATTTCCGAGAGCACCGCCGCGGAACGAAAACGATCTGTTCGACTATCAGGACCCTCAATTCCTGTACGGTGGGGAGGCCGCTACCATGAACTTCGTCTTGATAGACCATTGGGCTATTGAGCTGATGTTCAAGTTTCAGCTCAGCCTGGCCATGGGACAGCCAACGTCACCTGAATTCGCTGAGATTGCTATGAGGAAGTGCAAAATGTTCGAGGCCATTCAATATGGGGAACAGTCACCGGCCGMGATGCTGGGTTGTCAAGCAAGTCTTGGCATAGCGTGTCTCTTTCTGCCTAAAGAGGAGCGCTACACACAGTGGGCCCGACGCAAATTCGCGTCCATCGAGCAGCTTGGGTACGCAGATTTATGCCGTGGAATGTAGAGCAATGCTGACAGATTTGCAGATACATCTATCCTGCCGCACTTCGAACACGCATGTCTGAGCTGTGGGGAGAGGATGTTAACGACTGGTGGCTTCCCAACAGTGAAGGTTACCCAAGTACTGTCAAGACCATACGAGACTTCATCGAGTATAGAGCAGCGAAGCCGACCGATGACTGGTAGGTACTCACAGTTTGTTCACACTTTTACGCGGAGAAGAGCATGGCTCACCTTTTGCATACAGGAGCACGGGCGTTCGCGAGATGAGCGGTATRTTCCGGAAGCTCGAAGTCGACGAGCACGGACTCCCCGAGGCATTGAGAAGTCCATTGAGCGGCTCAATCGACAGCAATTCCAATCCTTGGGAGCATGAGAGCAGTCCAGATTCGCAACTACCATTGACTTGAAGGAGATCGGTGGAAATCATTGCAACTACAAACAACACGACGCGCAAGTCACATTTGCCCGTTCAATTGCGAGACACTTGCCATTACGGCTCTTGTCGCTGCACTCTATCTCGACATCCCGCCATGGAAGCTCCGAGCTTGCGCCCAACTGTGAAGCTCTTCGACTCGGCCGGATGTGTCAAAAGCTTCGAAAGACGATTTGTATCCTTACCGCGGCCTCAAGATCATTGGATGTCCAACGACTGGCACAGAAGCGGTATCGCTCTGCATCTCTCACTACTGCGGCGACCTTACTGGTTCCGACTTTCAAATACACGCCGTCTTGGAACTGGCGGTGTCTTGGCGAATTGGAAAACCCGCGAGGCTGAAAGATCATCCCATCTTCACTAGTGCCCATGATCTGCTCGTGCAGAAGCGACAATTGTTGGCTCCAGCCTCCAGGGCTTTGAATTTAGCCAGCCGATGGGTTTCCGTCTACAACCGTACCCAATTGCCGACTCACTTTTCAACCGAAATTTGAAGGTTCTTAAAAGGCAGTTTGACGACGTGGCTCTATGCTAAACATGAAGCAAACTCAAATATGAGATTTAGGGGTCCAGGGGTTGATCACACACATGGTGCGCGTGGCAAGCAACCGACATGCGGAATGCTCGGACGCCGTTGGGCACGCAGAGTCAAACGCCATTCATGACTCTGTACATGTCAGCCTGCTCACCATCGATGGTCCATTATTGATGATTCATCGATAGACTCGCGAACATGTACATCTTCAAACAACTGCGGCGCTTTGCCGATGCGCCCTGCCTTCCTGCTTGGGATTAGTATGCAAACTCAATCCCACCCGACTTTTCCTCTTCCGACTCCATTGATAAATCCTTCATCCTGTGATCATGAATTCGACTCATGGTCGCTGTCTATCGATTCCTGTCCGTTCATTCCGACAACATCCGTCTTGTGTGCGTGGCAGATGTACCCCACCATGTCATCTTTCAATATTCAACTCCTTCGCTCCAACAGCGCGCATCAACAAGAGCGCGGTGAAATTCCCCCTCCCGAGTCAGCTGTATAAGATATCTCCACATTTGGAAGTCGCCAAGCTGAAAGTCCAACGGCTATCCACTTCACGTGGCGGAGTTGTGGAGATTGAGTCTCACGACCAAGAAGCAAGCCCTCGAGCAAGCAACCGATATGGTCCGGCGATAGTAGTCTGATCAAGACATTATTATATCCGCACTTTGACAGTCTTTTTCCTCTCCAGAACCTCACAGAATCGAAATCTTTGCATCACATCACCGTCACTCTTTTTTTGTCTTTCGTTTCCAATCCGTCAGTCACTACATCATCATCATCATCATGTTTCGCGTCATATTCGCAGCCAGCGTGGCATCGGCTCTTCCTCACGCTCTCCTTTCCGCTTCCATTGACATTAATGTCTCCCCGCAGAATGGTGCAGAGGCTGCTCTTACATTAGAAGCATGCGCTCCAAGAGCAGCAGGCACAGGACCCTCTACCACCCCTGACTCCGCCGATGCCTTTATCATCAACACTGCCTTCTCCGTCTTCGCCGATACTGCTTCCACTCCAAAGGGATACACACAAGTCTTCCAGGATCTATCAGGTTCGAATATTCAGCTCGACAGCTACTTGCAATTGTGGGTATCCATCCTTTCCAAATGCTGTGATTAGCCAGCCAGTCTTACAACTGACTTTTATCATAGCCATTATTTGACCACTTATAGCACCGCGGACTGTGCGAGAGCCTGTGACGAAACAGAAAACTGCGCGGCTTTCAACATTTACTTTGAGCGCGATCCTGTCGTCGAGCCAGCGGCTGCTTGCCCGGATCCCGCATCCACAGCAGCGATCAAATGTGCTTTGTATAATGAGGCTGTCGATGAGACTTCTGTTATTAACCTTGGTCAATTCCGTGAGGAGTTTGAGGTTGTGATTGCTGGATCTAATGGTGTGTTACTGTTTTTTTTTTTGGTATTATGTGTCCTGAGATTGTGGTTCTAATCCTTGTGTTTGTAGGATTCGTGAAGATTGGAGGCGAGATCCCTGAAACTCCTGAAATTCCGGAGAACCCGAATATGCCTGGAGAAGGGGATTCTCCTGATACGCCTGATACCCCCGACACTCCCGGTAGCGGCTCACAACCAAGCAGTGGTCAAGAACCAAGCAATGGCGAGCATCCAAACGAAGGCTCAGAACCTTCAGATCCAACTCCATCAGAGCCCCTCAACCCTGGTCCAGAAGAACCCCATCCAGATCTCCCATCCACCAACGAGCCCTCCTCCCACAATGCTCCAGTATACAGCTTGCCTGAACATGGAACAGCACCAAAACTCCCGGCTTGCCCTGCTAAATATCACGAGTAGATTTTGTCGAAAAGGTGGCTCGTTTGTTGCGTTATGGATGGACTTTATAATGTAATTCGATTCTAGCTTTGTAGATATTGGGGGTTATTAAATTGATCGAATGGATTCTTCAGACGATGACGTTGGCGTTGAGAATCGGGGTGTGGAGGTAAACGTATGCGAGGACGGGAAGACTGAGAACGAGTTATGGCATTAAGTAGCATTGAACTACCTAGTTTCGAGAGTTACCTCAAGGTATCTATCTACATATGAATGCCCGTAGGTTGACGCATCGATCTTAGAACAAGCAGACAGTCCTCTGTCTCTAGCGTTCTCCGAGCATCTTCTCTCCGCCTGATCATTCGCTTCAGAGCCGCTGCAATTCTTCTCATGAGCAGAATGGCTGGTCATATGACGGAGAGAGATGGAGGATGAGGGTGGGTCAAAGTCAAGAAGAAGAAGAAGAAGAAGTACAATAAAACATGGTATCTAATAGTCAAGTAATAAGTAAAAAAAAACAAAAAAACGGCGACTTCCACTCCCACCTCCCTCTCAAATAAAACAAACAACCCCCCAGTCCAACCCTCAAACCCCCTCCCCCAAAAGAATCCTCTCCTCATCCTCCAACCCCCTCTCCCTCAAAATCTCCCCCACACTCCTCCCACTCTCATCCCTAGCCTCAAGATCCGGCGTCCCCTTCTCAACCAACAACCTCAAAATTTTCAAATCCCCATTATCCAGCGCCTGCAAAACCGCATTCCAACCCCGATACRAAAGATTCACATCCGCCCCTTTCGCAAGTAAATGCTCAATATAACTCAAATCCTCCTCCCGATGTCTCCTTATAGCTTTAATAATCGGAAGATGTTCTCCCGGGGAATTGACATCTGCACCCGCAACATCCACCAAATATTTGAAAATGTCCTTGCGATTCTCACGGATGGAAGTGGTTAAAGGACTGAAAACTCCGGCGTTTTTTTCTTCGACATTCACGCCTGCTGTGATTAGTAATTTTACACTTTCGAGTTGGTTGGCTACGACGGCCATTTCCAACACCCCCTTGACGATTCTGTTGGTGGGGATATGTGGGAGGAGTTTTGCGAGGATATCGGGTCGATGAACAGCCATGGAAACGGGCCAATCTTGTCCTCGAATTCTCGGGTCCGCGCCATGAGCGAGTAAGATGTCGAGGAATTCAACTTGTCCATCTCGAATGGCGGTTGTGAGAGCTGTGTGGCCGAAAGCGTTGCGGGCGTTGATGTCGATGGGGATGGGTTTTTGATTGAGGAGGAGGTACATTAGACTTTCTTTATTCTCGTGCGCTACTGCGCATTCAATCAAGCCTTTTGGGGAATTGAGATCTGCTCCTGCGGCGATGAGACGGGGGAGGAAGTGCGTGCGATGATAACTGACGGCTTTGAAGAGGGGATAATCCAGTGCTTTGAGATTCGGATCTGCGTTGTGTTGTAGGAGAATTTCTACCAGATCGCCTCGGTCGTCGCGAATGGCGGAGCATAGAGGCGTGTAGATTCCGTCTTTTTTGGCGTTGATGTCTACGCCGTTTTTTAGGAGGATGCCGACTGCTTCGGGGGAGTTGATTGATGTGGCTAGTTCCAAAACGCCGGGTGCACGCTTCAGGTCTGCGCCGTGTGAGAGAAGTGCTTCTAGGATTGGGGGAAAGTGTACGGCTGGCCAGAGAAGGATTTTGGGGCCTGGGAGGTTGGGGTCTGCGCCTGCATCGAGTAGACGGATGACGAGGTCTAGTCGTTCGGAGGCGATGGCTTTGAATAAGGCTGTCTCCCCGTGACTGTTCTTTAAATCTATCCGATGTGGTGGTCAGTTGGTTTCATCGCGAGACTAGTAGTATACTGCAACCATGGATGGGGTTTCGTACCTGGATTTGCCCCATGTAACAACATACGCTCCACAAAACTCATCGGCGTGGTCTTGTTCATAGCATGAGTGAAAGGAGTCTCACCATTCGGCATAACCAAATTAGGAGCTGTTGACGGATCAACCTTGGCGCGAATTGATGGCTGGATAGGAACGCTACCATTCTCTCCCACGGATGGAGGTTTTCTGAAAGGTCTGTTGCCCGAATCTGGAATGTGCGAAGGACTCCCTCGCCGCCCATGTACGAAAGAATGAGTCGACGAGATTTCAGAAATATCGTCGCCTCGAATCCCAGCAGTTCGATCACCACCGTTGAGAGTTTGGGACCCATTTCTAGAACCCTGGTCACCATTCACAGGCCGGTCTGGAGAAGACGCGGCATCATAAAATCCAGGCGACCAAGGTCCATTCCTCAACGGAGAGCTTGTTCCACCGAAGCCATCCTGAGGTATTGGCGGCAGAGGTAATGGTCCACTAGGACTCGGCGGCGGCGGAGGCAAGCCAGCAAGAACATTGCTTAGTTGCCTTGTCTGAAGCGTGCGTTTCACTTGCGTGGGATCTGGACGCTCGAGAACCGCCGAAAGAGCTGTATACCCAATACATTGCGTCGTTTCGAATTTGGCATCACCAGTAGTCGAGGGAAGAGGGTGTGCTTCCAACCCAGTGCGAGATTGAGTCATGGATGCTTTGATCCTCTCCATATCTCCCTCAGCAAACAGTCTTCTGATATTAAGGCCCAGCTTCCCAAATTTATGTTTCTTTTCGCTGCTGAGGAGCTTATCAACCATGTGGCCGTAGACGGCGAAGGAGTTTTTCGTTTGGTGTAATCGCGCTTCCAGTCCTTTGGATGTAGTCTCATCGAGTTGAGATCCCACGCGAATGACAGCCGTCATCCCAGCTCTCGCGGAGAAAAGAGCATGACTTGTCTCGAGAAATTCAATCGCCAGATCCTTGAACCCAGATGGGGAAACCTTGACGATGCTCAAGTATTCCAGAGTGTGGACGGAAATACTGTTTCCCAAGGCAGTCGTGCCGGCGCAAATCTCCAGGAGTGATTCGGTTTTCTTGCCGCCCACCACAGGTGGTGAGCGCATGGTGACGTGATTACGTCGAGCCGACGTGTCGTTTCCAATGCTCGTGAGGTGCATCTGTGAGAAGGAATGGAGAGACCGAGCTACGTAGGTAGAACTCGAAGACCAGAACGTGAGGTGGTTCCCAATCCGGTCAGCTGGGTGGCATTTCTTTCACGCTCAGACAGAAGAACAAAGAGAGGTGACCAACAATAAGAGTGATGTGTGGAATGTGACTAGTCGATCATTGTCCTTACCTTTATGCATGTGTTTGGGCTAGATCATGCAGCGGAGAAGGGCAATATACCGGAATTGCTCTGTAGTTGTTACGATGCTCAGACCTATCGATATCGCAAAAAAATTGCAACACCTTCAGCGTCCTCAACAGCTCTTCTCATTGATTAGTGGGCGATTTGGGTGGTGGAGAAAGTCCTCGCAAGCACAGCATCGGCCAATTGTGTCGAAAACAACACTCGCCATGCTGACTTTGAGAATCGAACGCTCACGCCTGTGTGTTATGGTTGCTGTGAGGCTGAGCGATGTTACGCTAAGGTTTGGTCGTTGGCTGCCAAATCGCGATGTTTCAAAGTAAATTCCAGGGTCGACCAGATAACATCTCGATACTTGCTGTATTCATGCGCCGATCTTCATCCATATTGCGAAATCCATCTATGTGTAACATGATCTCCACGTCATCACACCAGGTGATTCCTTCAAATGTACAAAGCACTTCCATGATGCTTCGTGTTCTGCTCATACAGCGAAACGCCTGCAGCTTTAGCGTCCGTCCTGTTCGGGAAGCCATCAAACGATCGAGCGTAGGTAGCCACAGAGTGCGCGATGAGCTGAGTATTCACCACCCAGGCCGTGACATTAACATTTCCAACATCATCGCAGAGCTGATGGTAGCAAGGATCATACCAGTCGCCAGCTTTACCTCCGAACATCTCGGCTTCTTTCTTCGTCTTGATGCCCTCGGCGCCTGTGGCAATACCGCCTGCTGGGATGCCTGCTCGAATGAAGCCGTCGTAGTCGGATCGCCCATCAAAGGGGATGAAAGTATAGTTGAGGCCCTTGGCTTCGTACCAGTCCACGTACAAATCGCGAAGCTCTTCGGAGCCTACTGGGGAGTCCTCGTTGGTAGCATTGTAGATTTGGTAGGCGAAATTCGGCGAGCCCATCATGTCATAGTCCATGAATAGTCGAACTTTCTTGTTCTCTTCTGGAGAGAGGGAGGCGGCGTAGAAGTCGCTCCCGACAAGACCTTCCTCTTCAGCTGCCCACCAGGCAAAGCGCACGCAGTTGTTGACGCTATATTTGGTCAACTGCTTGGCGACCTCGAGAAGGGAGAGCGTTCCAGATCCATCGTCGTTGATGCCTGGTCCTTCAGGCACGGAGTCTGAGTGAGCACCGAGCATTACGCCTGCGCATGTTGTAAGTGACATGTCCCGTTCTCAGGAGAAAGGATGGCAGGCAACACTGTTTCTGGAAATCACATACAGTTTTCGGGATCACCCTCTGCCGTCTGAGCGACGATGTTGGAGGAAACAATTGTTGAAACGAAAGCATCAATGCTGAGAGCAGAGATACAATGGTTAGTAATGTACGTATCGGGGGAACGAGACGCAAATGTGAGAGCACTCACTATGCAATAGCATCAACATGCTTGCCCTTCTTCAGTTCCTTCAAGTAGGACTCTGCTTCCTCTCGAGAAATGCCAAAGGTTGCGACGTGGTCTTCGCTGGGAGTGCCCATGGTACCGTGAAGAGGTCCGCTCTCGGTGTTGTAGACAACTGTTCAAACATCAGCCACAACTCCCATCAACTTCAACTCATCGTTTTTACCGGCAGCGATCGCGCCAGCTCTACCAGAATTTGCACTCTTGTCGCCAAAAGAGCATGTACCACGCTGGATGAAGGCAATGTTGCCCTTGACACTGGGTGGGTAGTCCGAAGCAGAGCATCCACTCTCGTTGACGAGAATGAGGTCTCCATGGACAGGCTCCTTGTCCTGGAGTGTTGCTTAGCATTTCCACTTTACTTTGATCGGATGGAATCCAACCTTTGTAGGTGGCGTCAGGCTCATGGCCGACGCATTCTGGATGACATCTGAACCGATGACCAATCTCGACTCATACACACTGCCAGAGAAGGCGGGAAATGACTGGTCTGAGAGGGTGTAATAGTCGCCGAGTTGAGCAAGCTGGGACCAAATGTACTCCAGAGTTGCTTTATGGCCGGCAGAGCCTATAACTCTGGTTGGTCGATTGTATTCACTGCCAGTCAGGTATAAGCTATTGTCCGTCGAGACATGGGCCATGCTATACGTACTGCCAACTGAGCTCTGCGAGCTTGTAGAGATCTTCGGCTCTCGCCGAGAGCGTCTTGCCATCGATGCTTGACTCCAGCTTCTTGCTGTCGACCAGCGGCTTGCCAAGACCCTTCGCTTCGGAATCTACCAGCGGCTGTTGTACGACATGGGCCGCCACGCTACCAAGCAGAGCGGCGGCGATGATTCCTTTGAAACCTCCCATGATGACGAGGATGATGCTGATGGTCGAGGTTGTTGATGGGAAGGACGGGAAGTTGATCACCCTCGACTCTTATCACGCGACTGAGACAGGAACAGAAGCACAGACCCCGGATGATCGCCCCACTTCCGCTCCAGCGGGCCGGGTGGGTGGCTGGCTCTCGGTTCACTATCGAGGCAGGCAGGCAGGCATCAAGCATTACGCATACCTCAGCATGGACATGATGATGATATAAGACATCACCTCTCTTCCGACACCTTCACATTGATTCTACATGACAAAAGCAGCCATGGACGAGAAACACAATCTGCTCTTCGACGAGGGACTTTCCCACTCGCAGCCAACACAACGCCAGCGCCTGTCGAATCGACCCAAGACAGTCCTGGTCGCCGCTCTGGCCATTCTCTCCCTTCTCACCTTTCCGAGATGGATGTCGTCGTCTTCCTGCTCTCATGCCTCCAAGGAAGTGACCTACACTGGCGAGAAGATTTCCTGGAAGCCGTGTGGCGACGTCAGTGGAAGACCGGTTGAATGCAGCAACATTGACGTGCCAATGGACCAATTCAACGCCACGAACTCTGGCGATAAAACGTTTAGCATTCCGTTGATTCGGTTACGAGGCAAGGACGCGACGAAGAACTTGCTGTTGAATCCTGGAGGTAATAACTTCATCCGATGATAGCATCAACATTTTCCCCGAAGTTGTTCTGACAATTGCTGACCATCCCTTCCTCCTTTCAGGCCCAGGCGGCAGCGGCATGGAATTTGTCTTCAGACGCGGTAAACAGCTATCAGACATCGTCGGAGAAGGCTACCACCTCCTGTCTTTTGATCCTCGCGGCATCAATGGCTCCAAACCTGTTGCATCTTGCTACCCAACTGAGGAGGCCCGCAGGCAGCTATCCTCGGTGGCTGACTCTGAGCTTGTTCATGACAGTCCCAGTGTGTACGCATGGACACAGAACTTTGTGAAGGCTTGTGCCGATACCATGGGAGAGCACGGTCGGTACATCAACACGCCACAGGTCGCTGCGGATATGAACAGCATTCTCGATGCTGTAGGTCAGACGAACATGTCATATTGGGGATTCAGGTACGCATTCGTTCATTGTTTTGAGCCCAGATTGCTTTTACTCACGCAAAGTCAAGTTATGGAACAGTCCTTGGCCAGACATACGCCACTTTATTCCCCGACCGGTCCGAACGCGTAATCATTGATGGTGTTGTCAACAACCACAAATGGTACAGCGCCGATCTCGACGCCGAGTCGTTCACCAACACCGAAGATGTTCTTGAGGGCTTCTTCGACGAGTGCATCAAAGCAGGAAAGAACTGTACCCTCACCCAGCTTGCAGATTCCAAAGAGGAGCTGGCGAAATTGGTCTTCAAATTTTCCAAGGAGCTCAAGAAGCAGCCGATCAGCGTTTATATCAACAGCACTGTATACGGAACTCTTGACTATGCTAGTTTGTGGTACAGTGGAATATTCCCGGCCATGTACAAGCCTGCGACGTGGTGAGTACCACCCCCGGTGATGATGAAGTGCTTGCCCTCTCTTGTAAAGGAAGTCGGATGCAGGACGAAATGGGCCGCGCTTTGTGACATCACGCTAACTCCTTCATTTCGACGTTTAGGTACAGCCTTGCAGACAACTTGGCGCAGCTACTCAAAGGTAATGCCACTGCCGCCTGGCAAGCATACTCAAGCGACAGCTGGGGCATCGAAGGAGAAGCCAATCAATTCGTCACATTCTCCGACGCTCTCAGCGGGCCCAGATACTGGACGCAGGACAGAGAAGAGCTCTTGGAGCAAATCCTCGAAATTTCCAACCAGAGTCTATTCGCTGCCAGCGAAGGGGCAGGCTATTACGAAAGACAACAATGGGCGATTCCTCGAACACACAACTACACTCAAACGCGTGGCGTGGAGACTGCTCACCCTCTGTTGATACTGTCAACATCCTACGACCCAATTTGTCCTCTGATCTCTGCGGAGTCTGCACACGAGTCTTTCGAGGGCTCGCAGATTGTTGAGGTCTTGGGTTATGGACATTGCTCTGTCGCTGTGGCATCTACCTGTCTTGCGAAGCACGTCAGGGACTTTCTCTACAACGGCACACTCCCTGATGGGCACACCAAATGCGTAAGTGGAATTGAGGATTAATCTCATATCTCTCTGCCTAGCAGCCTATTTGCTAACATGCCAATCTGTGTTCTAGGAGGTCGATAGCGCATATTTCATCAAACCAGAAGAGGATGGCAAGGTCGTTGCTCAAAAGACCTTTACCGATCCCGAGGAGGAGAAGATCCATCTCGCACAGTTACAGTTGGCGAAAGATTGGCAATGGCGAATCTAAGCAAATTGCTCTTCCAACTACATGGCGTGCGAGCTTTCAAATGCTCTCTTTGGGTCTAATGTTGAATCTGTCTGTCACACGAAGTTAGCTTTAATTCAACACGATCGATCTTGAAAAATATCCACATCACAGGCCTCGCATTCCTAAACTTCTCCCTGTCATCTTCTTCCCCAAAATACTTTGCAAGCTTCGAACAATCCACCCTCCACCCTCCACAGCCCCATTAAAATCCTAAAACCCCACCGCACAAACAACCGCAGTATCCCAATTCTCAACTTATGTACTGTATTTACTGACAATATAGCTTCTCTTGGGTTAAGGTGCTGTCGTAGATYGCCAATGTTCACGCTCATCGTTGGGGAAGATTGAGATGGGGAGGGAGGTTTTCTCGGGTGTATGATGATGGAGTCAGTCGAGGAGAGTAAAGTGAGGGATATGGTTGGATTGGATTGGTGGTCTATTGTGGATGAGAAGTTCGTTGGGGATGTTGGATTTGTGTGGAAATCTTGGTCTGAGATGCTATCTTATCATTGTTGATATATGGATTGTAGACATCACTAGGTTTGCTCCTCGGATTGAAATGCAGAGGAATATCATTTACTGGTTTCTTACTCCGTCGTACTTTTGACATGACTGGAGATCATTTCAGGGCGTGTAAGATGGGTACGCTATGAGATATCCATCATGCGAGTTCGAAATGTGAGATAGGTAGTCCCGTCCGTAATGTGAAAGTGAATGTATGCACGCTCGATAATGTACAGTATATCCACCTCGATATATACGTGCGGTGACAACAATTCTAGCCACATTGACACTTTTTTAGAGCTTAGATTTGATGCTCGCCGGATCAGACCACTGTCCGTTCTTCACATTCACAGGCGTGAACCAAGGATAGACTGCCGGTGTATCTTTCTGCACAGTATTTTTGAATGTGGCCGGACGCTTCTCCAAGAATGACTTGACGGCTTCCTCGTTGTCCTTGCAATGTTATTAGTCATGTCACTGAGAGAGAGAGAGGCGGGAAAAAAAGCTTACCGAACCAAGCCTCATCGCTGCCATGACTCGACTCTCCAGCAAATGTGCCTCCTCGGCACTATTGGGACCTCTGTAGAACATCTCCCGGATCATCCATGTGCTGACCGGGCTAGTCTGAGAGGCAATCTGCTCAGCGGCCTTCAAGGCCATAGGCAGAACGTCCTCTTGCTTGTCACAAAGGTCTGAGAATAACCCATCGAACGCCTTTGAGTTTGCAGGAAGGATATTTCCAGTAATTGCAAGCTGTAACGCTCGGCTGTGGCCCACCAATCTCGGCAAAAAGTAACTTGAACAAGCCTCTGCAATGAGTCCACGCTGGGAAAAGACGAAACCAATCTTGGCTTTCGACCAGACGTATCGCATGGTCATTGGCAATGTCATTGTGATACCAACGCCAACGGCATGGCCATTGATGGCACCGATGGTTGGTTTGGTGCAGTTGTGAATGGCAAGACTTGCCCTTCCACCACCATCACGATGGTTCTTCTCGTTCTCATTTTTGCCATCGCCCACCAGTTTGAAGCCTTGAGGAAGCAAGAAGGTCAGTATCTAGGTGCGGAATCTCACGGTGAATACGCACCTTGGTTCAGATCTTGGCCTGCACAGAACATTCTGCCCTCTCCCGTGACCACAATAGTCTTTACTCTGTCGTCGATGCTGGCAAGACCGAAGAAATGCTCCATCTCATCCGTCATCACGTCGGTGAAGGCGTTGTTCTGCTTGGGGCGGTATAAAGTGCATATCAAAACTGGGGTGGGCTCAGTAGAGGAAGCAGGATGATGAGATATCTTGATTTCCTGATATGGCAAATCTGAGTATGCCGCAGGCAAACGCGTTGAGGGAACTTGGCCGCTAGACATGATGATGCTGAGATGGAGAGATTGAAGAGGAAGATGATGATGGATATTTCAGCAAGTCATCGATATCATAACAACTTACGCTGCGAGCCGCGGCAACGTTTCGATTGCAGAGGCGGGAGAATCCGGGAATAGACTGTGGTGATCTTGAGGGAGAAGGAGGTGTGAAGCAGCTTGGAGAAAAGCCGAGGCATGGACATATGTCTTGGCAAAATGCTTACGTCCGTGGGGCAAGACATCACTTCCAGAGTCCAGAGTCCTCCTGCTTTCTGCAACCACAGACAACACTTTCATGAATACATCATTCGACGGGACATCAGACTCTCCGCGATACTGCTCGGTTGTGTCATCCTAGCCGCCTGGTCGTGAGCGAGGTCGTAATTTCACCGGTGAGGACTGGAAGACTGTGAAAGATGGGAACGTATAGGTTCGCGATCTTGGTGCGGAGGGGTCTCCAAGACGCGTTGCCTGTCCAAGATGTTTGCTGGAGGTGCTAATGACTTAGTCAATTGAGGCATCTCTCGGAGCTTCTTTTTGAAGAAGAGAATGGGAACACACGAAATGAATTCCACGTGTATTGAAAGCGGATGCAGATCTGCTTGGTAAGGGGCACTTTAACATCGAAGAAGCTACCTGTGRATTTCATCGGGACTCTCCTGTGCATTCAGCTAGGAAGATCGGCCCTTGTCTTGAAAGACAAGACTTGTGGTGGGTTAGAAGGACAAGGATCCGAAGACTCTCGCATCTAGACGGATTCCCATGCTGACCGTCGATTGTGGGATCCAAGATCGAACAAGTGACGAGCGGCTTCACTTCTCAAAACAGTTATTTCAAGTCGATTGAGTTCACTTTTCTTCGGAATTCCCCCAAAAAGCCATCCCATTCAATGCCCTAATCACCGCCATCGCCATCACCCTTCCTTCCACATCCCTATCATTCCAACCTCAACTCGCCAAAAAGTTCCCCTTTCCATCAAACGACACATCATGAATCTCCTCCAACTTAATCATCAACTCATACCCATTATCAAAATCTTCCGGCTTCAACTTCCTCTTGAACTCCTCCGCAATGAACAAAGTCATAAAGTCCGCCGCTTCGACCACATTGGTCTCCCATTCCTCGCTATCATGTTCCTCCCATTCCGGGCTACCAACTTCGTTTGCCACACAGTCCCAAAGATCGTGGCGACGAAGAAGGGCTTTCATGTCAATGTACCAGGTGAGGAAGTTGTCGGTGTAGCGTGAGAGGTTTGGGATGTGCGCGGGCACGTCGATGTGGCGCATGCTTGTGATTGTAGTCTGCTTGATTGAGGCAGGTGTAATCAGGAATAGATTGATGCTTCTGTGTTATATGGGGATTATCGTTTGCTTATTCTTTCTTCTAATAGGAAAGATTGTCTCGTTTTTTTTAGAAGCAATCGACTTCAATACAATGAACCGTTTCTCGAACTCTCTACTACATCTGTTGAAGTTGTACGTCGAGTGCAGCGAACGTTAGCATAGCTGTCGAGACTCTTGTCGAGATCGATGAGACTTTCGGGGCGGATCCCACCTTCACACAACCTATTTCCTAAACCGATCTGTTACGTAGCGAGCTGGAATAGCTATTGGACGCCGAGAAATTGCTTGTGCTACTTTGCGCCTTTCCATTTGATCGAATGTTCTTGTACGTCGAGTGAGTTTTTCGCTTCTAATGCCGCAAACAGACCTAAAGGGCTGTAGACTAGGCTATAAGAATCCTATGTGTAACGTTAGCACACTATTAAGTGTGCTGACCGGAATAAGTAGTCTTAAACACCACATCCTCGTCGTTATTCTCGTCCGCATAACGCTGCTGCTAAAGACGAGGACGAGTATTAATGCCCACATCCTTATCATCGCCCGCATTACCCTTCTTGCCTCCCTTCTCACCACTCTTGTTGCCACCATCCTTGCTAGTCTTGCCAGTCTTCTTGCCACCATCCTTGCTAGTCTTCTTACTAGTCTTCTTGCCACCCTTCTGGCGACCCTAGTATAACGGTAGCGGAATAGGTCTCGCAGCCTTCTAGAAGAGCTCCACGGCGTTAGTGGCCTCCTTCATGCCCTCGATCAGCTCCTCACGCTTCTTTAACTCCGCCGACTATAGGTGCTGCTCGAGCTTCTGCTTCTTAACCTCGTAGCTTGAACCATCGTGATTCCTATTTGCTTCCTTCCGTAACATTCACGTAGTCTATAGTCTGATATAAACCTTCACGCAACGCTACATCAGCTAGCTATTCGTACGCACACATCCATCGAACATCTTCGGCATCCACATCCCCTTCCACAAAACATCTTCCGCAGGCTTCATTCAACGCAACCGTTATTGCATAACAACATTGTCGACTACACGCTTCGTCGCCATCATGGCCGACGCCAATGTCTTCCGCATTGGAGAGCTCACCGCAGAAGTGCGGATGCTAACACATAAAGCCTCTCTGTCGAATTTATCGCTCTTGTACGTCGAGTGCAGATAGTACCAGCATAGCTCTCGAGACAATTATCGAGATCTTCGAGCGAATGTAGGCGACGTCGGGCCTTACGCAGCTCTTCTCCTGGCTAGAATCTTCACCCAGCGAGTGATACACATACACGCCCTTTTCAGCTGAACACTATCTAACGGAAGACCTCGCCTAGAAAGAGGGATTTGCGACCTCGGGAGTGGCTCAGAGCGGCATAGTCTTCGATGCATCTTGTGGAGAGCGTCAAATTCATGAAAAGGCGAAGTACATACATCGATTTCTTTATTAAAGTGCATCTATTCTGATTTCAAGCGGGAAACGTCTATTCCACGCTAACTCCGCCGTCTTCTTCATGCTCCATATCGGCATTGCGTTCATTTTCAGCTTCTGCCTCACCCAATTCCTGCTGTTGTCGTCTGTTCCACTCCAGCCGAAGTGCCTGGGCGCAATGTCAGTTTGCTGTGAACTAGACAGAAAAATGGTACTTACCTGTCGGCGATTCTCGTTCTGCTCAATGCGTCCGTCAATCTCCTCCTGTCTCTCCCGCATCCTCTCACGCAAAACTACATACTTGTCCCCGATTTTGTGCAAACGAGCCAAATGGCGCGTTTTGGCCCGCTCAATCTGCTCTTCCAGCTTCACATCGGCAACTGCCATCTCATCCCAACTCAAATCCGATTGCATTTCTATGTCCATTTCGAGTGTTGTGCGGGAAGTTCTCATACGTACATTGGCTTTGCCCAGGCGGTTGTATTCCTTTTCTGCAGCGCGTTGGGCTTCACGAGCACTGTCGGTGGCGTCCGCCATGAGGTTGACTGTTTGTTCTGTTGCTGAGTGTCAGTGAAATTCCCTCGCAGTCCTTCACATGACTCACTGTKAGAATCGAGAGCGCGGTGGTGTATGTGTAGGGTTTGGTCTTCAAGAGAGGGAGAGTGATGATGGTGTCAGTCAGTCGTGTGAGGATGGATGTTGGAGGCTCTCGGTGATGTAATGGCCAGTCCGACTGAACGTGGTGAAGCTCCGGAGTCTTCCTCGTAGCAAATACGATATCAACAAGAGGAAGCTGTTTCTGAAGCGTAGGGTCGTGATGATGAGCTGTGTTCTGAGCCGAGAGAGGTCTTGTGGTTTGCAGAGAGCTTGCAGAGGTCCGCAGTGTTCAGTTCCAGCAGTCTTCGGCGTCTAGCAGCGCTGCTAGCGCGAAGTTCAGATTGTTGATATCCAATCTTCACAGCGACGCCGAGTTTATCTTCGCGACGTCAACAACACCCACTCCACCTGACACCACTGTCGAACAGAACCGACGTGCCAATGCAGAAATCCGAGGAGGAAGTCTTCGGCGAACTCGCCACCATCATGTCCGCCATCAAAGAGGCAGAGATAGAGTCCCGGGCGCTCGTGCAGCGTGAGATGGCCGAACCTGTCCACTTCAGAGCCGAATATGCAGAAGAATCGTCGGCGACCGCGTGTCAGAAGGMCATCAAACTGAGACGCATATTCCGGGTGCGAATCATTCTTCCTGCAAGAAAAGACACACACTGACTTGCATCATCAGAACAAGGCGCGGGACACTGCTGGGTCCTATGCATTAGAGCCCGCATCCGCCAATGGCCAGCATGAGCAACAGGGTAAGAAGAGCAGCCTCCATATGCTGAAAGTGGAGCAGTGGCTGCAGCCAGTGCAGCAAGAACGTGCCACGCTGCATAGAATCAGCAACCATTTGGCTGCGATGGCGACTCAGCCAAACGTGGCACCCGCTGGCCCAGTCCACGCACCTCCGCAGCGCTATCCCCCGCCACCGCAACAGATCGCGCCAGCTTCGCTCAGCCACGGAGCATTCATCAGAGAGCACCAATCACGCAAGCCCTGGGCGGCGTCAGCACCCTCCCGCAAAGAGCGCCTGTGAGTAATCGCTTGATTGGAAAGGACCTGTCTCACGGAATGCTTCTCGCGACGAGAGTTCCCCTCTAGCTCGACTCCAGAACGAGCTCAGCGAAGACGTCGAAGGTCTGGAGTGAAGGCCAAGGGACGGGGCCTGTGTTGRAGCGCAGCTTCTGCATGGCCCGCTTCCAGACGGACTTGCAAGCCTCTGCGTCCCACACCGACCTATCGCAGGAGGCTTGCGAGACGCGATCAAAGTCGATCTACACAACGTCAGAGTTGGACGAGTCTCCCAAGCCAGTGAGGAATATCTCGCAAAGGAGATGGGCGAGAAGACTCCAAAGAAGCGAGCCACGCGAGGGAAACGAGCTGGCCCAAGGCAAAATCTGCCCCCGTCCGTGTCACCGACGGAGATGGCAATKCCATTGACCTCCGTGCTCTCGGTATGAACAGCGCCAGCGCTGCGGAGACGTCTTCGGGTCCGACCAACCAGGCCACATATGGCTCCCGTGCCGCATAGATCCTCGATGCTCAGAGACAGCAGCATGCGAACGACGACGCAACGCGCGGCGTGGATCAAATGTCCTATGAGGAAGCGGAGGACCCGTAGTCTTTCAGATCGTTTTCTTCGGGGCCCAGTTGGTCGAGTTGCTGCGATCCAATTGACGTTTGCAGAGCTGTCGATATGAGGATTGTTCATCAGGACAAGGCATCCTCAGTCATGTCCACAAAGTCCCGAGGCCTCGCTCTCTACAGGCTCGATGATTTGAAGCCCGTTAGAATCCTTGCTATTAGCAGAGTGGCCGTTACTCAATTGAGAGTGCAGTTTAGGGTGCTGCTCTTGCTGATAATTCTTCATATCGATAGCTCTGGACGTTTGAAGATGGACGAACGCGATTGCCAAAAGCGCCGGATTTGGTGGTGCATTGGGTGGCATAGTGGCGGAAAGATGTTGTGCGATAGTTGTTGCTAGAATTAAGCAACAGTCGCTGAAGCTGTGGAAATTGACGTTAATAATGCCTTGCAGAAGACCGCTAGCGGCGGAGGTCCACGCCGGTAACGACAACGACGAAGGGAACAATCACTAACATTCGACCTGTTGAGCATTCGACGCGCGAACATGTCCTTCCACCTGCTGTGTTCCGGGCCAAGTTGATCGAGTGCTGCCTATGGATGTTGTCCATTGCGCTAAAAGATGAATGAAGTCTTGATCTAACTCCAAGCGCGATCATGATTCGAAAGGATAAGGAGACACGGAGTTTTTGCTTTTCACGGGCAATGAGGCTCAGATACGGAGTGAAAGAAGTAGGGACAAAAAAGAATCTCTGACTGAGCTAGTACTGCATCTGCGCGGAGAATGAAGACCTGTTCAGACATCACTTACGGCGTCCCCGTCATGCTGACTTCGCAATTGCACTTCGTGATATGTTCATCTGCATCTTATAGGCTCGCCTCAGATACACACAGACAATAGCACACATCGAAACCAAACACAACGACGACAGAGGGTGGAGGTGTGAGAGACGGAAGAGAAAGGGAGGTGAAGGGATGGAAGTGAAGTCGGCCCTCGATCCGGCCTTGGCATCGCCGACTCCGACCTAGCGTCCGCAACCCATCATCATGAGGGCAGCTCAAGGCCCAAACACAAACACCATTCACAGCTCTTCATCATGGCCAACGGGTGGGCAGTACCTTATTATCAAACTCGAGCGCAAGCTAACACATCGTCAGATGGAGTCTCCTGATCAGCATCCTCGTCGTCGTGGGCGTTCAACTCCTCGCCTGGTTCTTTAGCCCCAAAGGCGAGAACCAAACGTACGTCGCGCATAGCCACCCATTCCCATCGAGTCTTGCTAACGTACGCACAGCGTCTGGCGCTCGACCGTCATACTCTCTGCCGCGGCTTGTTGGCTTATGTGGGGTGTGTTAGAAATTAAGGACAGGACAGCGGCGAGCACTGCTAACCACGACTTCTAYAGCCATAACATTCCTCGCCCAGTGGCATCCTCTCATCGTCCCCGAGCGAAGCGATTTACGGCCAGAGTTCAATGGGGGAGTAAAGAGTGGCAGTCAGATGTTCTAGATGGGATTGGGATAGTAACAGCGGGCGAATACGGCGTTCTGGGTGTACAAGAGCATGTAGGGTTAAGGAGATATTGCAYTGAAGCAAGCAGGAAGCTTTGAGACATCACAAGTTTGATGATACTGTCGATATGTGATATGTAAAGACATTGCAGAAGGGACGTCATGGTATGTTAGCCCAGACCGATGGTCTCCATCAATCTCCGCCAGACTACGATGAGGTCTCCTGTCTCAACCACACCTGCCGCTGCAACGCCACCTTTCACTCCGACAACACGAAGGGTTCCCTGCAAAGATCAGCTTCTATACAATACTTCAAAGACTAACAAGACTTACCCATCCAACTCCAGCTCTGAAGATAGCTCCCACAGCAGCCAGCACAGCAGCTCTCACATACCCACAGTCCAGCAAGATCTCCAACGCCGCCACGTTGTTGATAATGACAGCCCAGGAAACCGCACTCGCGCTGCTTGGCAAATCATATTTCCACACCAGCAGCATGAGCGGGAAGAGTTTCGTAAAGCTTGAAACCAGCAGTGCCGTGCTAACGAGTGCCGGATGCGGGTAATGCGGGATGAGAGAATTGAGTGGTCGGGGGAAACGCACAGAGAGGAGTGCCCGGATGGGAACGTGGAAGGAAAAGGTCTCCACGGCGCAGAGGACGAGAAAGTAGATGTATTGCACTAGAATTGGTTGAGCCGCGATCCAGCTGGTTGATTGAGATCCATCGTGGCTGATGTAGGTGCCATTCAGAGAGGTTGAGTTTGTGTAGGTGGCCGGAAGCAACGGAAGTGGAAGTGGTGGTGAGAGTGATTGCGCTTCGGACGATGGTGTGGCCTTTTCAATGCGTGCCCAAGTAAGGTAGACATCGAACAGGAGCAACAGAATTCCTAGGCGGATGATCGATGGCTGTTTGGCAACATCAGTAAAGCAGAAAACTATGAATGGAGAAGAAACTCACGTCAAACTTGTCGTCAACTCGTCCAAGTCTATTGAACAGAAGATGTCTGTAAACCTGAAACCGACTCAGCACTCGAATCCCTATGTATAAATGTAAGGACAAATCAACAATCTTTTCCATACCTGAGGTTTAATCAAGACCAAATCGATAAACAAGACCACAAAGTCATGTTCGACGTATTTGTCGGCGAAGCGTTTGCAACGCGGACATTGTGTGAGTCGCACACCCTTTCCGAGAGCCTTGTCGTCGGCTTTGCTGTATGTGGTGTACAGCGCGGCCACCGGATATCGACATTCAATGCAGATGGGCATACCTTGTTCTTATATTATTGAATGTGTTCCGGACTCGGTCGATGGTTGTGGCAGGTGGGAGAGAGGACGAGGGAGCGGAGTGAGTTCCGCGTGGGCGATTGAACTTTGGTTCGTCCCAAGAACACTTCCACCTACTGCGTTCCCTCTTTACGCCCACCAGTACGGTATATATGATTACTTTAGGGAGTTTTGAGGATGCGCTTTCCAATAGCACACTCTGGACGCTTGTCCGCGGACTCAATGCTTTCCTCTCCGTGCCTCACCATCATCTCTACTCTCTCTTCATCAAACGCGAATCTCACCCTCGGACTTCAATACTCGGAGAGACCCTTCAACTCGACCTTGGCCGCTGTGCTTCTCGCTTGATCCTTGTCATGATGAACAAGGACACCAGAGCAGAGCGTCTACGTCGTCTGCAGCGTCAGCTATCTGTCCGCTTCGAACAAAGCCATGCGCTCAGGAAAGAGCAAGGTAGGATCGAGAAGCGGATTGAAGATCTCGAACATCGCAAATTAGTGACTTGTATACATTGCGAACACTACTCGACATCAATCCCCTCTGCCTTCCCACTATCCTCGTCCTTGTCTCTATACCTCTCCTGCCCATCGTCACTATCACTCTCTCCACCCAACGCGTATCTCTCTTCCTCCAATTCGTCCTCGCTCTCCTCGTCTGTTCCTTCCGCAAAGGCATTATAAAGATCATCACCTCTCTGTTTTCTCCTCCTACGATTCAATGGAACGTTCGCTTCATCGCCTTCTGCGTCCTCATCCCTTCCGACCATCTCAAATCCATATTCGTCTCTCAGCGTTCGCTTTTTCCTCCGCTGGACGAAGATCCAGATACCGAGAGATGAGAGGAAAGCGAGGATCAAGAACGCGGAACCATAGATCCAGATCTGAGTGCGTTTGCTAACGCCAAAGGTGGGGAAGATGTGTGGAAGGAAGTTGGTTCCTGTTGTTGGGGTTGCGGAGGGTGCAGGGTCCACGGTGTGGGTCGGAGGAGAATGCTCTGCTTCCTCTCCCGCTGGCGTGGGAATGATGATAGGAGTCGTGACGGCCGGGGTAGGAGTTGGTTTGGTAGGACGATCGATATGGTCGGTGGGGTTACCTTCAGGGACGCCAGTATGGTCGGAGGGAACGGCGACGGTGGTGGTGTGCGCTCCGGCAGTTTGAGTTTCCGGTGGATTCAGGGAGTCGTGGTCATCGTCATCATGTTCACCTGGAATTGGAAGAAGAGGTTGATTCTCCCCGTCGATGCTCTCGCCCCAAAGTTTGAGACGCCAATCCGTGAATATTCCTTTGTGTTCGTTGACGCGGGTGTCCTTTACAATGACAGTCCATTTCCCAAGACCGGTTTCTCCCCAGTGGGCCACGCTCATAAAGGTCCAGTCGATATAGCCGCTTGCTGCATTGTCGTTGCGGCGGTGGGTGGCGATATGAGAGACCATGCCGGTGGGAGATCTCAACTCGACTGAGAGGTCTCCGCGACGGGTGTGTTCGACGTTCATGGTCACTGTGACATGTTCGATGCGCTCAAAGTTGGCTTTGGTGAGCATGTCTTGGGTGACTTCGAAGGAGGAGGCCAATCCTTGGTCGCCTTGAGGAACTTCGTGCTTGACGTGAAGCCAGGGTGAAAAGTACCAAGCTTGAGGCTTAACGTTGGTCCAATTCTTTGCTGCTTCGACCAGAGCATATGCATCTGCCTTTCCATAGCCGAATTGATGACCAAAGTTCTTGCCCATTGCCTCGTTCATTTGATAGTCATCTGGCTGGTCGATTGGTACGGCAGTGATGATTGTGATGTATTGGATATCTCTCCATGTAAGCTGCGGGTTGACCTCCATCATGAGAGCGTACATGCCAGCAACCAATGGTCCAGCAGCGGACGTTCCCCCATGATTGGCGTAGCACGAGTCCTCGCCAACATCTGTGGTGTGGATGGCGTCTCCTGAACCAGAAGAGTAGGTAACGACCAACTGAGCAGCACATTTCTCAGAGTAGTACGGATGAAGGCCTTTGCGATCAATACCTCCCACGGAAACCGAGTAGATGCTGTTGGTGTAACCATCGAAGTTGCAGTTGTCATCATTCGCAGCGCCATTGCCGATTGCAAAGACGAAGATGCTTCCCAACCCTCCTCGACCTTCTTGGATTCCCTTGAACATGGCGCGACGGATGAGGATTCCTGGTCCCTCCATCGACTGCCCATCATCCGGTGGACCCCACGAGCAAGAGTAGATTTGTGTCTTCTGAAAGCCGTAATTCAGTGCTTCCGCCTCATCCGCGTCGGAGATGATCTTTGACAGAATACGGACACCGGCGATTTGACTGTCATAGGCGACACCCACTCCGCAGACATTGTTCCGGGCAGCGCTGACTTCCCCAGCACAGCGTGTTCCATGTCTATCATCTGACAGACGCGGCTTTGGATTTGGACCCGGATCGTTGTAATCCCAGCTGCCATCTGCGTCGTAGTTGGCTTTGAGGTCGTTGCTGTCCATGTCCAATCCATCGTCCACAATGCACACGGTAGCGCCCTTGCCCGTAACCCCTTGCTGCCACACACCGGTGACGTTGATATCATGACCCAGCTGCTTGGAGTTGTACAAATGCCATTGATCGTGGAAGATGGGGTCAATGATGCTCAGATTGGCCGCAATCTTGATGCCGATCTCTACCGCTTCGTTGTATTCATCAGCAGCTTGTTGACGGCGGTATTCCGGTACGCTCTCCTCTTGTGCACTCTCAAAGCCCCGCTTCACCAGTGGGAAACGCTTGTGCAGTTCCTGCTTTTGTGAGAGAAGCACATTGTCCAGCACATGCGGTAATTCCGCACCCGCTTCTCGTTTCCGCCGTCTTTGCTTGAGGGAATCTATTTCTGATCTGACGTGATCGTACTCGTGCTGTCGATTTGGAGTGTAGAAGATGTGGTGATCGTCCAGCTGGCCCAGTGGTCCTTCATATTGCAATCCCAGGGAATCCGACACGTCGCGCGCGTCAATTCCAGCCCGCACGTGCACTGCATAATAATCGTAGGTATCGTAGTCTCGTCGTGATTGTAGTCGGGTCGCTGCCCCGGATGCCGGGAGGAGGAGGAATCCCAGGCCCCAACCCCACGGAACTCTCATCCTGGGAGATGTTTACGAAGGGAAAGAGTGGAAGGGAATTAAGATGCTGGGATTATGTACATCGGCCGTGCTGTAATCAGGCGACAGATCGTGAATTGACGGAATTTTGGAAAATCGATGCTCTCTGCGGGTGAACACCTATTGTTTCCAGGCCTGAATAAGGATGTTCGGCGAGGAAGGATCGACCCGGCTTCCGTGTCGATCGGCGGAGAACAAAGAGAGTCGAGTGTTGGCCGAGCTTGTGCGAGAGAGGTAACTACATTTGTTAATTATATGCCATGAAATGACACGCGTTATTGAGATTGCTCATGTATGACCGTTGAGGACTGACTTGATTGAAATGCTACTCATTGTACCGTGGTGAATCAGAGTGATTCGTGTTTGAACGACGCGAAGTCCAATCTTGGCATCCCCGGTCCCGCTCGCCGCTCTTTCCTCGTGCCTTGCAGGGGTCAGTCGTCACTTCCCGTCTTCACACTTCACGCAACACCCGTCTGCTGTCACTACTCGCACCACTCAATGAGACACAACATTCATCATGTGGGAGATTATCGGTGGTACTCAGCTCGCTGGGCTTTGCCCACCGTGTCTTTTCTCTCTTTGCATCCTTCAACAACGTACATGATTCTTACGCGTCGGACGGAATACAGCCGAGCAACGTTCTCAGCCATTTCATTCGAGGGCGACTTGCAGGTACCATGTAAAGGGTGTCACTCCGCTTCGAATCAGTTGTCCTCCGATGCGTGATGGAGCTGCAGTGATAGTTTGAAAGGCTTACGGCGCTACACTCGGGAATTTTAGTATTTCAGCAGCAGATGCTCTTACCTTCCCTGTTGGATGACGTTCTACCTTCCAAGCAAGCATACTACAACGGCCTACCTGGAAATCCGCAACCCAATCTGGTCCAAAGACCAATGGCTCATAGACGGAGAGCTTAGTCGACTTGCTGGATTTCTCCGCCCTGCTTTCCAAAATACTCTATCAACGAACATGCCTTTCAATTTTTACTCAAATATATCCACCTCTTGAGACACCCGCGAGCAGATTGCCCATTATGGACCAGCTACCCGCCTGCAATTCTAGGGTCTCCGCCATCAAAGCCGCGGTGATGCATGATCTTCATTTTTTTACTGTATGTGCTCACCACATGCACGTCCGGGAACATTACAAGACTCAACTGGCTAGATAAGATCTTGAGAACGACCGCAAGATCCATGCGATGGACCAGAGGTACGACGAAGCTATGGCGGGTCTTCGTTGCCCTAGACATGCGAAGGACGTCCCCAAGTCGGAGGCTGGGGATGTTGACTGGGAGAGTTGGAGGCGTCTTTGAGAGCCCACAAGAGATACGTGAGGACAGATATGGCGAAGGCGAAGAGTATTACCGCGATCGAGATGCATTTGTAGTCTGCTCTATGTGGTATGATGCATCCGGTGACCGCTAACGGCAAGGTAGGACGACTGTTTCATATGACTGACTTGGCGCACAGTTGCTATTTATGTGCTTTGCTCTCCGGACACGATGATGGCTTGTAGGTACCGGGAGAGATCGAGTTAGCAGACAGAAACTGAGCACCATGATGGTGTGCTACTGTGCAAGGTGTTCCACGGCTTTCATTTATGCCATCATCATCTTCCTCATCTTCATCTTCATGGTTCTATCTCATCTTCTGCTTGCCCAGCTTAAATGTTTATCTGTGCGTCATCGGCACGTGTCAGCTAAGCTCGAGAAACTCGACTCCTTTCCCCTCTCATACTTCTATCAACATCTACGCACGCATCAACTACCACGGAATGGATTCCAACATGTCATACGCTGACCTCGTGCCATCTGCCGCGGCGGAGGATCTGCATGGTTCGTTAATTCGAAGATCTCGTTCGAGTCTCGCGCGCGCTAATATCTGACAGATACTGCTTCCACCAGCACTCTTAAGTCTGCCGCCTCCAAGGTCTTCGCTCTGCCAGAGCTCCTCGAGGCTATCTTGCTGCACGTGTCGCTTGACGCTTGCAGAGATGGTCCACCACAGCGCTCTGCAAACGCCTACTTTCCCTTCCCAGCCAAACCACTCTTCGTCCTTCAGCGTGTCAACAGTACTTTCCGCGCAATCATCACCCACAACAAGATCATCCAGCGCCGTATGCTCCTCGCTCCACATCCGGTTTCCGACATGGGTGCCGCACAACCCGGGGCAGTGGTATCCTGGTTCGGAGATGAAATGACAGGCGGCCATCCCACAGAATTCAGCGAACTATACGACCAGCCTTTTCGTTTCTCCTATGCAGGTCTCTGGATCTCGCCCCGCCTCCTCAAAGCTCTGCAGACCGCAGTCTCGGACCCCAAGGCTTCGTGGAGATCGATGAAGATCCACTGCGTCGATGGCGGTGAGCCCCTCAGGGTCCTCTTGACTCGGGATTTTGGTGGTGCGGGTTGGATGTTCAGATTCGAGGATGGCGTGACGCTGGGAGAACTCCATGATGCTTTGCTGAAAGTCGCGCCGGCTGTAGAAGAATATCGTCATTACATAACAGATCCCATGCTGCATGAGACTATGGAAGATCTTGAGAGGCAGGTGGAGATAGAGGTTAATGCTTTGGCACGTTTGAGGGAGGAGTGTAAGAGGGATGATTTGTGGGAGTGATTGAGAGCAAATATGGGGATTGACGGGGTTAGCGATGGGAGACATTATGGGGCGACCCACAACTCCGTGAAGCATGTGCGCGCCATGCTCTGGTGAGGGAGGTATAAATCAGCCAGCTCACAAGTCCAAAAGGCCGGAGGTCAAGCATGGCAGGAACTGGGTGGCGGACTCATAGAAGGATCAGGCGTTTCTTATTTCATTTCTCTTACGACTCTCGACTTTCTAATGTCTTCATTCCGTCTCCCCATCCTCAATCCGTATGTTATCCCCACGTCTGCGTAGAGAGAAGAGACGTCTCTCCACGTCATCAGAATTTGGCATGTGCTAGCCAAGACCTCGACCACACCTCACGATCTTTGAGACTAATCGTTCGCCTCCACTAACCACTTCCTCAAAGCAGGCAGACTCCGACGCCGGAATGTCGAGTAAAGGATCGGACCTCGCCACGGCKGGAGAAGACTCGTGTAGTAAGTATCGTAATCAGTACATGATCGAGTTGAACTGACATTCAGCAGACAGCATGCATCCTCCAAGCCTTCTCGACTCCGCCGATAGTGGCGCATCTGGTATGTTGCTTAAACGCGTCACGAGATCACTTCTAACACTCGACAGGTACTACCTTACCATCGCTGTCTTTCAGCTCTGCCACAGGAGGTCCATCCGGTAGGTTCATGGAATAGAGCTGGCGAGCAAGAGAGAAAGAAAGAGTCTCACTGACACCTCCCAGCCAACCCACCGCTCCTCTCCCTCTTACCACCCACTCCACCCTCCGCCGCCACAAAAGTGTTCTCCATCCCTGAGCTCCTAGACCCGATCCTCGTCTACCTCGCCTCCAACTCAACAACTTCACCCAGCTGCCTCCAGCAGGTATTCCCTTCAGCAGCCTGCTCCCTCTTCCTCCTCCGTCGCGTAAACAAAACCTTCAACAATGCAATCGCTCGCAACTCGACAATTCAACAACGCATGTTCCTCGCTGCATGGCCCGCAAACTCCGACAATACATCCCATCCTCTCTCACGAATCGAATGGTTTGGGAAAATGATTGGAGGATTCAATCCCAATCCTCGTGTTCGTCGCACGAGGACGAATTCAGGGATGATTGAGATTACGGATTCTTTGTTTGAATTGTTTTATGATGCGGAATGGGATGAAAGAGCTTCGTGGAGGGCTATGGTGCTTCATTGTGATGTTGGGGGGAAGTTGCTGAGGGTGAGGATTTCGGAGAATACGAGGGTGGTTTGGAAGATTAGGTATGGGGATGGATTGACTATGGGGAAGTTTTATGATGGGTTGAGGAAAGTGGGGCCGTTTTTGTTGAGGTATAGACGGCTTGRGAGGGCGGGGAGTGAGGGGGGAATGGGGGAGAAGTATGCGGAAGCTTTGAAGGTGTTGTTGGAGAGGTTGAGGGAGGAGTGTGAGAGGGATGATTTGTGGGAGTGATGAGAGAGGGGTAGGAAACTGAGTGAGATGCTGCTGCCTGAGAAAGCTCTCGTCAAAATGATGGCTAGCTGGACTATTCGGAGATGGGGAATCATTCGACTGCACGATTGCGATGATGGGGGAGATGATGTGCTGTCTGCAAATCCCGACAGCATCGAGGCTGGAATTCAGTCGAGCAGACGAGCCGGAAAAGTTCAACGGTTGCTTGTTGCTGCTTTTCTGCGTGGTTTGGGTTTTGTCTTTTTTTTGAGTCTTTTCTTTGAGTCTCTTCTCCTATGCCGCTATCTTGAGTTCCATGCTCCCATCCAACTTTACCATCGTCTCCCTCCATATATCAATTTCTAGCAAGTATTGTACGTCACCGTCTTCATCCACGCCAAGGGCTTTACCGAAGTTCGAGCGACGGAATCGGAAGATATGTGGTAATGGAAAGCCGTGAACCATGGTTTGTATTACCAAACGAGTGGATTTTGACGGCGAGGTGGATGCAAGCAGAGTTGATATAATTATTCATCATCTTAGCGTCATATACATCTTCGCGGTCCGGAAAATAATTGTTCAATCTTTTAGCGCCACTCGACATTCATCAACCAACTTGACCAAGTGGCATTCAACCTGAAGGTCTCTTCGCATCAACATGGCCACCCAGAACGCTTCCTCGCGCGCCATCGACTCGGCCGTCGAGATGCTGAACGACTTCGTCGCCGACAAACATTCGTCGCGTAAGTGCGAGTCTCATAGCTTTTGTAGACACGCGCTGACACTTGACATCAGCCATTCCACTCCCATCCGCGGAAGTACCTACCCAGACTTCTAATGACCCAACAAATGTATCTGCCACCGCCCGAGTCCTCGCCATACCTGAACTCCTGGAGAACATACTGCGCCTTGCAACCTCATCTCCGGTCTATGCATTTACGACGAACAAGCGATCAGCCCCTGTTTCGGGACGCAGACACTATCGAACCCCATGCAAGAGACTTTTCATCCTACAGCGAGTTAACAGCACCTTCAAGGCTGTGATCTGCAGAAGTAAGGTGCTGCAGCAGCGTATGTTCCTCCAGGCATTCGATCCGCCTAAGGAGATACCTTCAGACATGGTCCATACTTCCTGCCAAGAATCCTTCCAGTGGCTCATTTCAGGAGTCGTTATCGAGCTCAACTACGTTCAAGAGCTCACTGGTCGACCCGAACAGCTGAGACTTGACTCGCGATCAAAGAGCGGAGTGATTATAACCAGCAGTCCTGCTGCATCTTGGCGGAAGATGAAGCTCCACTGCGTCAAAGGTCGCGGCCTAATCGACATCATTTTGTGCACAGAGTTCGACGCTGACTTCCCAGTGTGCAAGTTTCGTGAGCAGGACGAGATGACGCTGGGAAAGCTGTATGAGGGACTAAAGAAGCTGCTGCCTTTGCTCGCGCTTGTCCAGGACCTCGAGAGGCGCACGCGATCAATCTACCTTAATCGAAATATCTGGGCACCCAAGAAACTGGAATTGGCGAAGGAGAACCTTCGAGTGGAGTGCGCTCGGACTGATCTGTGGGATTGAGAACCTGGGATGTTCTATCTCAACAGCAGGCAAATCAAGTAAGGCAGCGTGGTAGAAGAAGCTCTGCAGGGAAGTTGGAGAGCTTCATGCTGCTCGGTGGTCCTCAATTGTCATCTCGATGGCTCTCTTCAGAAACCATGCGATACGGCGAGATTTCAGGGACGATCAGCTCAGAGCAACGACGCTCTCGGGGCTCTCAATATGACACGATACTCGAGAATGCGGCAGAACAGCATTGCTCTTGGATGGAATCTTATCATTGTCATGGTCAGCGAGTCGTCAACTCAGCCTGATCTTGTTTCAAATGCACATTAATACTCGAACAGTTTTCCCATTACCGTGAATTCTGCTTCTCAGCTTTATTGGAGTCGGATTCTGTCCCAGACGCCAAGCAAATACCTGACAAATAGGTAATATGGTATGATAGTAGCTAATCCCAATCACTTGAGAATCAATGTCAAGCTAGCCTCCACATTTCAACCATTGGCATGGCAGTTCTTGACTGAGATCGATCGTACATGCTTCCACAGGCGTATATATCAGCTTGACTACGATCTTTACTGCATATTATTCAGCTCAGAGACTTACACGACGCATTACAGTGGCCCATGCCTCTCCGTGAGGATCTCCCCTGAATCGTACGCTCCGTGGCTTCAAAGATCGGGGGGAGTAGGAGATCTTCTGGTGCTTACAGTATAGCTGCATGGGCGCGACGGTGTAGTCGAGCGATGATCAGTTTTCTTCGGCTCCGAATCCATTCATCTTGATGCAATGCCTCCTAAAAGCCATTTCTCAGTGATGACATTTTGCATCAGATCTCGTCTTGTGCTCCAAAACACGTCATTTACCGAAGTGGTGTCGATTTGAATCTTAGCTTTTCCAGCTCAGACATCATTGCTAATTGCTTCACTGTCATCAGCATCCATCTCGCCTACGATGGAGCTCACGACGCCGAGTACCGATGCCACCTCCACTGTGGAGCCATCTGGTAAGTACGCTGGATGATTCGGAATCGCCCGCGCTGACTCTGAACAGACGAAGTGCCATCCTCGGTCGAAGCTCGCGCCACTCCAGTGCCAGCATCGACTCGGGTGTTTGCTCTCCCTGAGCTTGTTGAGAACATTCTCCTTCATGTGACGCCTGCTGATGGGCTCACGGCCGGCAAACTGGATCCAACACCCATTCTCTTCGTCCTCCAGAGAGTGAACACCACCTTCAAGAACACAATCTCCGGCAGCAAGTCGCTACAAGAGCGCATGTGTCTTAGACTTCACACGGATATGAAGCAGCGTCGAAGTCCGAAGGATTTGTTCGAATGGCTCTTGGAAAGCATTGTTGTAGTCAACGGACGGGTGGTGTTGGTCGGACCTGCAGACTCGTTGGGCATTGCCCGAGCCCTTCTTGGAGTCTCCAGATTGTTCTCCAGAGGCAGTCATGCCACAGGTTCACGGCACTACGATGCTGTACACGGCTCGGAAGCATCATGGAGACGGATGAAGGCCCACTGCGAGGAGAGTGACTTGAAGTTTGACATGGCGACTGAGAGCGATCAAATCATGCTGCCGAGCTTTACGCGAGATATGACGCTGGGGGAGGTCCATGATGGATTGCAGAGGCTTATCGCAGCTCTGAACCGGTACTTTGAATCTCATCCGTTGCGAAGACTACGGATTGACGAGGGGTGAGTACTCCTTCGAACGGCGCGAAAAACTCCGCAAGGCTCTGGAGGACGAGGTCATGCATGAACATTTCTGGTTGTGAAACATGTAGCCAGCATGCGCGGCGAGATCAAATAGGTCCTGCACGTAAGACAAGCCTCTGCGTGCTGAATTGATGGAATCGCCTAGCGACTTGGATCTGTCGCAGAAGTCGAGCTCTCTGGCAGTATCAAATCAGCAAACACTGCAACACGTCATCGAGAGAAATGTAGAGTGAAGAAGCTCACTTCACTTTCATTTCCACCAGCTTCTCTTCCTTCTTTCATCCAACATCACTTTATCCTCATCACAATTGAGGACCACTCGTCGCGGCGATGGACCAGCAAGACCGTGCGTCGCCTGCACTTGAGGTCGGCATGTCCACGACCGACGGCAGTGTCTCTACTGCGGTTCACGGTCAGTCCCGCGGTCCCTCCATTTTTGATCATACTGACATTGAGGCGAAGATGGAACCTCGCTCATTCCGCCTGCCACTCCTACCAGCGTAGGATCTGCCGCCCAGACTGTTTTCGCCCTTCCCGAACTTCTCGAGAGTATCCTCCTTCAAATCTCCACATTCAATCAAGAGGATAGGCACCTGAACCCAGCCAAGGACCTCTTCATCCTTCAGCGGGTCAACAAGACTTTCCAAGCCGTCATCACGCGCAATAAGACGCTGCAACACCACATGCTCCTTCAGCCGAATCGACCAGGATCGCAAGACTTCAGTATGGAGCAGACAATGAGCTGGCTCATGTCGAATGTCGGATTCTGCTGGGATCGCCACGAGCTGTTCAAGACGAAGTACAAGACGCTATTTCTTCGTCCACTCGACAAAGGCCTCCGTTTCGCCGCGACAAAGGATGCATCCTGGCGCAAGATGAAGATTCGCTTCGTTTCTGTCTCTGGCGAGAATGGCTTCTGGTACGACGACGGGAACGATATTGGGTTGTATCTCATTCGGGACCGTGGGGTGGACATGAGGCTCGGGAACCACGTTCGGGTGCTTCTCAGTCAAACTCTTCGCTTTGGGGTGGAAATGACGCTCGGGAAGCTACACGAAGGGCTGATTTCCTTCATGCCATCGCTCATCGAGTATGAGAAGGCTGTCGAGGAGGCCAAGGTTGAGAAGACGGTCATGGGCCCCCAGAGCCCTCCAAGGCGAACTCGTCCTTGCAAAGATCGACGAGATCGTCTTCGAAAGGATCTTCGAGGCCGATGTGCTCAGGATGATCACTGGCTGTGAGTAACAGAACTCTGGCGAGAAATCGGGTCTACGAGTTGAGAGTCCTGGAATCAGACTGCAAGGGACGCGATCTCCGTCGATACGTCCTAGACTTGGGTGCGTTCCAAAGGTTTTGCGGCTCAAGAATTGATCATGGTGATACTGGGTATGATTTCAGGTGCAGTAGCACCCCTGCAGTAGCATCAATGTCCTAGCATGATCGCAGAATTGATTCACTGTCGCAAAGTGCACATGTGATTCAAGAATGAATCCACTTGCCTCTGTTTCTTGCTTTCTCTCTTCCATGACCGCTGCACAACGACAACATCCTACGCAAACAGGCACTCGCATCCATTTCATTATCCTGTACGTACTACAGCGAGTCAACTGACGTTCCAGGCCACATTTCTCAGGAGTAGGACGCTGCGTAGGAAATGTTTCTTACTTCTCATCCCGATTGGCATGGGTTTGTCTACACCTAGCAGCACGCTATCTCTGGAGCTGGTAAACCAGGAGCAGGCACCTCATCTCAAAAGACCCGGGGCTTGTTGACGCAACATCGCATCTCACACTGACAACAACAAGTGCTTCAAGTGGCCGCTGCGGTTCAGAAGCGCCTCGTCCATACGGATGCCGTACACCTTCGTTCCCGGCAGAGGCGTGACGAAATTCCATGACCCCCTGTGGTAGTTGATATCGTCCATGGTAGAGGTCAATGAACCACGGGATCGTCTTCGCGTGCAAGGATCAAAGCGACGCGGTGATGGCTTGTGGGGATAGGATCAGGGACGTCCGCTCTGGAACCTTTGTGAAAAAGTCATTCTGTTGAAGGAGGGTGCGATTCAATCTTCCTTGGAGCGATTGACGGGCGGAACGGGGACAGGAAAGAATCCATGGGGATGACTTTGGAGTTGTGGTTCACTAGCGGCCCGCTCCGTAGCTTGGCGACGATCGTGTGGGGCCCCATGAAGACGGACTTGACTCCGTCAGAGGCGATGACGAGAAGCCTTGCGAAAACACTGTAGTATTGAGCAGTGTAATGAATGATCGGACTCACGTCGCTGGTCGATTAAAATGCCGTCATGACCTTCATCTGATACTATGTCATATTCTCGCCAAGCCAAATTGCCTCCAATATCGATAATTCCATTGATTGGGCCGTTCGAATCAGCCCAAAGGTGACGCAAAGGCAACCTAGATTTCAATTCATGTCGATCCCTCCGACCAGCCACCTAGGTTCTTCCAACTTTCAGCCCATCAACACGCGTTTGTAGCCCAACCTCTTCCATTCTCCCCCTTCCACTACATTTCTTCGATACAACGGTAATGTCTCAGTCGGAATAATTCTCACGTGCAGCACAACGCACTCCACGGCCCGGAAGCGCTCATCCGGCGCAAGGCAAGATCAAGATTCGTCGACATGTCTCACGCTCGCCGGCAGAGTGGATTATGGGAACGCAACGAAGACGGCTTCTTCCAACAATCCCCGCTGCCTTCGGCCAAGATTGCCGTCTCCGGCGCATACCTCCCTGAATCATCTCCTCCCTCTGGACCCTACAGCTATTATCAACCTCCCCAACAGCAGGAGAAGAGAAGGACATTCTCCGATCGCACTGTCGAAGAGCAAATCACACCTGAGAATATGGTCACTCCATCCAGTCGTCCTCCTTTGACCATTGATCCGGACTACACCCCTCCCTCGAATCTGCGAACCCAAGCTTGGTCTCCTTCACCTGGAGGCGTCGTCTCTCCACGCACCCAGCAGCCACAACTTCAGGAGAAGAGTAGAAAGGACAGCAATGCGGGTAATAAGTCTGGAGTTACGAGAAGGGGATCAGTGCCGGATCGCAGTCCGCTGCAGAATCTGGAGACATGGAGCAAGGACGAGAAGAGGGCAAGGGCTGAATTGGCTGAAGGGAAGCTGAAGAGTTCGAGTCAGAGGGAGAATAAGAGGGTTGTGAGTGAGGGCGATGAGGAAATTAGCAGGAATGGTAGCAACGGCCAAGAAAGGCAGAGACGTGTGTCGGGTCCGCCGAGTCTGGGATATCGCAAGGCCGTTGGCAGTGGGGAGAAACCAAACCAAGCAAGACCGTACGATCGTGGGCCAGACCAGCAGCAAGCTGTGAGAGATTCAACGGATTCTGCAGATCTGGGACGATCCGTGAGTGGGAAATACAAGCGACGATCGAGAGATGCTGGCTACGCGGGTGCTGCCGATGCTGCTGCTACGGCTCCCACCATTTCTAATACCTACGGTGGAGCGGCGGATAGAGGGAAGGCGGTATACGAGCGGCGGAAAAGCCAGGTCCAATCTGCCAACAATGGAAACCCAATCAGCCCGCCGCATTCGAGGGAGAACAATACTGTGCAAAGCGGGGATCAGGCGATGCGGCGCAGTGGGGAAAATGGCGCATATGCTGGCGAAGTAAAGAGCACTCTCCTGCCCAAGGAGAAGCTCAAGACGGCCAAGGATGTACCCGTTAACTACACTCTTCCGCCCCAGACAGTTGCTGGGCAGCAGGCTAGTAAGCAGGTCGGCTTTGACGAAGACAAGCATCATCGTCGACTTGGAGGCATCTTCCATCGCGAAGGACACCAACATCGAAGCTATCAATCTTCGGAAAAGCCTTCAGAGGACTGGCGAAAGGCAAAGACTGGAAAGCTGACGGTTGACGACCTCGATCTTGAGGGTGCTGTCAGAGCTGCGCAGAAACCACAGAAACCCAATGACGCCGCTGCAGCCGCTGCGTGGTGGGAGAAAGATCAGCGGTCTCGCCGTGTCAGTTCTGGCAGTGCTTCAAAGCCCTCTCCTCGCGCCAGCATCCCTCAAGTTGATGGACCTTATGAGGAGCAGGCTAATGGCTTCAAACCTCGCATGTTCCTCAAGTGCGGTCCGCTCCTACGATACACCGGCATGCGAAGAGAAGCTGCGAGAGATGGAGGCGAGAAGGAAACATGGCGCGGTAGCGTGATGATACTCACCGAGGATGCCCATTCCGATCTTTCTGCCGCGCCGGTCCTGAGGATGTTTCGGCAGGATATGGATCTGCACAAACCTCCTCCGAGACATTTGGTGGAAGCTGGAAACGTCGCTCCCGATGACGAAGACCCTGTTGCGGGACAAGTCAAGCTCAGTAGAACGGGCAGAGCACTGTATGTCCGCCCCGTACATGACATCGACGGTGGAGTGGATCTCAGTCGGGAAGAGAACAACCAAGGACTCTACTCTGCAACACGGACAAGCGTGCTCGGCCCTCAGGGAAACCCCGTCAATTCTGCCGCACGCCCGCATATCTCCTTCCAGGACAAATCACGCATTCGCGCCCGCGACGGCGAGAAGCTTGGTCGATATCGAGAGGTCAAAGCCACGCGCCTTCACTCCGAACGCGGCCATACTTTCTGGCGCTTCAACCTTGAGGTGGAACTTGCTAGCGTACAAACAAGAGTTGCCTACCGCATTAACAAGGGTCCTGCTGTGGCTTTTTGGGTTCCTGCTCGAGGAGAGACCATGAACGTAATGTTCCACTCTTGTAACGGCTTCTCCATGAGTGTCGACTCCAACACATTCTCCGGTCCAGATCCGCTATGGAGAGATGTCCTGAATCGTCACCAAGCGAAACCTTTTCATGTGATGCTCGGTGGCGGTGAYCAGATCTATAACGATACCGTTACGAGGGATACGACGCTGTTCAGAGACTGGCTGCAGACTAAGAATCCCGAGACAAAACATCATGCCGAATTCACAGAGGAGATGCAGGATGAATTGGAGGAGTTCTATCTTGAACGGTACGCTATGTGGTTCTCACAAGGGTTGTTCGGGATGGCCGCAGGACAGGTACCTATGGTGAACATCTGGGACGATCATGATATCATTGATGGGTTTGGAAGTTATCCGCATCACTTTCAGGTATGTCTTCGTGCCGAGTGGGAGTGAGGAGATGCATGCTAATGATGTTGTTTAGGCATCCCGCGTCTTCACCGGCCTGGGCGCCATTGCGCACAAATACTACTTACTCTTCCAGCACCAGTCCATCGCCTCCGAAACCGAAAAGGACGAGCCCAGTTGGCTTTTAGGGCAATCTCCAGGCCCGTACATCAATCAAGTCAGTCGCAGTGTCTTCCTCTCTCTGGGCAAGAGGATGTCGCTCCTGGGCTTGGACTGCAGGACTGAGAGAATGCGCGACGAAATCTTCTCCCAGGAGACCTATGATATTATCTTCGATCGCTGTCGACGGGAAATCATCAACGGAGAGACGAAACATTTGCTTGTGCTTCTCGGCGTACCAATCGCTTACCCTCGTCTTAACTTCCTGGAGAATATGTTAACAAGCCGGGTTATGGATCCGATCAAAGCTCTCGGCCGGACTGGAATGCTTGGCGGGTTTGTGAACAAATTTGACGGCGGAGTCGAGATCCTGGATGATCTAGATGATCACTGGACTGCTAAGCATCACAAAGCTGAACGGAACTGGTTCATCCAAGAGCTCCAAGAGCTGGCTCGGGAAAAGAGCGTGAGAGTGACGATTCTAGGAGGAGATGTTCATCTCGCTGCCATCGGGCGCTTCTTCTCCAAGCCCGAGGTTGGGTTGGGAAGAGATCGGGACTGGAGGTACATGCCAAACGTGGTGAGTTCTGCGATTGTGAACACACCGCCGCCGGTCATGTTGGCAGATGTATTGAACAAGAGGAACAAAATCCACTGGTTGGATGAGGCGACTGGAGAGGATATGATTCCGATTTTTAAGGAGGACGTTGATGGGACTAAGAGGAACAACAATTGCCTGCTTCCGCGGAGGAACTTTTGCGTGCTTGGAGAATACGTCCCTGGACAGACCCCACCGAGTAGTCCTGGGGTGGGAGGAGATTCTGGTGCTGGAAATGGAGAAAGGGAAAACAAGAAGAAGTTCCCGCCTGGAAGCATGAAGCGCACCATGAGTCTCACCCGTGGCCCTATCAATCTGGTTCGGAGACTCAGTGGATCGTCTAAGCKACGTCCGTCCATCTCCCGCCCTAGTATGGATTCTCAGCAAAATCGACMGGTGTTTGATGGCGTTCAGAGAGCAAATTCGCTAGGTTCCCATCCTCCTGACGGCTATGGCTTCCCACCCCGACAAGTTCCGCCTCCATCTATGCCACAATCGCGAGGAGGAGATGAAATGCAAATGGAACGTCGACCCTCATATCATCGCCGTCCGACAGATCTGACGGAGAGAGATGCCAGGAAAGCTGCGGAGCGGATTGGTGTTGATGGCAATCTTGATGGAAGGGCTCCCGGTGAGATCTCTCTTGAAGGTGGTTTGGACGTTTGTCTTTGCGTTGAGAGAGATCAGAAGAACCCTATTGGTGAAACTATAGGGTATCGGTTATTGGTACCGGCCTTGTGGTGTGAACCCGGTGTCAAGGGAGAGGGCGAGGGCGAGTTGCAGAGATTCTCGAGTCATCGAAAGAGTTTGCTGGAGAGGTTGAAGTTTAACCGGAAGAGAGAGGAGAGGGTCAGTACCGTTGGCGGTGCGGAGTATAATGATGAGGAGAGCGACAGCGACGGAGAAGATGACGGTGCCCAAGCAAGACAACATGCGGAAAGACAACATGCGGATGATCAGACGCAACCGCCGCAAACGCAAAGCCGACAACAGCCTGCTCAATATCAGCTTTTTCCCCCTACTAGCACTTCTGCTGGCCAGCCACCATCCCGCTACGCGCAACCGAAACCGCAGACACAACAGTACTTTCAACAGCCGAACCAACAGCAGCAGCCTATCCTCTCCACTGCGCAGAGGAGTAGCAGGGACAATCCCTCTTCAGCCGCGAACTCCATGGGTCTTTCGAATACAGGTCGCGGCGCAATGACCGCTCTGCCAAAACGCTCTACTTCCGGCAACGCAGCTGTCCAGTCAGGCAGCACTCCATCAGTGAGAAGTAAAACTGCACCGAGAGTTTCCATGGATGGATACGCTCGTCCTAACACTACAGAGTTTGAAGACCAAGATCATGCACACGCCTGGTCAAAGGGCTTTGCGGGTGGAGGACCACCCATCGGCGGGCACAACAGTTCTATCTCTTCACAGCAGGCAGGAAAAAACGGCGAGTATCCAAAGAGCGGATACCGAAGAGCTAGTGGTTCTCAATCACAACCCCAACAGTGGCAGGAACAGGAAGGAGATCATCATGTATTGGCACAGCAAGCCAATGGACGAGGAGGTCAGGAAACTGTAGGAAGGAAAGTTAGTGGGGGGTTACCTTTGAGTAGTGTTCCGCGGGACGGAGAGGAGTTTGAGGATTTCTATAGTAGTTTTAGCGAGGAGTCTGGGGATGAGGGTGTCGGGACGGGAATGCGGAGGAGAGGTAGCGAGAGAAAGGCGGATAGATTTTTTGGAATTGGTGGTAGAGCGAAGGAAGAGGATGGTGGGAGTGGGAAGAAGAAGTGGATGATTTGGAAGTAGACAGTTGGGTTCGATGGGAGGATTTCAATGAATACAAACGGGGAAGAAGTTCTTTTCTGCAATACACGTGGACTGTATGGTACTAGTCAAGCGGGCGTCTATCATGGTTATGGATAGCTTCTACTGCCGACTCCTACTCAGAGAGTAAGCATTGGAGAACGGAGACAAGTTTTTGATCTCGAGATAGTTGATGGTCGACCGTAGGGTTGTCCGAATGATTTTACCGTGCGACGTGTAAATTTGAGCCAAAATGTTGGGCTGCCTTTCATTGTATTCCGTCCTTGGACTCGTAGCATTTGATTGACCATATCTTTTGAAATTGACATGATGTTTGGAAGTCAGCGCGTGTAAAGCTGCCACCCGAGAAGGCAAGAGCTTAATGCTTGGCAGGCATGTGAGTGAAATGTGATTAGACACTCAAGCTCGCTCTCGATTTGAAGTATAACATCGTTATCCTGTACGTAAACCTTCAGTCCGCGTAACCAGGTCTCGACAAAAAACAGAAACGAGGTTTGTGATATTCGTCGCTTCATTTGTGGGGCATATTTTGATTGCAAAAATAGGCTAAAAAATAGGCCAAAAGAACCTTTGCCCCGTGGCAAAAAAGAGTCGAAAAAGAAACGAAAAAATGCTTTCACTTTGGAACCTTTTCAAGGACGAAAAAAATTGATTTCCTCCGGGCAGGCTTGAACTGCCAACCTCCCGATCACTAGCCATTGCTGGCATAACAGTCGAACGCGCTAGCCAATTGCGCCACGGAGGATCTTCAACTTGGTTGAAGGTGGCTATTTTGGATGTGTGTGGAAATTTTGGTGGGTATATCAAAGCTGCAACTTTCAGCCGGGCTTCAGCCGAAGTGCCTTAACTCAACCTGAAAGGCATTCAGGACGGTGCAAAGGATTCCTCTTGAGTCTTGAGCAGACTCATGTTACCTGCTGCATCGAGTTTGACAGTAGTGAGCATACGGAATCAATCCCTCGTCGGGACCCTGGTTGGGAATCGGGGATGAGGAACAGTGGTCCAGGTCTTCCGGTTATGTGCGGATAAGGGATGAAACGGGTGATACTGCTGCGGCGGAAGTAGATCTGGGGAATGCCACACGACACGCAGACGTGAAAGACTTGCGTTGAAAGCTGGTTAAATGCGAGAAGGTGTTTGTCTTCGAAAGGAGAAAATGATTATGCTCTAGCGCGAGGCTTTTCTTCCGCGCGTAGAATCGCTGAAGTCTAGACGCGTCCACAGCACTATTCGACGGTCAAGAACATCAAAGCACATGACATTCGGGATTCATCCTTGGATACGCTGCACCGGACAAGATGTGTATCTCTCAAACAATCGCTTTGTCGAAGCGGCGTAGACTATATACGGGCTGGCAGCCGAGGCTGCTGGCATCCCCGCAACGATGAGATGGCACGTAAAACCGAAGTGCCTTGCAATAGTCAATAATCGCGAATTGACCTCGAAACCATCCCACGCGAATCAAAACTCATCATCATGGCTCCAATCTCGTTCAAGCCGAAGCTCACCATCCCGGAGCCCGCTACAAAGCATGTCGTGCTATCGTATCCAGCACAAGGAATTCTGCTAGCAAGAATCAACCGACCGAAAGAACTCAACTGCCTCCACACCGAGGCGAGTCAAGAGCTGGAAGCTATATGGCAATGGTTGGATGATGAGCCGTCTTTCACCGTAGGGATCATAACAGGCACTGGCCGAGCCTTCTGCGCTGGGGCGGACTTGAAAGGTAGGGCCGAATACGGATAAATTTGGACTGTCGTTGACATCTCTGGCAGAATGGAATAAGATCAATGCTTCAAATAAGCCGCGTACAATGTCTGCAGCAGGATTCGGTGGACTCTCGCGTCGGGACGGCCGCAAGCCGATCATAGCTGCGGTCAATGGCATCTGCTTTGGAGGCGGATGTGAGATGATAGTCAACTGTGACCTTGTCGTGGCGTCAAAGAAAGCCGCCTTCTCCCTGCCTGAAGTCAAGATCGGTGTTGTCGCAGCTGCAGGTGCTCTGCCCAGAATCATTCGCACGATTGGTCGACCACGGGCCATGGAAATGGCCTTGACAGGTCGGCCAGTGTCTGCGGATGAAGCTCTTGAATGGGGTCTCATCAACAAAGTGGTGGGCGATAAGGAGGGCGAGGTGGTGGATGCTGCTGTAGAGTATGCAAAGATGATCGCGGCGAATAGTCCAGATGCTGTGATCGTTAGTCGAGAGGGCATCAAGCTAGGATGGGAGAGCATGGGTGCTGATGAGGCGACCGAATATGCCTTGAAGAACTGGCAGCCAAAGTTACAGGCCGGAGAGAACTTGRAGGAAGGAGTCAAGGCATTCGTCGAGAAGCGGAAACCCAAATGGGTGCCATCGAAGTTGTAAATGGCGGTAGGCATCGACATTTACTATGTATGCATTTCCATTATTGTTGATTTCCAAAGGACGATTTGACGCGCATTGATTAAACGGTCAATATGATTGGCTGAAATATTACGCTAAATCTCACCTCACTTGCTTCCTTCTCTTCAACCATTATGCTACAACACTTTGCACGGACCCACCGCCACTATCCTGTCATCGCAACMACTTCCAGAACTGATATCTCGAGGTTCACTTCAGCCATCCGGACAACTGCGGCTCGGGGCATTCTACCTGAACCCTCCAACGATCAGAGGCACTACTGACTCGTTGACATCTCGAAAAGTTTGTCCAATCACGGAGCAGTCTTCCGCCATCTTGACCAGGAAGTTTAATCGTTCGCAAACCAGTCGTCAAGATGTCCATGTGCACACTCCCCAATCTGCCTCGTATGTCCCGCGAAAAGCTCGCGGAACTCATCAGGGCAAAGACACCGGGCGTCGTCGTGGTCGACGTCAGGGACAACGACTACATCGGCGGCCACATCAAAGGCTGCAAACATGTTCCAGTCAACGAGCACGACTACCGCATGCCTGAACTCATCCGGACTATGAAGGACCAAGACACTGTCGTTTTCCATTGCGCTCTGTCTCAGCAGCGAGGTCCCTCAAGCGCGCTGAAATACCTGCGGCAACGGGACCTCGCGAACGGAGAGAATGCGGAGGAGCAGGCTTCCAAGCAGACGGTTTATGTTCTTGAAGGCGGATTCTCGAAATGGCAGGAGGTGTGAGTGGCCACCCCTTTTCTGTCTCCACGCATGTTCCTCGTTCTGACGCTTGAATTGCAGGTATGGGGAAGACAAGGAGCTTACTGAAGGCTATCAGAAGGATCTCTGGCAAGATTGGTGAGAGCTGTATGTCGGACTGATTTCAAAGAAGTGTTGAAAGGAATCTCCACTTGTCCGTTGCTTCCCCGATTCAGCACATCCGGCTAGTATTATAGAGCGATATACCACAATCCTGCACTGCTGGGACGGTACACCGACGATCACGATTAGCGAAGTCAAAGTAAATGCAGGACATCATGTTTGGCTCATAACGATAACAAAGTGTAGCTGGCGGAGTGGCTTGTGGACCCATCGTACCTTTCACCGCTGATGATATTGTAGTTTGCAAAGGAGAACTCTCCATCCTCAATACGGAGTGCCTACCATCCTACCGTGTAACTAAGCATCGTCTATTCGAGACAGGCTCATGACGCTTCATGAATAAAGCCAGCACAGCAGGACGAGTACGACATGGAGCAACAGAACATCCGTATCTTCWCAACCAGACGAGAGTTCGCTCGAAGGTGAACCGAGGGCATGCTATGATGGAGGGATCTTTATACCAACGCTCGAACATGAAGTGCAGCTTCCTCAACATTGCGTTCTGGTGTACCAAAAACAATGCACGACCTGTGTCATGACGTCTCCGGACCATTCGGCATGTCGCACGAAGATCTGCCGTTTGCAAAGTGGAAGCCAGCTCTACCATACACGTAGCGATCAAACTATTCATCTTCCTTCAACGCCATTCTAGCGACATCGAAGAATTGGAATCTCGCAGCTGACCCCAACTCCGAGCAACATTCGGCCCGTACAATCAATTATTTGCTAGAGAACCGTCAGCTCGGGAGACTTTCAGGGACGTACATGATATTTCGCATGACCAGACGAACGATGCAGACAGCGAGCTGCTTGTATTTGTTTGACGGAATCGCGCCACCTTGTCGTTGATCGATTCCCAAGGTCGTTGAGTTTCTGGCGGATCGCCAGCCCGGTCACGCCTCGCCGATCGTATTGCGATCGCATTACACTGTCTAATCACCAATGCGTTGTATGTCACACACACTGTGTCACCCTACAAGTTGTTCAAGACCATCAGGCAAAAGTCGTTGCGAATAGTTAGCACAGCCGGTTGTGACAGTCTAGACCCATCACGTCAGCAATCGGCGTGGTCCAATCATGGAACGTTGTTGCAACATAAGTGTCCACATGGACACGATTCCCAGCAACTGTGCAACATCGCGATGAAGGTAGAAGCGTGCCGTCGTGCAACGCTTCATATCGACAATATTTCAAGTCTCCTTCCTATTGTGGATTCAATTGCGCGTGAAAGATCAATTGTTCTCCCTAGTTCAGTTGCCAAGAAAATTTGTACGACGACTTCTCATCTTACACTCCTGGTCATCACCCACGCCACTGCTCAACACTTCCCAAGTGCTACGAAGCACACGCTTTGTTGACTTGGAATTTGAGGTTGCGCGATTCAAAACACCATCCTGGAACTACAGCTTGAGACATCTTTCCCGCCACCCCTGTCGCACCACTTCCGCGCAGACCGCATCAATCATCATTAACATCATCAATCATCAGAACTCATGGCGCCTCCGTAAGTCACCTGYGCTTGAAGTAGTGCATTTCTAGAGGGTTAGAAGCGCTTGCTATGCCCGCTTGGACGCTCGAACGAAATATTTCCGTTTGCTGCTCGAACATTAGCTGACCATGCCCAGGTCCATCATCGATACAGGCAGTAACGACCGTCCCATTCGTGGGAGGGGTGACACTGCTACTCGGATCTATTACCAGAGTCCACCACCTAGGGCTGCCATCACGAATGACAATGATGGGGACGGACTCAGCTCGCGGAAACTCGTGTATGAGGATCGAGGCGTGACGGGCATATTGCACTCGGCTTCCTATCCAAAGAGCCACACCTTATCTCTACTTTCAAAGAAAGCTGCTACGGAGTCTGTTCGCCGCTACGAGMCACGGCACACTCCTCCGGACAGCTTCGAGGCTCAAGACCTGGCCCTCCGAAAAGCAGAAATCTTACGTCAACAGACGAAGCACGCGAAGAAGAGCGCAAAGCACGTCAAAGTGGCGAAGCCTTCTCGAAGAGACAGTGCTGTAAGCGAAGACGACGAGCTCGAGCCGCAAACCGTGCTGAATGCTGCCAAGCCGCAAAATGACCTCGCCACCATCGACCGGCAAGAGCAGACAGCTTTGCCCACCATTGAGTTACAGGACGATTTGGCTCCGGCAATCCCTATCTTTACAAATACTGAACCTGAAATAACCATAACCAGTACTGAGCCGCTTTCGCAACGTGAGCACGGAGACCGGGCGAGTCCAAAGCGCGTCAAGCTCAGTCCCAGCCCGGGATTGAGTAGCCCAGCACAGCCACCACAGGCTCGACGGTCGAAATCTCGGGCCGGGAGCGAGAACCGGTTCGCAAAGCCCAAGACACCCTCCACTGCGACTGCAGCAGCACGGGCAACACGCGGCGAAAGCGTGGCGAGCGCTCGCTCAACTGACTCCAAATCTAGCCGCCGGAGTCGAGGCACCATCAAGGATGACCTTACGATCGATAGCAAGTTTGGACTGGATGCTGATGATCCAAACGAGGTTGAATACTTGTACGATGGCAAATGGTACGATCATGTTGGGCAGGGACCGCCAGATTGGGCGCAGGGCGAGAGACCGAGGAGAAGAGTGGTGGCACAGGCTCCCTCTCGAAGAAGCACTGGAGGATGGCGAGCAGCCAGAAATWGAATGTGCTATAGAGCTTGGCTGAGAAGCAATGCGAAAGATGAGTATCACGAATACAACACTGACCCAACTTCGTGTCACACTGTATTCAGTCGCCTCCCGAGATCATTGGGATAACACGTCTGAATTGTATCAGCCATATCGTATTGTGCCTTGGTCTGCGTGCTCTATCGACAAACAAGCACCTCATACTCTCCGTTGTCAACCCGTCATATGTTGTAGTCCCAACTCTGTCTGAGCATACGCACAAGARCGTCGGTACGCCTTACACAACTGTCAAACCAAATCTGGCGTCGGGAACAACAACACGGTGAGTCGATGGAATATGGCGGCATCCATAAGACCAGGCTTCCATTCTCAACGAGCGATCAATGGAGATGGTCGTCCAACAATGGACGACTGGCATGCAGCGTGATCGTGCTCGTGGAAGCTTTCGCTATCGGACACGCTTACACGATGCATAGGCGGAGGCTTCAAGTGAGCGGGAGAAGACATTCGCTACGCTGAGTCTCAATTCGTGAAGTACTGTCACCTGGCTTGAAGGACAGGAGTAAGAATGATATCGGGGGAAAACGTCAGCGGCCTCGATGCAGAAGGATTCGAYGGATTCGACGGATTCGACGGATTCGACGGATTCGACGGATTCGACGCAGGCCTATCTCATTAAAAGCTATTCAAATGCCTTTGGTAGGCAGGGGAGATGAAGGGTCTCGCAGCAAACAGGTGTTGAACCTCACAATAGGGTGATCCTGGCCGTGGAAATGGAAAGTCTGATACAGAGTCTGATCTTTCTCCAAATGATCTCGACATTACAACCAACGTCTGGCTGGCTAGCAGACGATCCGACCACTTTGATTCCACCACCTTTTTCACCCATCATCAACTCGCGCAAACATCGCCAACTCCTCTCCCTACTCCCTCACGCTCTGTCAAACAACCTCTGCATCATGAATCTCCAACCAGATTCCGTGACCCTTGCCGTCTACCCGCTCTCCAACATTCCATTGAAGAATCATGAATCTACTTTCACGTCTTCAACAGCCTGTACCCATCATCGAACAAAACAAAAACAACAATCCTTTTAAACGCCTCACCAATGAACGAAGTAATCAACGCCGCAGCTTTCACAGAGTCAGGCCGCTAATCCACGCTGTCCGTTTTGGATCTCGACGCAGTCCCATAGACATAATAGAAGGAGCAAACGGCTTTCATATCGTTAAACCACATCTCGAAGTTATCGATATCATGTTGAAATGGACGTCGATGGGAGAGGGCATGATCGAGGCTGAGACGGTGGAAGTAACCAAGTTAGTTGGTTTTGGTAGTCATGGTTGAGGAGCGGTCGGAGGCTGCGTTGTATACAAATGCTTGCTGGAGACATACCGTGTGAAATTCGTGGAAACATTTTCGAAACATCTGCTCTGTCGTCAAGACGCAATGCTTTGTATGTTTTACATGGTGTTCCGGGCATCAAATCGTTCCGTCGCTGTGAGAACAAAACTCGTTCCTTGGATATCTCTCGACATAATGTGATGTGGTGAACATATGACATGGCATGATCAAGACAGATTCATTCGAGCAGGATGCTCCACAGTCGTTCGTCATTCAAGGGCATAATGACCTATACAACTGCATCAGACATCAAGTTCACCTCATCCCTCCCCTTTCTCCGCCTCCATCCTCCCCTACAGACACCACCCGGGATCAGCATTCCGTAGCTCCCGTTGTTCATCCCCTGCGGTGACCTCTCAAAGGACATCAAGCCACCAACGGTATTGTCTGCATTGGCAATAGCAATTTCGGCACCTCCGTCCATGAGCGCCACACCAGCAATGGAGCCAAAGAAGCGGATCTCCTGGAACTTGGCAAAGCTACCGCCGTCATACACTCTGACGACATCGTCATTCTCCGCAACAACCAATGCGCCAGTGTCAGTGAAGTTCAGCGATCTCACGCACGACATGGAGCTAGGAAGTGTGTTCACTGGGGTCGACCAGTTCCGAGTGTCCCAAACGACAACTTTGCCATCCTGAGCTCCTGTAGCCACATTACGGCCGTCAAGTGACCACGCGCATGCAAAGCCATGGTCGGCGTGTTCCCGAAGAGCGAATAGCGTTTTACCCTGCTCGGCATCTGTGATCAAGGTCTCGAGACTATCGCCAACCAGCGCTCGCAAGCGACCATCTGCAGAAGTGGCAGAGCAGTTGATGGAGTAGTCGTAGGAGAATGTGTTGGTAAACTCGAGACTGCGCACATCCATCAAGCGCAACTTGCGGTCGTTGGAGCAGAAAGCTGCCTTTAGTAGGCCTGAACGCCGGTCCGCGTAATTGTGGATATGGGTAACGAGTCCGTTGTAGCAAGAAGTGACTTCGCCTTCGGTGTGGGTTCTGTCATTACTGCTCAGGTTTCGTATTGCGTACTCTCCATTGAAGCCACCAGCGAATAGTACTGTGTCTGCTTGATGGGGCGATATAGAAGAGCGAGAAGAAGCAGATAGACAAGTGACACGGAACCCTCCAGCCCGCTGGCAAGGTCTAGGCAGGTCCATCACGGTCTCACTAAGCGTTGGACAAGCTAGCGATGCACGCATAACTTTGCTGCCTGTGGAGTAGAATATATCGTTCCGACTGCTAGCTGCMAAAGCATTGCGCAGTTGGTAATGGTTGAATTTGGCTCGATGTTCCGGCACGAATGCGCGGAATTGGTAGTGCCGCTCGTCTTCGCTACCAACAGGAACATCGGCTCCTTTTCGATGTGCCATTCTGACAGCTCCCGACCCAGAAGGATGTAACATAGCTCGGGCAGCAGCAGCCTGATCTCTAGATGTGCCCTCAGGCTGCCACCGGATGCCTTGCATATCAACATCGCTCGAGACCATGTCTCTCCTGGTGATTTGCTCAGGAGCTGATCGATGGCGCATTGAGGGCTGAGATCCCGACTGGAAACTTGGTAGGCGCCTATCCCGAAGCGCACGCAGACGCCAATTGTCTACGAAGTCGGCAACGTCGTAGGCCCGCTGTGGGTCATCAACAGCGAGGTTTTCATCGTCCAGTGGCGTATCCTGTAAATTGCGGCTCTCAACAAGCTGGCGCGCGGACTCAATCTCGCTCGCACTGGGTATATACGAGATTGAAGACGCGCCAAGCAATGATAGTGCATCGCGAGACGGACGTCGTGACGGAAAGCGAAGGCTTGGTGCTGAGCTTGAAATGGAGGCAGTTCTCGTGGATGGACGAGAAAGCACCGTGGGATCCTGGTCCACATCCTGATGGTTGCTGGCTTGAAATGGCATTTCAAATTGAGGCACTTCCTGAGGTCCGTCGCCATCCAAAGCCAAGCGCATTCTGCGTCCATCTTCCTCCTCCCACATCTCTCTCGACTCTGGCCTTGGATGGTAAGTCCTTGATAAGAAAGAAACATTGGCCGGTGCAGGTCCTATGTCTGACCGAGACCTTCCATCGGGCAAACCGGGTAAAATATGTTCATTAAGCACTTGGTCAACAATCATGTCGTCGTTACAATCATTCGAAGATACGATTGGTACCCCACCAGTTTCGTCGTCTTCGTCTTGTTCTTCGTCTTCCTCTTCTTCTTGTTCTTCTTCATCATCATCTTCTTCATCAGAGGCGTCTTCAGAGTCGTAAGTCGGTCTTGCCGTCGTAGGTGTTTGTGCGTCAAACGATGCAGCACATGTCAAACTTCCCGGGACAAACAGACTTGATGTGTTGGTGCAGAACAGTTGCTCGTCAATGCGAGCTACACATGTCCGTTGTGTGAACATGTCGTTAATATCCTCGGGTCGTCGCTTTTTGGCGCTTCTCGGCTTGGGCTTACACCTCAACGACGGACGATACTTTGCGACGGTGGCAAATTTGCGCGGACTGTTGAAATAGTAGACGTCCGCCATGCTCTGGTATCACCGCGCAGCTAAATGGGTTTGGTATCCTTTGGTAGCAGTCTCCGGCGGTGAATCGTTGTGTTCTCGTGGGTACTAGGTAGTAGTTCCAACCTGTCAATTTAAAAGCGTGGTTCGGAAGCAGGTTCGCAAATCCTGCTGCGATTCAAGGCCCGCGACCGTGGCTCAGGGTAAGAATGGAGAAAAGTGTGCTGCTGCGGTCGCCGCCGAGGGAAAGTTGGTGAGCCGTGGGTTTCAGCTCTCAAGGATGGGTCAGGACCAGGGTTTGCGCAGCGTGGCAGATATTAGCGAACAGGACGTTTCACAGTCGCAGGACGCAACACCAAAGCAGGTGGGAGGCTGCTTGTAAGGCACTGTCCCCGGCGATGGTCAGGACGATTTGACAAGATGTGGACGGCGCGGTTCCTGCGCAAAGGCCTCATCTATTGCCGTCGGCTCAGGTGCGGCGGGATCGCCGGCGCAGCGCGACGCTAGAGAAGCTGTGCACGGTTGGATAATGCACGCGATGCGGCAAGGATGTTGGAAGTTAAGGTAGGTCTTGTTGCAGAACCGACCCGCAGCGGAGGTCCATCAGCCATGAGGCAGGCGAGAGGTGTGGGTGGATGGAAGCAAATGTACCTTGGGTACGCTTCGGCAAGGCAAAGTCACCAAACAACAGACGCTGATCCACACGGGGAGTCGCAGGTGGGCGGCGGAATGGATGGCAAGCCGGGCGGCGATGCGATGTGCTGCAGTGTCTGCCCTCCACGGCCGGCTGAGACGGCCCCAGCCTTCAAATGTTGACAGGTGATGATGGCTAAGGTAAGGTATGATGACTATGATGATGATGAGGAGCTCTGGGGAGACGATCTCCAGTCGCTGGGACCTCTGCTCCCGCGTAGGTACCACATCAGGCCGAGGCTAGTTCTAGAGTAGGGCGGCAGAGTGCGTGTGAGAGCGTGCGTGATGAGAACGTGTCTGCTGCTTACGGCGACACCCCATGCTGCAAAGTCAGCATCATCAATCCATCGCCGGCCTAGGTATACTAGGTTCCAACAAGGTTGTGTCATGGGTCGAGTACGGCGCGTTTTTAAGAACAACTCTGCAACAATCCTTTTAGGCGATAGTGCGACGCTAGCATTATAGGGTATTAGAACCTCGGTAATTAAAGGTGTATTCCGTATAATAAGTGACAAGTAGCGTAATTTAATATACGCGTACAATGTCCTCGCTTTCCTTCTTTAAAGTAATTTTATTTAAGTCTACGATACCTAAGTAATAATAGTAAGGATAAAATAAAGGTATAATAGTATTACGCGGGTAGCTATATAACTCTTTATATAAGTAAGTAAGATCTCTAAAAGAGTAGTAGAATAAAGACCTACTACTCTTTTAGCGACTCTTATTAATACCTAAATACTAATATTAACACCTACTATTCCTACTACTATACTATCCCTTTACTACTTATCTATATTCTCCTTCCTCCTCTATACTACCCGTATAAAAGCCTAAGAAGGCAAAGAAGCCTAAGTTGCTATACTTATAACTAGGTTATATCGATACTACGAAATACTAGAGGGCTAGAACTTTCCCTAAGAATCCGGATAATAATAGCGAATACGGATATTTTAAGTAGAACTTTATAAGAGTATAAGCTAGGAATTTAATACTTTAAGAGTAGCGCTAACCYRTATAATAGCTTAAGAAAATAGGATTCTCCCTTAACCGCGAGTAGAGGGAGATAATAGCTAAGCCTACTACTAAGTACGTYRAGATCTATAATAGCTTTACTAATAGGGTCGATAATATCTAAGACCGTCCGAACTACGTTAACGCCTTTCTAGTTACGAGCCGGTCTATATAATCCTATTAGAGAATTATTAAAATATAATAGCTAATAATATCGTAGTAGAATAATATTAACTAAGGAGGAGTATTATAGAGATTATAAGAAGCGGAAGGACTATAATAGTAATATAATTAAAGGCCTAGGGCTATTTCTAGTATATTTCCTATTTATATAAAGGTATTCGACGCTAACGAGAATAGCGCTATATAATCTAGCGTAGATATTTAAACTTAGCCTATAGCAACTATATCTAGCGGGGAACTAAGAGTACCTACTAGTATAGCGATAGGATAGCTAGCGAAAGAGCCTATTAG